TACTCGCAGGTGGAGTTGTCAACCAACTTGAGACGCTATCCTCACCTGCGACCTCTGCCAATAGTTGTTGCGTGGGCAGGAGGCTGGATCGGATCTCCTCTGCCAAGTTCCGCTGTTGAACACGGCACGTCGCCCGAGCACCTGCAACCAATGCCCTGTATGCTGTAACCACAGACGACACCTCAAGCGTGGAGGTGCCACCGACTTCCAAATCCACCAAGGGTGCAATGGCGTCTCGGCACCAGGTGCGCTCAGCGGCCGCCCGTGACACATTGCTGCGCACTGCAAGACCACCAAGCTTTGCCGGAAGGGAAAGCAATGCTCACAAACCTCCCACAGCCGGCACAGAATGGCCCGTGAATGCAGGCAACAGCTGATCGTTAAAGACGCGATCCGGGGTGCGTAGAGTGCTCCTTCAGCATCAGCAATGGCGCTGCAAGTACGACCACCGAGACTGAATTGCAGAGATGAATAAGTGGTAAGTCGCGTGTGGCTGGGTCTCTGCAACTCTCGCCAGCCTCTTGGTTAAAGCACACCAGTCACCCATGCGGCCTCTCACAAACCCATCAAAGACCCCAGCGCTGCCGATGAGGCGATGACTCCACCCAGATACTGGACGCTGTCAGAGCAAATCCGGATTCCAGTGCCAGCAGATACCTGCTCTACGTCTGACACCAGATGACTCTTAACAAGGAGTACGGTCTTGGCAGCGTTAGGCTTGTACTTTTAGTTGTAACCATACTTCGGGCCCTCTGCCGTGATGCAACTCCAGTACTCGCTGAGCGCCATAACGCGGTCCACAGTGGCATCATGCGGTCCACAGTGGCATCATGCGGTCCACAGTGGCATCATGCGGTCCACAGTGGCATCATGCGGTCCACAGTGGCATCATGCGGTCCACAGTGGCATCATGCGGTCCACAGTGGCATCATCGTCAGCATACCACATCTGCATGGAACTGCTGCATTTGTGGACAGAGGCTTGGCCAGAGGGACGGCAGCCCAAGCATAAAATGCCATGGCCAGTGGATCTCCTTGGCACGTGCCCTCTCTCGAGTAGACTGCCTCGCCACCTGACGCAGGTACAGGGGGATATCTGCTTGATACGTGTTCATAAATACCTGACCTGCAGCTGGGCACGTGTTCATAAATACCTGGCCTGCAGCTGGGCACACACGCGCAATGCTCTACTACAGGTAGCTCTACGGCTACAAAAACACCAAAAACACCAATAAAACCACGATTGTGTCTTCTTGCCTTGGTGCCACCTCCGGCTCAGGTCACCGTAGGAAGTTTTTTTCTCCCGGATGATCAACAGTACCATAGGGATCATGGTAATACCGTAATACCATGGAAGTATTTTACTCTTTATTTTAAAAACGTTGTTTCCGTGACCCGCGTGCATCAAGGTAATACGCGCGCACCATTATTGTCCAGACACACAGTTTTCACATTCAGTTGCCACTACCTTTCTCACATACTCTACTCAGTCGCAGTACATGTACATGTATATCTACGCACAATAGATGTGTCAACTTTGCTACTTGTACATGTACAGGCTGGCTGCGGTGTTCCTACCCCACTTGTAAAACCATCGAAGTTATCATTTACACACTACGTGACAAATTCCACTAATGATAGCGACGAGAAAACGTTCTGGAACTTCTATTTTTTCATTTTTTATGTTGTTATGGGTGCACAATTAATCTTCTTCATTGCCATTGTGCAACTATTGTCTCCTTGTCGATTGTTTAGATTGAGTATTGTTGTATTTGTAATATCTGACAGCTGTTTTTTAATGAGGGGCGCTGGAATTGGATCTTGAACGTTCATGGACTTACCTTTTGCATTCTCTGTTTACTTTCTTTCTTTTCCTTCTTCTTCTTTTTTCCTTCGGGGTTTCCTCCAATTCTCTTTTGAGTCCTTGTCTCTACTGAAGTCACTGTCCCAGTGATGTCAGTATAATAGAAACAAACAAACAAACAAACAAGCAAGTAGATCTACATGTACGACTTCTACATCACTTAGAAGTAAAGTTACTCGATCTACCTTGCAGCTTGTACTGGGAGAGAGAGAGAGAGATGCAACATAAATGTAGAGTCATCGCGCAGAGGATGCCTTGATCCGTTCGTATCAAGTGTGAGTTTATGATTGAGTGGCCACTACTACATCATACATATTGTTAGATTGACAGCATGAAACAAGGTGGAGGACACTGTGTTCGGAAACAGTGACCTTACTACGACTTTCCGCGGTTGGCAGAGCCCCGGTCCCTGCGGACCATCTGAACCATATGGGTGTCGCACCCGGTTCTGACCCTCATTATGCCAGGGGGTCCTGGTATGTCGTCCTTGTAGTCACGTAGCTACTTAAACCTCAACTTCTTTTCTTCCAACTTCTGGTATATTCTTGGTATAGAGAGCACCTTCTCGCGACAGTGTCATGGTGGTGGCAGTAACTGTTGACAGCTGACAAGCTGAGAGAAGGACGCCATGGGCAGAAGTTGGAAGAAAAGAACTTGAGGTTTAAAGGGGAAGTTAAGGCAAAAATCAAAATTTCACCAGTTCAGTAGTTTTCGGGGTGCTGAGTCGAATGGTCTTGGTCCGAGAAAGCTGAGACGCTCCCTTCCTACTTGAATCCCAATCGAACTCGCGCACTTCCACCGAAACTGGGTGACTGCGCCCTACTAGATGGGGATTTGTATGCAAAATGTCACTAAAAGCGCCATTTCGTTCTTATAAAAGCACGGATGACCGCGATTGGCCCATATGTTGTAGTCTTTTGGACGCTGAGTCAACTGGTTTTGGGCCGAAAAGGCTGCGATGCAGCGTTCCTCCTTTATTCCCAATCGAACATGGTTGAACAAGCGGTCACGTGCTCCTGGGTGCCCAAATCACCTGGTCACCACGCCAGCAGGCGACAACTTTCACACCAAGGTTCAACTCGAGTTCAACTCGAGTGACAGGACTGCACCCAAAAAAGGTCAAACAGGCTAGTAAGTTGTACCCTGCAAGCACGGTGACCAGGTGACTGGCGTACGCAGGAGCACGTGACCGCTTGTTCAACCATGTTCGATTGGGAATAAAGGAGGAACGCTGCATCGCAGCCTTTTCGGACCAAAACCAGTCGACTCAGCGTCCAAAAGACTACAACATATGGGCCAATCGCTGTCATCCGTGCTTTTATAAGAACGGAATGGCGCTTTTAGTGACATTTTGCATACAAATCCTCATCTAGTAGGGCGCAGTCACCCAGTTTCGGTGGAAGTGCGCGAGTTCGATTGGGATTCAAGTAGGAAGGGAGCGTCTCAGCTTCCTTGGACCACGACCATTCGACTCAGCACCCTGAAGACTACAACTGGTGAAATTTTAATTTTTGCCTTAACTTCCCCTTTAAGTAGCTACATGACTACCAGGACGACATCCAGGAGCGATCAAAGAATACACGACGGACGCAAGGAGTAGTCTCCAACCCCCTAGCATAATGAGGGCCAGAACCGGGTGCGACACCCAAAAGGTTCAGATGGTCCGCAGGGACCGGGGCTCTGCCAACCGCGGAAGGTTGTAGTAAGGTCACCGTTTCCGAACACAGTGTCCTCCACCTTGTTTCATGCTGTCAATCTAACAATATGCGTGAACTATAACAAGGTTGATCTAATACTAGTTCTGAACTACATGTATTGGGTTATATTACATCATACATGTAGTTACATTACATCATACATGTAGTTATATTACATCATACGTGTTGTACTAGTAAAGTAGTATTCACGACTCAGACTCGGAGTGACTTACATGTTTGTCGGTAACCACTGGTAACGACTGACCCGCGACTGTGCACATGTGCATGAAAAGTTGAAATATCTGATGATTGTCAGATCGTACATCTTCACACCGAACAATGCACTGACAAATTAAATGGAAGGTCCCCTGGCCAAGATGGAGTCCCAGGCGAACTCTTGAAATAATTATGGAAGAGAAAACCTAGCACCTCACATTGCCTGTCTGTTCAACAGCATGGTTACAACTCACCAGCACCTTGACCTGGGAATGGGATGCAGCATACTGGTACCGTTGCAGAAACCAGGAAAGACGGTTGGACCGCCTGGAAACGTGCGCCCTCAGACATTCAGCTATTGTCCTCGAGCTCCTTACATCATTACGCAAAACGCTCTCCATGATACCATCATCGCATTGGGAAGAATATCGACATCGTCGAAAGTCAGTGAGTAGATATACATGTAGTCTCCGACGCAGAGTGGTTTCAGAGCAGGCCGATCTACCATGATCATGATGATCTACCATGATCTACCATGAATGATCTACAGCGGACCTTGTTTGCAGCCACAGGTGGTTTGCGGCAACATGTCAGCATTATCGCCCGGAAATGACCATTCTTGGGATCGACATGATATGACTGTACAAATCATTTGACTGTATACGTCGTGACAAACTGAGTTCTCGAGTCCTTCCTGACGGAGGATGACGTTCGGCTGCTGTTGACCACTCAACTCTGCGGGTACGCATTGGTAAGGTTAGGGCAATATCAGAGTCCTTTGAAATACAATTGGCACCCCGCAGGACCAATACCAATTTTTCAGACTTCAAAGTAAGGTTAGTACATGTACTAAGCATTGTAGGCCTAGGCTTGCCAGATCTGCACGCGTGTGCCGGTTGGTCAGATCAGAAGGTTGTAAGTAAGTTCAGGGCCGAATTTTAGTTCCGAATTTTCTATCTTTTTCCTGAAAAGTAGTGAAAGGAACACAATCATCACCGGTATACCGTACCGTGGTGCGCCTGGCCTAGCCTGTGGCACGTCCCATGTCGTTGTTTGAGAGCACCATACCAGGCAGTGCACCGCATGCACTGACATTGAGGAGCAAACTAATAAGTGATAACGGGTAGATCTACAAATACAATGATTATGTAGTTGTATTAAAAGCAGCTATCTCGTCAATGATCTCGATACGATCTGACTAGAACGGTCGGTACACCAGGTACACAGTCGGTCGTCAACGGTGCTGTTATTGTTTTACTAGCCTAGCCCGCTGGCGGCTGCGCTTGGACTAGCGATGCCGTTCGCGGTGTGGTGTATCGCACTCGTTTTGGCTATCTTCCTTCGCCACGTGCCCCGTTGGATATACCAACATCTAAGACGTATTTACTACGCTCGCAAACTGCCATCCATAGAACCGACGGAGTGGATCACGGGTAACTCAAGACATGTACTTCCGGAAATTTTTACCGACACCCTGCAGCGGATGATGGCCAGGACGCGTAGAAACCAGGCGGCGATGGTGCGTTGCGATTTGACGGCGTTGATGCCTTGCGTCATCGTGTACGACACCAAAATCGTTCAAGAACTGCTGACAGCGGCTATACCCAAGAGCGACTATCTCCATTCGTTTACAACGTCCATGCTGGGATGTGGATTGCCAGTGACCAATGGCAAGACCTGGTCGACAGATAGGAAGCTGTTGAATCCCGCGTTTCACCCTCGCATCTTACCTAACTACGCCGAGATATACTGTAGAGGCACAGAGGTGTTGATCACTAAACTGAAAGGCCAACCACTGCTGGGTGATGCTGACAAGAGTAGGAATCCGGTTAGAATTGCGTTGGCCGATCCGATGCACGCGCTGGTGCTGGACGTTCTTCTCCAGTGCTCAATGAGCCACCAGTCCAACTGCCAGCTGGAGCATTGTGACATCATCCCGGCTGCTGATACTTGGAGTAAGCTTGTGCAGCGCCGGGTAGGCAATGTTCTCTACCATCCAGACTTCATTTACACGAGGACTGCCGAGGGTCAACAGCATCAGGAGGCATGCCGCCGAGTCCACGATATTGTAGACGGCTTAGTTGCGGGTCGATTGGAAGAACTGAATTGTAGCTCGGAAAGCCCACTCAGGTCCCGGGACATGCTAGGAATCCTGCTGAGTGCAAGAACCTCCGACGGCAGGAGCATGGCGGCCGCGGAAATCCGAGATCAACTGGTCTCGTTTCTCCTGTGTGGATTGGACTCCACAGCAGACACACTGCAGTGGGCACTGTACTATTTGGCGGGCGACCCTGCAGTGCAGGAGAAGTGCAGGAAAGAGGCTAGAGAGGTTCTGTGTGCCGGCGGTGCCGAGACTCCCTCCAACATCTACACCGGCGCTAGCCAGTTGACGTCCATCACCGATGTCATCATGGAAACGCTGCGCCTTGCACCGCCGATGCACCGTTCCATACGTGAGCTCCCGGAGGACGCCACCATGGGTGGATACTTTCTAGCGGAAGGGACGCGCATCGTAGTTTCGCTCTGGGCGCTGCATCACAATCCTCAAATCTGGCACGACCCGCTCAAGTTCGATCCGTCTCGATTCCACGCCGACAGTGGGCTGGCAAAGCAGCCGACTAGCGATGCGTTCCTGCCGTTCAGCACCGGACCGCGTAACTGCATTGGCCAAGGCTTTGCACTGGCGCTGATCAGGGTAATCCTGGTACTGCTGCTGCTAGAGTTCAAGTTCAGCCAGCCTGCAGATATGCATGACATGCAGTCAGCAATGTTCGTCCTCAGCACCCGGCCTAAGAAACCAATTGAACTGCTCATGGAGCGTGTCTGATTTGGATTGTCACCGGCTATACGACACAGCTCTCGAACGACTTACCCCTCTATCTTGTGGCATCGCTAACTCCTTTACGGTTTTGTCCTGTGAGTATCAAACATCACAGTGAAGAGTAGCATTGTACGGAAGAAACGGACGTGTGAAGCTGTGAAGCTCTGAATGAAGCAGTGAAGTCAGGTACATACTCTCTTGTGTGATTTGAAGTTTTAGATTATCTTTCCTTGTTACTCGCAAGTAACGCACAACGTCTTTTAAATTCATCCGCCGTGCTCATTATGATGAAAATCGCCCTCTCTCTCGAGACTGACTCCAATCGATCGGTATGCAGAGGCAATATGAAATCTTTACTAGTAGTATTCTATACAGTATGCTCGTCACCAAAGGCAAAATTTAATGTGATGGTATGACATTTAGGACATTGCTCATCAGAAGCATCATGATCAGAGTTACTAGTAGGCTGGGTACGGGGAAGAACTCCTTATGAAGTAATCCAGTGTAGCATTCATGTGACGCTGGGAATACCTTGCACATGCGTACATCGCATACAGTGCGTACAGTGCATGATACAGTGCATCGCATACAATGCATACAATACCAACACTGCGTACGCTGTCATGCAGGCCACCTCATTTATCACGACTCGTTAGGCGGATGTGCCCTATCGGGTCTCCCTTGCCACCCTTGCTTCTTTACGCCCTCCTCATCCATGTCTTGAGGCCGCCTGTGCACTGTCAGTAGTAGGAGAATCTGCGTTTTAGTACTGCTTAAGTGCCTCCATCGGAAATCTGTTTCTACTCTCTTTTTTTTTAAGAGAAGAAGATATCACTTCATCCGTTGAAGTCACGTGAAAGTAGGAGTTCAATGCTGGATGTAGTTCTACATGAGCAGGGTTTGATTCGTCTTATCTAGCGGCACTTTGATCGTTGTTTACCCCGGTACAGGGTTGTAGCCAGAACAAAGGTGAAGAGGGTCGGGGATCATCGGACCCGAGATTTTGTGATTTTACCGCCATTTTGTGTCGCCATTTTAAGCTGTGCTACTACACGATGTGCACTACTTATCATGCATATAAAAGGGTGGCGCGAGCCCTCTGAAGGATGACACATTCATTTTGAAACGGGGGCCGCGTCAAAAAGTGAAGGAGGGTGCAGCGCCCCGCTATGTCGCCTTGGCGAGAACCCTGCAGTACACGTTTGAAGGGCTCCGAAGGGCTCAATCGAACTCGCCACTTCCACCGAAACTGGGTGATTGCGCCCTACTAGTACACGTAGATGGGGATTTGTATGCAAAATGTCACTAAAAGCGCCGTTTCGTACTTAGAAAAGCACGGATGACCGCGATTGGCCCGTATGTTGTAGTCTTTTGGATGCTGAGTCGACTGATTTTGGTCCGAGAAGGCTGCGATTCAGCGTCGGCCCTTATTCCCAATCGAACATGGTTGAAGAAGCGGTCACGTGCTCATGCGTACACCAGTCACCTGGTCACTGTGCCTGCAGGGTACAACCAGTTAACCTGCAGCCTGTTTGGGCGCGTTCCTGTCACTCGAGTGGAACCTTGGTGTGAAAGTTGTATGTAGTATGTTGCGTCATTCCGCTTTCATGCAAGCTTGTAATCGCCCGACTTTGGATTTGCTCACTGTCAATTTCCTCTTATAATTATATCAGCAGCTGGAGGAAGTACCCTGCTCTGGTATACTTGAAGTAACTTCTAGTAGCTTGCACAGTTCAGTTTCTTCTCAGTTTATAACAATTGTTATGCTATGTCACACCCGACATACACACGCACACACGCACGCACGCACGCGTGCACACGCACACACACACACACACACATGTGCACGCACGCACCCACAAGCAGCTCGTCTTTGTAAAAATCCTCTCAAAAAAGTAAGCCAAGAAAAAGGTTGGAAACGAAACTTTACAGATAAAATGGTGCCTTTTATATCGATAATTAGGATGGCGTGAACCTTGAAGGGAAGAAGAATATGGCTCGTTGTCATCAGTGTTTTTCATAGTCTGAGGGTTATATCAAACATGCATAAGCAAATGACCAAAAACACTCTAGCATGATCTCTTGTACATGCTGATCAATCTTTGTAAATCGGACGGAAGCAGAATACATGTACATGCCGAAAGAAAGAGGGTAAAGAGAATAGGTCGTAAATGAGGTTCAAAAACAAGAAACTGGGAAAGAACAAAAGCACGGAGCTCGCTGTCATCATGGTGGGTGAGATTAGAATCACTGAGCACATCAACCATATCCACAAAACACACCCTAAGCCAAGGGAAATTGGAATCAAGTACTTGGACTTCACAAAACGGGGAACGAAAATAGAAGGAGGCGCAGACCTCGTTCTTGCTCAGCTCAACCTGCTGCAGTGACCACAGCAGGCAATGCACAGTCACGGCAGGCCTTATCTCATCTGTCCGCGATGCAGGGCATGGTCGTCGCGCACCGGGATTCCGCCGGTGCACTTCAGCAGCGTGGTGAGGTAGTTCTGGAAAAGCGTAAGAACGCCGCTGATTGTCGGAACACCAAACGAGTGTGTGATCAAGCTGAACTGCCGCAGACCGGTCAGAGGCAGGCGGTCCATGTCCTTGTTTTGATTATCTTCAAGATTGATGTAATGGTCGAGGATTTCGCGCAGTTCATTTGTCAATGACCTGCAGACAAAGGACAAAGAGGAAGCACACACACACATTCATTACTTTGTCTGGTAGACACTTCAATAACATGACATTGTAAGACTATGCTACAGTCCAAGTTCTTCGTTTAGCTATCGTTACGCAAGATATGTTGCTACTGTTGCCCAAAGCGTGCAGCTGGGAAGCGTTGCCCTGATCTGATTCTCTCTATTACTGGGAGATGTACAGCTCATAAACGCACGCAATTTTCATGGGAGATAAATTTCAACAACGAGGACTCGAATCCATACCTCAAACGTTCATAAATTGAAAAGCCAGGCACAATGGAATCCAGCTGAGGGAACACAATTGACAAAGTGTGCGCCTAACGGACTTACAGGGCTGCGTGTATGTCCCGCTGCCGATGGTCCCGGAAGCCATGCATGCCACCTCCTCTCTGATGGTACTCGTGTTGTTGAGCCACTGTGTTGGCCATCTCAGCAATGGGGAACATTGTGGCACACACCTCGTTGAACTGGTTCGCGAGAGACTTCGCCTCCTCTGGAAAGACAACGTGGCCAGCAACAAAACGAACACATCAAGTTAAAATGATATCACAATAATGGCGTGAAAGACATGAGAGAGGCACAGTCACTCCCAGCTACATAAATGCCGCATACATTGGTCTGACAGTGTGTTACGCAATGTTATGCAAAGTTACGCAATACCAGAATAGATGGGAGGCAAGTCATGCATGGAGGCAATCTTCGGCCATCTGCAAACAACTCTCGCCGAGCATTCATTGAACAGAATTGTGCCTTACCTTCTACTAGGGAAGTGAGCATGGAGGTGCTTGTCGCCTTTCTGCGTCCAGGTGGCAGAGCAACGCCAATGTCATCCAGTGCTTTACGCAAGTCGCTGCCACCATTCTTAGCTTTTGCTCTACACAGACACACACACAGACACACACACACACACACACACACACACACACACACACACACACACACAAAGGAGAACGTTAGAATGCTGTTCATGGCAAGCTGCGCAACCAAATGGTCAAAATGGGTATGCGTAGTTCAACACGCTTAGCTATGTAGGGAGGCGAACATCAGCAAAATATTGTCCACAAGGCATCAATACACGGGACAAGCTACCCCAGGTCCAGGGTGAGAAACATGTCCAGATTCAGGGTGAGAAACATGTCCAGATTCAGGCAAGCAAGCCAGCCTATAAAATTCATGAGCTGCTTACTTTCTTAGCACACCGCCTAGGAGAGAGGCATTGAGGCATTCCGGTGGTGACAAACGTCGCTTGATCTCACCGACTGTTACCACGTATTTACTTGCCGCACCCAACAAAGACAGGCGGCCAGGAACGCGAGCAAACTCATCGCTCAGCTTGAGCTTCTTCCCGCTGCCTGTTGTGAACTCTGCCGAACAGTTATCTGGAGAACGCAATGGAAACAGAAGCAAAGGCGCCCAGGGCGATATCAGCTATATTCGTCTCTAGGTGTCAAAAGATGGCCGTAACACATAGCACACGTCACATAACACATCGCACAAGAGTATCACCACGGGAATGCCATCACTTGCACTCGGCACGTCATACTGCATCCATACGGCCCGCGATCCTCGCAAAGGCTACAGAACAGTCAGGCGAAGGCGTAGAGCGTCATCAGAACCATCCCAGGACTTAGCGCTATCTTCTTAGGGTAGCATGCAGTTAGAAAAGACAAGTACACGCGGCAGCAAATCGGACCAGTTCCATGTCTCACCTGCGTTGTCCAGATCCCCATCGCCCGAGGCACTGTCATCTGGAGAGTCGGGATTGTCATGCTGCACAAGATCATCACCAAGAATCCAGACCCGAAAACAAACACACATGTATTTAGCCCCGGGACACACTAGCTGTTACTCCTGGAGTATTACACATGCAAATCATCCATCATCGGATCAATGACAGCCTCAGACGCTCAGTGGTAGCTGGATGACCTTCAAGTCAACTAAATACAGAGAATTGCATTTACATAATGATTGCACACAATAAGGTATTCTAACCAGTTTTGGAATACGGTAAAATCAATGCCTTTATTCTGGCAACAGGTTTCCAATCCTACCAAACCGGCATCGTCAGCTCCTATTTGAAGTATTTCTGTACCACGATCCCCAGGATTGTTCCTCTCGTAACAACCGACATAAGACATGGCCATTGGCACTGTAGCTAGCTTGGTCATTGTACTCAGCAATACTTTTAGTGTAGGCTCTAACACACAATATACACAATTTTGGTGCTGTTCACGGTTATCTACTTGTACAATGCAGGCTCCAAGGCCAATCCCAGCAAACAATAACAGTAAAACAGTATCACTGCCAGTGCCCAGTGGCAGCGTTTTGGATGCTGTTCATACCAGTATCACACATACATGTACATGGTTCACGCTTCATATGAAGTGCAATGACGTATTGTCCAGTTGACTTACCAACTGTGACTGCGACTGACGTAGCACGTTGGTGTAGGGAGAGTCCCCATGGCCCGAGTCATTGTCGGAGTTGCCATCCAGGCCACTGAAGTGACCGCCACCAGTAGCTGCAGCTGAACCGCCGGTCGTGCTGGGACCAGGCGGGATAGGCGCAGCAGAAGACGACGACGGATGGTAGTGCTGGTGGTGTTGATGGTGGTGTGGATGGGTGACGTGTTGCTGCTGTTGTGAGTGTTGGTGTTGGTGACTGGCTGCGTCCAAATGTGTGCTACTGCTGTGCGACAACATACTGGGCTGGCTGCTAGTCGGCGTGGCTCGATCGTCAGCTGTACCGCCCTGGCCGTTGTTGCAAGGCGGTGCGCTGTTCGGTGGTGTCAGGAACGATGCACGCGACGAGGACTGCGCCAGAATCTGCTCCTTATCGAAGGGGAGCGGACCAGACGAAGCGACGTTGTCTGGAGTGGGACGAACGGTGGCTGTCGACGACGGCGTTAGTTCGGGCATCGACGGCAAGCTGCCTGAATGACTGCACTGTACCGTATTGGGATATCCATGCTGATACTCCGAATAGGCTCCTCGTGTTGCACCGTGTTGCTGAGCCAACTGTTGAGAATTGTGTTGTGATCCTGCTGAGTAAGGTGGCGAGGCGGTGTGCGAGCGGGACGGCATTGGGTACGGATAGAAGCGACGATTATCTCCGGAATGACCACGCGCAGGTCGGTAGCCATTGCCGCTACTGCCGTTGGGTGACCACCATTCGTGATTGTCGGCAATGGGATGAGCTGGTAGACTAGTGGGAGAGGTATCGTGACTGTGCTGTTGTTGCGGATGGGGGTGATGCTGGTGCTGCGGCGGCGAGAAAACATCCGATGTCGGCGGCATCCGAACAAGACTCCCGTTCGGCGACGTCGCAGCGAAGCTGTGACGATAGTCGTCCTGCTTTCCGGACGACATCTAAACAACAATGAGCAGACACGAAGCACAAACACACACTGTAACAGCAGTGAATACAGATGCGCACACGCACATGCTGCGAATGAACGCCTGTAAACAACAACATGGACACGTTGCAATGCTATTTCGTTGGGTTTTCAACTTCTCCTGTCCGCATTTAGACCGGTTGAAATCCTGAGCCCAGCAAGCGCCCCGGCGGATGGTTTCCACAGCACATCCTGAGCACTGGGCCAGCAGCTCCCCTTGATCCCAGCGTCAAGCCGGTTGCTAGCTCAGCTGTCCGAGCCCCAAAAGGGCCAAATGCAATGCACATTCAAGTGGTGCGTACTACAAAACACTACTGGTGCAGAAGATCTCCATTGTGATGCGCTACTCAGCACGAGTGAGTACTAAAATAAATGCAGCAGCAGCAGCACTACTATTAGTATTACTATTACTAATCCTGCTGCAACAGGCAGTCCTACTCCTACTGGAAGCAAGACTGCAGCATGTAGACTCCAGGAACAGATGACTGTCGTCTTTTACATGAAAGAACACACGCATGAAAACCACAATACTGCACTGCCCATCGGATGAAGAAATAAATAGGGAAAAGCAACGGGGTTGCTTTCTTGCACCAGAGCGACGCAACCACGGCTCGATCAGTTCGATCCTCGACTGTTTCGAAGTCTGTCTCAGGTAATAGTTTACACGAGTATTTGAACGTTGCAAATGTAGTGTAAGCTAACAAACACTGCACAACACATGGGCCAGACACGCGCGCGTGGAGCGAGAACAATTGCTGGCGTGCGAATACCCAGAAGGTAAAGACGAAAAGGTGTAGTCAAATAGATAGGATAAAGTGGTGCCGGCCCTGCGGAGATGTGCGCTAACATCATCCCCCGACATAGAACAAACCCCAGGGAACGAGCAAGCAAATGACCGGACCCTTCAAGGTTGGAAAAGTGAGACGCGAAAGCCCCAGACCCTCTCTCTCGTAATGTCCCAGTAGACGAGCGGGACTGCAGGCAACAAAGACAGGTATTACACATCTGCCCGCGCCAAAGAGGGAACAACGTACCGTTTCACTTGGCGATCGCGCGGCTAAGGACAACGATCGTCAGACGCCACAAGGTCGCAGTAGAAAGGTGCTAACGCCTCCAAGTGTTCCAATGAGACAAGATCAAAAACCTGTGGCTCGACAAGACACCAGTAAACTGCTTTCGTTTCGCTCCCTTCGTTCCAACACTTCTACAAACTGGAGAGAACAGATCGGCTTTTCACGCTGCTTGCTTGCAAAGAGCTTTTGGCTGTATTCATCTCATAATCTGCCTATTTCTGCCTGCTGGATCCAGAGAAGGACACAAGCCACCACAAGGATTGGCAAGGGGCCGCTGTGATGGATTTCGCACTGTCTGACCGGGATGCGTTACTGCGCTCACCTGCTCACGTGCTGTCTCAATTTTCATCCGGGAACTTTGGCCGTGCGCATATTTCGAGTGCAGAGGTGTGACACTAGTGTTACCTGAATCTGTTCACACGTGTACCGCAACGACGTTTCAAACCCAAGCCATGCGCCACTGCATGCAACTCAGTGGCACTGGAGCATGCTGCTAGCTGCAGAGTGCGAGTATGCTACCCAGCTAGCTGCAAGTGCAACTACACACACGTCATTGTACATGATTGTACTTTGTAGTGACTCAGTCAGTGGCCATTTTACCTGTACTCACTACTGTCAGTACTGACACCAGTGACTAGGACTACACAGAGTCAGTACACTACGCGTATACCAGGTATACGGCAGGCTAGGACAGGTAGCGCCGCTAGTGCCAAGTACCTGAGTACTGCCAGTCACAGACTGCAGTGGAGTAGATCTAGACTACAGCCAAGGTCAGTGCATGACTTGTACTGTTGTACTGTAGAGGTCTACTGTTGGACTGCAGAGTGCATGCAGTGGACGAGTGGTAGATCTACATGGTAGAACTGGTACTGCTGGTTCATGACGTGACGTAGACCTACTGACTCTCTCATCATCAAACTGTGATAATCTGATATAAAGTGACAACTCCACTCTACTCTCGCTCTGCTGTCAGTGCTATGACCATGATGACTAGGCCAGCTCTCTCGCAAGTCTCGGCCCCACTCCCACTACTCGGCACTAGTCCCAGTTGTAGATAGATCTGGGCGGTCTACCTGGTCTACCGCGGTCCAGTGTTATGTAGCATGTCAACATGTCGACAAAGCAACGCTCGTCGCTGACATGAGCAAGAGCAGGACTTTGCAGACCTTTTGTCCAAGATCTGAGAAACCATAGAAGTCAAGAACTACATTTTTTTTTGTTACTTCAGCCAAAAAGTTAGTACATACGTAACATAGTCATTGTAGTTCACAGTACTGCGGACTCGGTGTGGAGTTATCATGGTTATGCCTTGAATGCTAAGTATGACGCACATCCATACACAAACTCAGCTACAAAAACCATGGTCATGGACATGGCTAGCTGGCAGGCCTAGGCCACGGCCAGGGCATGGACCTAGGCCTGGGGAACACTAGTACAATGTACATCAATTCATGACGTGAAATAATGGCGGTGCTGCTGTGATCGTGAGGGTACATGAACACCATGAACACGGCGTTCTCTGTTCTCTGTGTTCCTCTTTGCTTCAGACTCAGTAGCTGCGACAGCCAGCTACTCAGCTACTGACTGGTATAACCTACGTTTTAGATGTAGCGTGTACTGATGCGAGAAGTCGCAAGAACACACCGTACCATAGCAATGAAACCCCTACTCACAGTCACAGAGCCTATGAGTATGAGGCTATAAATGTGTTGTTAGAACTTAGAAGTAACAGTTAGAACTGTGATCTGGTAATGCGTTCTGGTTTGGTCGCTTTTGCTGTTTGCAAACTGTCAAATTATGGCAGGAACTAAAACTTTTAATCTGGTGTGTATACCGGTAAGCATGCATCAAAGTAGTTCCGTCTTTTTTAATGCCACGATTGAAAGCACCACACCACCAACCACAACAAGACTCAAGGGCCAACGATCTTGGCACGTAGTACAATTACAACGAATATGTACATATTAACTGGTTTGAGGGAATAGAAAGAGACAAACGGGAAAAGTCTGAAGAAAAAATAATAATTGACTGTTTGAGTCAGGGACCCTGGCTTGTAAGTTGTAGCCAGGACATACAGTCATGTACATGTACATGTACATGACATTATAATACATGTACAGCCATGTACATGACGTACATGTGGCAGGTGAAAGTACAATAAACATACAATTAGTCATACAGTCATGTACACCTACAAGGATGAAGACACTTTTCATTGCTGCCCTCATTCGGCGTGTCGTGAATAACCACGGTTAGTATTACACTCGAATGTGACTCGATGCTGCCTGATGTCGATCACCTGACCGCCGCACTCAGAACTGGGACTGAACAGACTACAGTGGTTGGAAAACTGAAAGATAATCAAATATTACTGCTGTGGGTCTACCGGGTCGACAGTAGTACGACCTGAGTGGGTACACACTCGCACACACGGTATACAGGTACCGGGTAGCGTCAAAAGACACAATCTTTCACCAAGAGTACATGTCATGGGGGTTGTGCTCTTGCTTTCACCAAGGCCACTTCAGCGAGAGAGGAATCATGGTGCATCGGTGTGCAGACCATTCTACATGTAGGCACTGCATAGGGAGACAGTGCAGATAATAATGCCACAATACAATACACAATGTCATTAATTCGCCATTGATCATCTTGACGATTCTTGTGCCAACAAATGATGACAGAACTTCAGGAGTCAACAGGATCATCTCGATACACCCACGCCTTTTTGACAGCATCTTGACGTGGATCCCTTTTGTTGTAGTGTCACTACTACTACTACTACTAGTGATCAATGGTGTCATTGCCATTGGTGATCACGGAGTCTGAAGACAGTGAAGTGACCCGCGCGCGCAGCATGCTAGCAGTGGTACATGGTGTAGTCTTGCGCAAGGTCATGATACTGTATGCTAGAGTCTACGTAATGACTTATGTAGTCGCTGTTGTTGCACTCCGTACCTATCCGTGGGCGTTGATCACTATCTACTACAGTCTTTTGGCGCTTTTGCGATTCGGGCGTCATGTACATGACTGTAGTCTTTTGTAGTGATCTACGTGTGGGTGCACCAGATCAGAACATGTTACAGTCAGTGTAGCGAATATAGGTGAGGCGTGTTTCTGAAGATGTGGGTGTGTGGGCACAAGCAGACATTCCAGTAGCGGAGTTCAGTCTGCCTCAATCCATCTAATGATATGTTCCTGAAGGAGTGAAAGGAAGTCTTGAAGTCTTTGGGTTGACCATCTGGATACTGAGTCACACTCACAGACTCATGATGTGTCGAAAGATGTTAGTACAGATAAGCATTAGCAGATCCAGAAAATCCTAAACTTCATTATAAAATATGAAACCGGGCATGCCTGAATTTGTGAATCGTACATGTACATTGAAGATCACAGGGGAGCTTGTTCCAAAAAATAGCAGTAAGGGAAAAAAGGATTTGGCAAAGTAGGGACCAGATGGTGGAAGGATTTGGTACTATTCCAACACTGGTATCGACCTACCGCCATGCACCACTACTCGTACAGCTGTACCTTTGCTTGTCACAAACCTTTACCGGTGATATCCACAAAAGTAGACACTGTCGCTATTTCCCCATGTACTAGTACGTGGTACATGACGTACACTGTAAACAAACAAAAAAGAAGTCTGTATTACCAAGAGTACTGTTTATCTACTCTTGGTATTACCATGATTACATGCAAACTGTAGTATGATGTACATAATTAACAGTATTATCCTCCGACACTGCGACAGTGCAGTAACCCAGTATCCTCCCTAATCCATGTTTGAGAGCTAACTACATGTACATGTAATACAGTCAGTGTCAGCGAGGTTTTCACGACTACTGCACTCAGTTCCTCTGTACTCATGCTCAAGGTACTTCTAACTAAAAAATCTAAGCACACAACAAAACGAAACTTACTTTCTTTGGTCTAGTACATGTACCTGTTTACCGAAAACATGATTCATGTCAGATGTTTAAAATACGGACTACCCGCGCCCTGTGAGGTCCCAGCATTCTGACAAAGTAGCCTAGGGCATTGCCGACATACGGTCGACTGTGCAGTGTACATGTGTGGCTCGTCATGATCATAATGACTTATGTTATTGACGCTGTTGTTGTTTACGAAAATAAGACATAACAAGATGACTAAATGACTATGTACTACATGTAGTAGATCTACTGTTCAAACATATCACGTGCTTGTTGCCATCCGACGGCCAATCAGCATCGACTTGTACCAGGGCAGAAATTGTGTGTATTGCCTGGACTACGGCATGGCAATGCCCTGCTAGCATGCTACGGAGTACGGTGACATCCAATGCCCTGCATGCATGCTAATTGCTATGCAAATGCCAGGCTATGGTGCCATCTATCAGCGTAGCTTGGCAAGGGTCTGTGGCACTGGCAGTTTTTCGTTGTCAGCTCAGTTCGCATGTACATTCGACTGTGAACTGACGTTACTTGCTCTGGTAAGCGAAATAAAAGAGCATGCACCTATCTATCTGCTCTGAACCTAGCAAGCCAAAATAAGTAAAGTGGCAATCACCGGGGTCAGTTTTCCATGTTCGGATTCCAGCTGTTCCAGCTCCGTGCGCTCTCGGGCAAGCCCTCGAGCGCACGGCTGAAGTTTCGTTCTGAAGTTTCAGCTCACGAAGTATCAGCTCCGTATGCTCTCGGGCAAACTCACAGTCACAAGCTGAAGTTTCGTTCTGAGCTCCGTACGCTCAAGGGCTTGGGAGCTCCAACTCACAAGCTGAAGTTCCAGCTCCGTTTCATCTCGAGCAAGGTGAAGTTTCGTTCTGAAGTAACCGTTCGTTTCATCTCGAGCAAGGTGAAGTTTCAGCTCCGTACGCTCTCGGGCAAGCCCTCGAGCGTACGGAGCTGAAACTAACAAGCTGAGTCCTCCACGTCCCCGATCACCACCCCTAGAGGAGTCTCGCTTTTATACCTTCATGCCCCCGTGCTCATTTTCAGCTCCGGACGTTATCAGGACGTGCTGATCGGTGATTGGTGTTTGCTTGTTGATGTATGCGGTATGTTTGAAACACAATCAAGCATGGTAGGAAGGTCTTGATGGAAAATGCGTACCCTCGTGCGTAGCCCTCGGGCAAGCCCTCGGGCATACGCACTCGGGCACTCCATGCCCTTGTGTGTACGCTCTCGGGCAAGCCCTCGAGCGTACACACGCGGGCATGAATTTTCCACCAAGCCCTTCCTTCCATGCTTGATTCTATACGTAGTGGTACTGCATTGGTGCTCCAGACCAGAGTCCAGACCGATCGCATGTCTGTGGTGATCGAAGACGATCAGTGCAGCAGGTGGTGGAGTCTACGTTGTTTTTTTTTGTGCGTTCCTCCAATGTGGTGGCAGGTCAGGTTTCGGCGACATTCGCTCGGCAAAAACCTTGCCGTTGAACTCAGGTCAGCAGGACAAGGCGGCGGCTTCCGTCACAGACGACACAGACCACACACGAACTCAGCGTTACGTGCACTGAGTCTGAAGCTGTAGCCTAGGTCTACATCATGGTAGATCTACATGTCCCTACCAGTGCCAGTACAGTACCATTGCCATCCACGACTCGATTATGACCAGATGACGCATGGCTATCAACTGATTACTGGATTGTACCGTAAAAAGTCTTTCGACGATCCGTTCGCACAGGTACACGAAGACAACTCGCTAAGTAATAGTAGAGCGGTAAAGTTAGTTCACACATATCCGGTATCCATGTTACCACCGGCAGTTTTGTGATTTTGTGAAAGCAAGTTACCAAGCCACCAACCATGAACCAACCCACCAAAAGCCGTCAACGGCGCCTGGGTGAAGGCATAATTACAGTTGCCCACATGATTGTAGTGTACAGTATTGGTGTGCTGTTGCAAGAAAATGTTCTTCTTGAGACTACTAGTACTCCAATATACCATGATTTACGGTCGGTATTGTCCATCGCAAGTAACTGTCATGCGTGCGCTGTAGCTCTTTCATCGTCCAAATGAGCAGTTGCGCGATACTGCACTGGTTGGTAGATCTACGAAGCTGACTAATGTCACTCCAGCTAAACAGGCTAGCAAGGATCATTTGGTCAGTTTGGAATAAGACAGTACTCTACTTCTCTAGTCTAAATTGTAGTAGTGTCAGCTGCTGCTGTTATGTGAGATTCGGCTCTTTTGCTTGTACAGCTTCTGGCTGCTTGTGAAGTAACTTAGTTGTGGCCGGAAGATCCGTTTACCTACATCATTCATGTACATGTAAGTAACTTTCTTGGACTGAGCTGTGAGCTTCATCCGGTGAGAACCTACAGGCTACAGGCTACATAATGTCATTGTACTTATCATGCTCACAAGGGATCGTCACGTCACCATGGTCACGCGCAACATCTCTCCAGCCTCATTTCTGACCCGCGGCTGCTGGTTGGTGACCGGTGAAAGGCAAGAACCATGACTGGCATGAGATTGAGAAAAGCCACAACATGCTCGGCTATATCTTCCCGCTGAAGACAGTGAGTGAACAACTGAGTGAAGACTGGAGTATGCCAGGGTGTTCAGTGGGTGTAATGGGGGCATGTCCAGTACGCCAGGTCTACCTGAAAAATGAAATTTTAATGTCGACGGCAGTACAGCTCCGAGTGTTCATCGTCCGTCAAGATCAATGGATGATTCTGACTAGAACCTAGCCTCGTCATCGACCATCGACGTAACCACGGTAACCGTTGTTTCGACTGCAATGATTAATCATAGCAGTCGAAGCGGACATGATCATGATTGTACTCCGAGACCGAGTCCGAGTCCTGGCGCCGTCCGGGAACGCTAGCAGATTCTGCATTATTTGACAGACCGTGCTCAGTTCATATCAGTGCAACTGCAAGTCTAGCGTGAGACATGACTGTACATGTACAGCCAAACTGGTACTGTTGGTACTGTTGGTACTGTTGGTACTGTACTGCATGCACTGAGTCTGTGCCAATACTAGTACTACTAGTAGTATTCATTGAACCTTGTGACAGCGAGCAAAGTCTTACTGAGTAGAGGTCGAAACTGGAAAGACGAAAGTGGCTTTACAAGAGCAAACACTACGTCACTAGTGCTAGCAAGTTGCCAACAATGTTCCTACGAAGGGTGTGAAGTGAAGCAGGCATCAACCCATGAAGATATCAAGTGGATGTGGCTCATTGACCAGGACATTCTGAGTAAGTCGTGTACCAAGTCAATGCATGTGTCACCTAACTGCAATGAACCAATACTCTGGGATATCAATGGACCTAGGCTATAGTGGTTTTCAGTCATAAGAATAATATCTATTGCTAGCCACAGCCTACCTATTTTGGTGAAGGAATTTCTTCCAGGTGAGAGCTCTGGTTGGCAGGGTGTGAGGTGTGAGAACTTGTCAAAGCCAGGCCTACAAATCACCCTCTCTTGATGGTCACGCTCATTTTGCTAACACTGTGGTCACTGCAGGTGCTAATGCTTCCCTTGCCTATCTCCCCCCCCCCCTCCCACACACACACACACACACACACACACACACACACACACCATCACCACCAGGCCCTGTGGAATGGGGTAGAGAGATTTTGCGGCTCTAGGAGGTCTTCACTTCATGTTGTCCTAGCTAAGAGTGGGAGTTGCATCCATGGCGTTCCATACACTGGTCTGCATGTGAGGCTGTTAGCCCGGCTTAATTTAGTGCTGTGAAGGGGAGAGATTGATACTAGTACCTCTTCCTCTAGTCTGGCTGTGCCATGTTGCCCTGGATGTTTGTGTGCCGCAGTCCAAGCAGTTGGGAGGCAGCACATCCATATGAACCACAAGCCTTGGTTGTCACTGTCACAGTGTGCCAGTGCAAGTAGTTCAAGTGATCAGTGATTCACAATTTCACTGCTGAACCACTATGTAGACACACACTTAGGTTTGTCTTGGCAGTACATGATCTACATCAGTACAATGTACATTGTTTTCTGCAGATTTTAGTACATGTACTTGTGAGACTGTGCATGTGGCGGTGTATCATGTACTGATGTGTGCAAGGACTGGAGAGAGGTGCAAACTAAAGTCATGCACATAATCATTCATGTGGGAAGCTGAGAACAGACAGGACAGCTCTGCACAGTGAACTGATCGCCCATGGCATATGCATGAGCCATGGACTTGGTTATAACTTACTAATCTTTTGCTGGAGTCAGTGGGGACTCTGCGACTGGCATCGAAGGTGGAGGACGTGACTTAAAGCCGCAGGATATCACAGGTCTTGGCAATCCCACCAGTGTAGCTGTGACAGTAGCACACTGATGTACGATATTAGCCAGACTATTGTGCCGGCAAGTAAGCTGGCCCAGGCACAAGTTCTCTAGTCGTTCAACAATGGCAAGTGCAAAGCGGAAGGAAAGGACAGGGATCTAGGGAGTGGACATAGTCACTGGATGCTGCATTGTCCAGGTTGAATTGTTCTAACACACAGTACTGGGCCTACATGTACTAAGTCTTGTACTTGTTGTACCTACTATGCATGACCTAGTACTTGTATGCTGGAAGTGTAGAAGAATGATACTGTACGGCTTTCCCCTGATCTGCATAGCCCATGATCGCATGGAGGCCCCATGCCAGGACAATTTCCCAGTACCTTGCCACTAGCAACGCCTTACTGGAAATGCATAAAACGGAAAAATGTGCACACAGCAATGAAACTTGATTTGCTGCTACTCCTTGCACGGTGTCATCTTTTAATTCGTAAAGTTGATCAAGCCCATGCCGGCCCATGCCGGCCCATGGTGACATGACATACATGTATAAATATGGCCGATAGATAAGGTGGGGACATGGGCAATTGAAACAACGTGTGCTTTTTGTGATCCCTAATGGAATTACATGACTGTACAGTCAACTTCGCGTATAACGACACTCGGCGGGGTATCAGAAAAGTGTCCTTATTAGCGAAGTGTTGCTATACCCGAAGTCTCACTACAGTTGGATGGGACTCGCCTTTGCTCTGCGCATGGAAATTCTGTCGTTATTCCCGAATTGTCGTTATATCCGCAGTCGTTATTAGCGAAGTTGACTGTATGTAACCCTTTTGCAGGGTGAATTGGATTACAATACAACATCGCCCTACACGATCTGTGCCGCACTAACTCTTCTTGCTCCTGCTGGAATAGCTGGTTTAGTTCACTGCCGGCTACTGAGTCTGTCACACTGGCGAGACTACGCACATGTAGTATAGTAGATTACAGCGCACGTACTGCATTTGAAAAAGTACTTTCAGATGATCCTGAGAAACTGGCTCACCCCCCCCCCCCCCCCCGTATTGCGCTCAGGTGTACATTGTATGATTGAGTGTGCCAAAAGTGATAGCATTGCTGATATAAGTACAATGTCATGTACATGTACATGGCTGTACTACGCCTTGGTAGTAATGATCCTGGTCTCAGCGTTTTTGGTAGGAATCAGAGAGCCAATCTCTGGTGAGAAAACAGTTCTGCCTGTGCTTTAAGGTAGCTCGATAGGAAATCAAAAACTCGTCTTCTGTGCATCTTTCTGCGCCAAAAAAGAATATAGCGACAAGTTGACAACATGTGCATAGGGCTTGAAAGTGATGACGTCAAAACGGCCAGGGAGTAGTAAGTTGACATCAGATTTCTATTTTTGGATCCACTAAGGTGTGACTTTGCTATTGCCTAAGTATGTGGGTGCATAGCAACCCACTCATGTCGCATGCAGGTGTGACTTTTATTTCGCCACCAGTTGTAACCCCGCCCCCAGTAGCCAAATCAGTCAGTTTCACTGGTTACATCACCTTGCTGAGAGTAAGACGGCTTGAAATGTGCTTGGATCCATACAAAAACTGGATCCAAGTGGATCCAATTTTTGAATTTTTGAAATTGTTGCTATGCTGTGACGTAGCACTTTCAAGCCCTATTGGGACCTGAACGTGTACATGTACAAGTATAATGTACTTCGAAGTACATTGTACTTGTACATGACTGTATAATTACTTGATTTCCACACAGCCTCAGCCCTGGTCCATGAAGGCATATTCGCAGCGCCGTGCTTAGTACCATTAGGCATTACATGGGAATAGGGTGAGGTGGGGTTAGATCTTTCTTCATGAGCCTGCGTCGCATACATGTATACAGCAGCAAATATAATAATGTCACGTGTACATGTACTACTAATGCATTGTACATTGTACTCGAAGTATACCGTATTATCTTTACTTATAAAAGAGAGGCACCTGTGACGTGTGTCTGTGTGTGTGTGTGTGTGTGTGTGTCACGCTCCTTATAAAGAAGAGGCACCTGTGACGTGTGTTTTTGTGTCACGCTGAAGCGCTGCGGCCGGAGCAGCGCTGCCCTGAGCACGCGAAGCGTGCGAACAGTGTAGCACAGTGTAGCTAGCGGCCGCAGAAGCACTGAGCACGCTTCGCGTGCGAATCGTGTAGCTAGCGGAAGCAGCCACAGAAGCACTGAGCACGCGAAGCGTTCGAATCGTGTAGCCACCACAACGTGCTGAGCACGCGAAGCGTGCGAACAGTGTAGGTACGGTGGTAGCGCTTATAGTTATACTTATAGCAGACACGATCAGTACGAGTAGCAGTAGCAGCCGCGCGCAGAAGCACTGAGCACGCGACGCGTGCGAATCATGTAGCCTAGCCACCTAGCCTAGGCCATAGGTAGCACTAGCAGCCGCACAAGCGCTGCGGACCACGTGAACCGTTCTCTGCAAATAGAAACATCTGCAACAAAAGGATACAAAAGATCTGCACTGACTGCATGCACTCGTACTCTGCATCTGATCTGCAGTGAAGAGCGCATCGCACTTTTGTTCGTAAGTAAGTTTATGAATTTTTTGAGCCGCTTCATCCGCCACCAGGTGATGGACAACCCTGACCAGCCTCCCGAAGGTGTAACAGACGTCCCTCCTTCTCCTTCCAACGATGAAGAACCTCCCTCACCAGGACTTCAGCGCTAGCGGTCTGGCCACCACCACGCGCTGAGCACGTGTGCTGTTCATGTACTTGCTTCACCGGTGGGTGCACCCGCACGCCACATTCGGCCAGGCAACGCTGGCGGGGGTGCTGCTAGTCTCTAATATAAGCACAGTCTCCAATAAAAGCACGTCTCCAATAATAGAACACCTTGAGGCGGCATTCAAAAAATAAAGTGCTCAGTCTCCATTATAAGCACACTGTGTAAATTCATTATCTGTACTGGCGAAAAAAACCCTGAAATGTGTGTGTCATACATGAATTTGGCATGGCAACATGCCTCTGAAATGAGGTTGAAATAATAATGGAACAGTCTCCAATAAAGGAACGTCTCCATTAATAGCACGGGGCGGAGGTACATTGAAAAAATAAAGGACCGTGCTTATATTAGAGATAATACGGTATGTATGTGTGAGTTTATAATGGGTCGAAAGTGGACATTGAGCTTGATGATTGTGCTACGTTTTTTTCCTGTGTATGTGTGAGAGAACCTGCCAGATGTCATTACAAGCAGCAACAACACTCAACAGTTAGGACTGCCCACCATCATGGTTGACAACACCCACAGAGCAGAGTGGATGGATGGGAGTGGAGAATCACGCAGGAATTCTGATTGTTCACGACCAAGTGCTGCTTGGAAAAGCCAGGATGTGTAGCCTGTGAGTGTGAGATCAATACGGTGACTTACTTTGCGGCTTCAAGGAGCAAGACACGAAAAGTGTGATAACATGGCACGTTAGCCCTTGCCGGATAATGCAGGCAGAGAAATTAGCAGAATTTGGCACTGTTTCCGGATGTTTTGTGTATGTTTGGTATGTGGATAAAGAAATGGAGCAGAATTCAAGGAAGAGCTTGCCATAAGGTTTGTATGGTTCTGTCAATTTCACTGCTTCTCGAGCAGAATCTGCCGATTTTTTTCTCCAGCATTATCTGCCAAGGGCTATGGCCCATGTAGTCCAATGGTAAGGAGACATACCGTAAAGTCGCGGATAAAAGCCCGGCTTATAAGCATATAAGCCGCTTTCTGCATCAGGCTTTAATGCAAACCAGGCTTGTATGCAAACCATGCTTATATGCACCACTGATTTTTTTGCCAGGCTTGTACAATTGTTGTATGCTCATCGGCACGCGTAGATCTACCACTGACTACCGGTATTAGCCCTTTCCCAAAAGTGCTCGTCCTTTTTTTCGCCCGTTTTTTCGCCCTTTTTGGCCCTTTTTGGAAAAGCCCGTTTCTTTCGCCCTTTATTGCGTTTTTTGGTGAATATCGCCCTTTTTGAGCTTTTTTAGCTGAAAAAGTGCTAAAATCTGTTTGCTCAGATCATGCATGCGATCACAGTTTCCGAGTGCTCGATATCACAATGGGCCTTGGCACGCCGCTTTTTTGGGGGGTAACAAGTTGGTGATGCTGTAAAAAGTGGGTTTTTTGAACCGTTTACTTCCTGGTTTGCCTTTCTAGGACCCATAAATGGAAGAGTGCGTATTCATTTCTCATCTTGGGTTCATATCTGAACATGTATCATGCCTATGCTTCACTGAAAAAGAGCACATTTTGCCTGTTTTCACTGAAAAAAGAGCACTTTTTCAGCATATTTTGAGGGACGCGAAAAGCACTAAGTGCGAATTACAAGAGCACCTTTGGGAAAGGGCTAATCATGGCTATGCTTCACTGAAAAAAGAGCACTTTTTGCCTATTTTCACTGAAAAAAGAGCACTTTTTCAGCATATTTTGATGGACGCGAAAAGCACTAAGTGCGAATTAAAAGAGCACCTTTGGGAAAGGGCTAACCGTTATGGCGGCAGTTTTACTACCGTAGAATCCCGCGGATAAGCCCATGGGCGTATCTGTTTCACAAGGACATTTCGGTGGGCTTATACGAGAACATAAACCCTAGGTTTATCGGGTGTTAGCGGCCGTCGTGAGTTCCCTTCGGGAACGGATACGATAATTTACTTTTTTTTTTTACTTTACTTTATACGAGAACATGGGCTTATACGCGGGCATGGGCTTATACGCCGACACCAAGTTGTGCTATTGAAAAGTATCAAGGAAGTGAGAAATACATTGCTGAAAACCACCGTGCAAACAAAAACAACCGATGATTGTGCTGAAATGTACGAAAAAAAACCCTAATGTGCATTGCACTACGTACATGGTATGGCCAAGAGTCCATAATTTATGGACTCTCGGTATGACCTAAGCTTATAAGCCCATGGGCTTGTACGATGAAGCTTTGTGATGTTCGAACAAACCCTGGGCTTATACGCGGGTGGGCTTATCCGCGGGATTCTACGGTATGCACCGTACATAGCGCATGCACTCTTGACCTACCCGATCCGCGCTTGCATAGAAGCCAGGCTTCTACGCGCAACAGGCTTGCATGCATTTGACCCCTTTGATTTTCCGGCTTCTATCCGCGATGTGCTTGTATGCAAACCCGGCTTTTATCCGCGACTTTACGGTATTCCCTCCTTCTCCGGCATAATGTCTTGTAGAGGGAAAGAGAATGTGTCTCTGGTTATGCCCCCTCCCCCCCCCCCACACACACATGCATATATGTCATTCACCCTTCTTTCACACCCTCCCACACCTCTCTCTCTCTCTCTCTCTCTCTCTCTCTCTCTCTCTCTCTCGTGCGCGCGCGCACACACACATACATGTACATACACATACTCTCCCCAACCGGCGACCCCACCCCGTGTTCCCTGGCCTTCCCAGTTGCCAAATCATGCACTTGCATTTGGATGTCCCTTTGTTTCCTTTCTGTTATACATGTACATGTAACTACATGTATGCCTGGCTGCCCCATACTGGCCATAGTATTATAATAACTACATGTATGCCTGGCTGCCCCATACTGGCCATAGTATTATAATAACTACATGTATGCCTGGCTGCCCCATAGTAAGTTACTTGTAACTCCACTCTACTCTGTAACTATTTTGCTGGAGGCAAAACGTTCAAGTGTTGACTGCTTTTAGACTTGTTGGGTTTTAATATAGATACAATGTCATGTACATGTACATGCCCATTTATTTTAATGATTCTGAGCACATGCACTATACTGCATGTATTCTATACATTGCCATTGGTAGCAATGCCAGATGATGATTGAGCACTGCACTCTGTACAATGTACATGTATGCACATGTGTTTGAGTACTGGTACTGGTACTTGCACCGCATACAGTGGACTGAGTGGTGTCACCCTTGACTATCACTATCAGGTGATGGTGTTGATCATGTCCATCCAGCAATGCGGGTTGTGTGCACTCTGGCAGTCTCTGGCATCATTCTCTGGGGGAGGGGGGTAGCTGGGTACAAACACTAATTCTAGTTCTATTAAAGCATATTAATTTTCTGATCCAGGTGAAATGATTTTTTTAATGTGCATATTACTAATGTGCGTATTGACTTGCAGTGTATTAGATGGTAATACGACGGTACATGTACATTCATCATGCTGCACTGTGCTGCACTGTCGTGTACATGTACTGTATGTCTTCCCATGCAGTCATGTGGCCCGAACCAGAGAAAGACAGCAGATCCAGCACTCCTGCTCAGCCAGCAGCATTCGCCATCAACTCCGAAGGGCACTGATGATAATGCACAAGTACCAGCCACCAAGATGGCGGCCCAGTGGGGGTGCACGCATGGTCTAGAGAATCATCGGGTGTCTCTTGTGGCGAAGCAAGCTACATAGCTGTACTACTGGCTACTGTACAAGCATGGGATTCATGGTGCTTCTCTTCCTGATAGGTAAGCAGACCAGAAGGTGCTGGAAGGCCTAAACTGTTGTGTAGGAACCCTTTGTGTCATGGGGTGTTGTTGGTATGCTTTACCTCCCCCCACCCACCCCCCCCCCCCCCACCTCAACGTAGTGGAAGGAAAATGTGCTAGCAGCTATGTCTGGAAATGTGATCTCTTCATCTTAGCGTTGTGCCTGGAGGGTTGGATAAAAACCTTGTCAAACTCAGCGCATCCTGAGAATCCTGGGCATCACAACTTTGAAGCTACATGTGCATGTACGCTTGGTGTGAGTGAACCTTGATTGTGCCTGCTGGCTACGATCATGTAAAGCGTGTGTCCCCAGGTGCCAATTCTAATGACTTGGATATGCATTATGCTAATCGAAGGTCTTTCTTCGAAGTCTTGCCCGAGATCTTGCCAGGTGGCTGCCGTGTGATTTGGTCCTCATGCCGCCAAGGTGTATTATTCCATGGCTTTGTAATTTAATGCTAACTCCAGGCCAAACAGTAGCAAGCACACCTCCTGTTGCACCACAGTGGCAAGTTCAAATGGTGAGAGTTTAGGAGCACTAGCGGAAGAAACTTCCAAGTAGTTCCGTCTGGAGCAGGCTGCCCGCATGATTGTCCAGGTGCTGGCTGTTCCCTTTTGTTCTTCCGAAGTTCCTAGTGTAACATTCAGAAAAGCGGGCTAAATCAGGCAATCCTCACGTACCCAAGACCTCTGTAGAGCTGCAGAGCTTAGTGCCGAGCCACTACTACTACTAGTAGTATCATGACACCCACTGGCTGGGTGAAGACAAAGCATTCAGGCATTCACCATGAGCTGTGGTTTGTGTCGGGCACCCCTACCACTAAAGCCTCTTGTACGGGCAAAAAGAAAATAGATTGTGAAATCAATGCCACTACCACCACTGCTACCACCGCTGCTACCACCACTGCTACTACTACTACTACGGTTTACTTGGGCCTACTGGGGAAAACTAAAAATAGCTGGTATGATCCTTGATGGTGTGGCGACCACTCATGTCATGAGTACTGATCCGCTACTGTACACTAGTAACAACGGCTCACACTGAGTCACAGTACCTGGCAGTCCTGTGGATCATGGAGTGCCATTGGTCTCATGCCTCATGCATGCATAGTCCCGCATGATCATGGCATGCTGCTGGTCGTGTTTCCTGGGGATCTGGTGTTCAACGTTTTTATTCTGTTTTTTGAATCTCCCAGTTGCAGCCAAACCCTCCTCCAAACCCTCCTCCTCCTTTTTTGTGTAGCCTGTTGTACAAGACAAGGTTGCAGTCGCTGTGCAGTGTGTACTGCGGCTACCAGCCAAGAAACACTGTGCAGTGTGTACTGCGGCTCCCAGCCAAGAAACACTGTGGCTCAGCCTGTAGATTGTGAGGGGTCAGCGTTACTGCACTGTAGCACTGTAGTCACAATCACGGATGAAATCCTCCATTGGCATGGCCATCTATTAATGTGCCCAACTCTAATCACCGGGCTCCAGGATTATTAGGCACAGGAAGGCACCGTGCTTCCTCCGCACCCCCCCCCCCCCCCCCCTCCCACACACGCACACACATTATTATGTGACATACCTTCCTCCCAACCCCACCAGCTGCATCACACTGTGCAAATCAGTACATACCCCTGCTACTGTACATCAGCGGCATGGGCAGAGCCGTTAATTTTGGACCAAACACTTGCTCATCACTCCTTCTAAGGCAAGCAGCATAGCAGGGACAGGAGAGCATTATAATTAAATTCCATGCTTCCTGTGCTGCATTCTTAGTGTGGGTGGTAGCTGGCTCAGTTGTGTTAATTTTTCTGGCAAGGCCTTCAGTGCTATAGTAGCTCCTCCCTCCCTCTCCCCCCCCCCCCCCCCCCCCGCCTAGTCTCATGCTGCTTGTCACCAATGACAATGCTCTATGAAGTGCAGTGCTTCAGTGAGCTAGCTGGGTGAGCAGGGAATCCTACACTGCTACAGTCTGTACAGACAGTGACAGGGAGGTGGTGCAATGGCCAATGTTTCATGTGGCCCAATCTCCCTGCTCCCATGGAGTACTGATTCGTCAGCGTCATGTCTATCACGGTTCAATAAGTTACAGTCACAGTGTATATCTACATGTGTATGATGTATATCAAAAAGTGTATCATGGACCTTTAATTACTGCCAATAGTGCATCATTTCTGGTGGCTACCACCTGCCTCCTTCCTGCTGCAGGTGGTGCCATCCTGCTGTGCCTCTGCACACACTTAGCCACTGCACTGCAGTCCCTAGCTGGGAATTTGGACCCTGACATTGGTGGTGCTACATATACATGATTGTGCTCTGGGACATGCAGTGTAATTACATGTATGTGGAGGGCTGCTGCTTGACCTCGTCGGTATTTCTCTCTTTCCTTCCTGTCCGGTTAGATTGGGCGCTACTAAAGCAATGCACAGCTGCCTTTTTGTTGTACAGTATGAGATATCCTGTTTAGCTCAGCTACTGGGGTTGGAGCTACTACAATGTAGAACTGTGTCAGTAGCAAAACAGTGGACATATGTGTACAGATGTGTATTGCAATTATTTTCGGATCATGCAGCATACAGCATGGGGGTACATTTCTGTACTAGTACAGTACTTGTGCCTTATACCACCCTCCATTGTACTGTCAGTTTCATAATACAACATTACGTACTGCGGATTGTGGTGTCAGTGAAGGCTGAACTATTGCGAGAGGACACCATGACTGTATGCATTGCATGGTCGGAATTGCCGAAAGCATGCCCGATGGTTCTTGATGTGATGCTATCAAAGTGACAATTGCTCCTGCATCCGGCCGGCCGTGGGGTCCACTCAGTGATGGCTGAAGTGTACTGTGTAGGTGTGCCACCATCACAATTGCTGAATTAGCTACCGGCTTGGCATGAATGCTGCTACTGCACCCTACCTAACAATTACAAGCATCCATCGCAGTGGATATTAATTTGATGTTAGCACCTCAGGTATGCCGTTATTCTGGTTTGCTAATTGCAGGTATGATAGTGAAGCCGACTGGCCATGCAGCTCCCCTGGAACTCTCGTCACCCATGTATGGGACTGCAAATTGAGTTTCTTCTCCGATTGATTCGCCGATAAGCAGTTTGTGTCACAACACTGTCCATACTGGTCCCCAAGCCATTGATACTTGATGAGCACAAACTAGCCAAACAGCTGCCAGTAAGATGGACTATTGTGGTGGCCATTGCACCCAGACCTGCTGGACCTAGTGTTCCTGTTCTTGTTGTTCAGTGCCCTGGCCGGCCTCTTTACCTGTGTAGCTCATCAGGATAGCCAGTCCAGTTGGATTGGAATGCAGCACTGTGTGAGGCTTTGCCACTGATCATATCCTAGGAAAACTAGAGGCAATGCCTACTACCAGGAGTACATAAGTTACCTAAGGATTATGTGCTCTTGCTACTACCGGTACTAGTAGTAGTAACTTTAATTCCAACTGCACGGGACTGTATTGTCGCTGCAAACGGTCTGCAACAGCCAATCCGAACCTCACACTGAGCAGGGCCAGTGCATACTGCATACTCCTCAGACTAATGCATGTTATGACGTGGCACTTTGACGCCAGCAAGGCGCGGGCGGGCCATACTGATAATACATTGTACCGTAAAGTACCGCCAGAGCGCCCCACCATCTCGTCCTTTCGTGGTCGTATTGTGGAGGTGGTCTGCTGTCTGTAGGTCATACGACATGAACCTTGTACACATATTGCACGTTTTGCAGTCAATCCGTACCTTGGAGCGAACACAAGCTCCACACAAAACCCTGCCAAGTGTGACCTTAGTACACTAAGATTCTCACATCGTACAAACTTCGTTGCACTCTGCCATACGATTTTCCTTTCTCTGCCTGTAAAATCAAGGTGGGGCGCTCTCGCGAGACGGGGCGCTCTGGCGGTACTTTACGGTAATAATAATATTTAATAATAATAATAATAATTGTATTTCAATAGCATTGGTACATGATGACTGAGTCTGTACCACTAGTGCATGTTGCTACTACCTGAACTATGCTAATCATCAGCTGAGCATGCTGCTGCTGCTGTGTGACTTGTACTACCAAGAGTACTAGTATTAAAATGAGTACTTCGAAGTACCAGTAATACAGTCTGTACAACTAGTACTGTACAAGGGTTATACAGTAAAACCTGGTGTAAGCGACCTCTGGTTTTAGCGACCACCTGCTCTTAACGACTGTTTTTCCATGCACGGACAGCTCTACACTGAACCTCTACGTAACTTTGTAGTCCAGCCTGCATACACGCCGCAGAGAGTTTCCGACGAAGTGTGTCTGCAGTGGTTGGTTGTTGTTTGCTGCTAGTGCACAAGCCTTGACAAGGAGTAGCAAGTAGCAGGCGCTAGGCCTAGACTCCTGTCCGGTCAAGGAGGCAGAAGCATTCAGTCTTGTTCCGGCCAATCCAGGGGCTGACTTTCTTTCTCTACGTGATCAAAACCGCACAGTACAGTACAGAACAGAGCAGCAGCCAGGGCTACAGTCAAACGTACCTGCTTGGGCACTCAGCTACTTTCTGGTATGTAAATGTACATGAGAGCCTAAGTTAGTGTGGAATTTCGTACATGTACATGTATGGCAGGGTGTAGACTGATGGCAATACATGTAACTCTGTGAAAGACCATCATCATTGAAAGCACCCCACGTGATTGCATTACCATTCTGTGGATCTGATTTACTGTCTTTAATAGTATGATGCTTGGAATTGAAATGTGGCATTGAGGGAACTTGAAGACCACAAACCATCTCTCACTTCGCTGGGCACAGCATTGTCACTATGGCTGAAAGATGATGACAAAGTTGCAATTAGGCTCTGAGCCAGTCTGCCTGCATTTGTGATGATTGATGACAGTGGAGCCACAGGGGTCTCAAGTTGAGAAAACACATTGAACTTTGCAGTTGAAATTACGGATTGGGTTATGTATGGTGTTGGGTGACAGGAGCTCAACCTCTCAGTGGATGAATGGCAGAAGAACATCCGGGAACTCAACTGTTCTGCCTCTCTTCTTCATAAACAATAGGGTTGTTTTTGGAGAAGCTGATTGACTGAAGGGCATGTGTCCGTTGCTGGTCCCTGCACTTCAAATAATAAGTGCTGTTGTCGGGAATTTGTCAGAGCTGCGTTGTCCAGTGTGGACTGAATGTTCAGAGTAGTTGCTGTTGCCACTTAGTTTGTCTGAAACCTGGAAGAAGGTGCTGCTGATGTTTTCAAGCACTGCTGCAATTAGTAGCACTCCTGATTTCATCAAGGAATGCGGAGCTGAAGTTTCTTATTCTTTCCCCACTAGTCTATAGAGTTGGAGTCCCACCATGGGGGTACGAGGTGTATGCATGTGGGTACAAGTACTTGTACTTACACCGCAGTTAGGCCTGATGCACTTGGTGGGGATGACCGCTACTGCGACATTAGTCAGTCATGTAGATGTAGATGACTAAGATGTTTCAAGCACACCGTGCAGTAGTCATGACGTTTGTATGACGGTCGGTATGATGAACAAACCTGGAGTTATTCCATAGAAATTGGGCCGGAGTTCTGTGTGCACCGTTTAAAGACTTTAAAAGTTTTTAAAAGTCATCGACTGTTTGGATTTCTGGTTCACCCCACTTGCGGTCAACTCTGGCTGAACTCCCCTAAGCTGAACGCTCCACGGGGGTACGGCCACAAAGCGTGCATCATACCAGCACTCAGCAGGCTGCTACCGGTATTACCAGTACAGTACTAGGTTCCAAGCATGCTAGTGTTGTAGTAGCTCAGTCCCTGGAGATGTAAGTACTCTGTACTGCTAGGAGTGATTGTACTATTTGTAGCGCTGGTAGTTGCCAGTACATGTATTACCAATAGTTAACAAGAGAGCATGGTTTACTCTTGCTCATACGGGTTAAAAACATCCCAGGCTCAGCATCTGAGGCTTCATTTGCCTGAACATTAGGCTAGGCACGGCCGGGCGGGCCGGGCCGGTATGTGTTCCCTTAGGTACTACAAGACAGTAGCATTTTGAAGGCCTATTGGCTTCAGCAGTAGTAAAGGCTTCCAGTACATGTTTTGGACATGGCTTTCTTTTACCTACATTGTACATGACATGCGGGATGAACCCAATACATGTACTAGTAGCTGCGCCAAAAAAAAGAGTAACCGTAACAGACTACCTGTTTTCATGGTTATGTTGTTATCGAGTTTGAAAGGACAGAGGGCCAAATCATAGCATTATTCATATTTACATGTATTTCTCATTTTCTCTAGGGCAGTCTCCACAGTCCACAGATCCACATGGATCATTGTACATGTATGTGGATGTGGGAGCATGTACCATTGAACTGATTCAGCAGATTCAGTCAACTCGGATACTGCATGGCACTACACGAGTGCTAGCATCTGGTTCTTCTTTCTGCACTGCTTGAAAACACTGCTACATCATAGTTTTGTTTGTCAGAACAAGAAGCTGAGGTGTAATAGTCTCCCTGTTTTGGAAAAAACCCAATAGTATAGTAGTAGTATTTATTCATATTTCTCTAGGGCAGTCCCCACAGACCTATGGTCTCCTTACGGGGTACCCTAGCCAATCTAGGATTGCGATACGAAATTGACTTGGTGAAGCAGCAAGGCGGACCAATGCCGGAACCAATGAAGAGGAGCCTGGGCTCCTGAGATACATCGCGACTTTACTGGGGATGACTTTACAGTATACACGTAATTTTATACTGAGCCTTAAGTTATAGTTGCGCTATGGTATAGTAACAAGAGTACATACTCTTGAATGATCTGCTTTGCCAGTAGTGAGTGGTGACTGCGATTAATAAGTGTCTGTAGTTTGTATGGCATGCGCTGTGAAACTTTGGATTCTCCCCTTCATTTTTCCTGATAATCATTAAAGGTACTTTACAGCCTTTGGGCACCGAAGACACACGCATACTTTCAGCTAGAATACAATCATAAACCTTTATGTACTCTTGGTTTACATGTATGTGCTCTTGCTTTCAAGTTTCAGGTATAGCACAACTAACTTTGTGTGTCTTCACTTGAGAGAGGGCGAAATTTTCCTCGGACCCAGCCAAATGGCATTGTTGTACAGTCATGTATACATGAAAACAGCTACATGTACATGTACATGTATGTCAAAGCAACCGCGGGTAACACTCACTGGCCGCGACATCCGCATCACCATCGCCTATAATTATAATTATGTACACTGTACTTCGAAATATGATTGTGTTTAGAATGCAAGCAGTTTAGGAAGTTTGGCACGTGTCAGGCTACCACCGGTGCACTATTTCTGATACATGCATGTGCATTCTGGTATTACATTGGAGTAAGAAGTGTTTTGTTAAGAGTGACTGTCCCGTGTGCACATGTGCCGTACATCACCTGTAACCAGCATTTTGAAACGTTGTTGAGGGGGATGGGGGGGGGGGGCAAGAACTCCCCTCAACGTTATTTTCAATGGGTTGACTTCATACGACCAGACGACTAAAATAATAATACATTTAATTGAAACAGTAGTTTGGAGGCGGTGGAAAAACAGTTTCGTAATAAGTATTCGCACGCAACAACGCAAATCCACACAATTCAGTAGACACTTCTTTTCTATCAAACGTTTTCTTTCCCTTCTCTTCAGGACAGTACAGGGAATGTTGTAAATTTGAAAAACACATAACTATATAGAGAATGAAAGAAAGAAAAAAGTCAACACTTCAACATACATGTAGGTGTTAAAATGATTAAAGTGTTAAAAACTCAAAAACAAACAGCTGCAAGTTGTAGACAAACACGTTGAACACATCAGGGAACACTTGTCACACTTTCACGAGGTGTGACACCAAACAACTGCAACGATAACACATTCTCCTTCTGTACACATAGTTCTGGATCTAGTTTACGAATATACAGAGCTTCTAACACAGCAAGATGTAACTTAGACCTTCCACGAGTCAAAATCGAAAAGATATCATCACTATACAACTTACGACAACTAGCACTGCCCGACAAATGACGCTTGATGGACGATGTCCGATCACTTAGCTCTGTCACCTTCGACGCCTGCCGTTGTTCTCTTCCGTTAGGCTTGTTTGGTTGGTTGCTCCGGTCCACACCTCCAACGTCCGTTGATTTCATGTCCGTTTTTGTTGATTTCATGGCCGTTTTCGTTTCACTTCTTGGTCTTCCTCGTTTCCTCTTGTTGATCGTTGTTGTCACTTCCATTATCAACGTATTCAAATCCCCAGTACTCCGTCTCTTCACCTTGCTTCTGGTAACTCTTCCGGTGTCTATGAGCTCCAGTGTCACATTGGGTGGTTTTCGAGACGGTCTCCCTCGCTTCCTCACGCTAGTCTGAGATGGGCCAAGCTCCCCGCCCGTCGAGGCGGAGGCGCGCATGCGTACATCTACACTGGACGCAGACAAAGGCGTTCCAGTATCGGACTGCACAGCACCTTTTGGAGGACGGCCACGACGAGGACGAGTACCACGAGCGTCAACAGGGACAAGACCTAACGGCACATGTTGACGGATGCGTGCGCCCAGGTGTTGAAGGGTTCTACCTACGTACCGATCTTCACATTCTCGGCACTGAAAAAAATAGATAAGGTTGCTTCTACTAAGGGTAGGTAGAACGTCCTCCTTCACACTGAACGCACGCGTCGTTCCAAATACTAAATACAATTTCACGCACGGGTAAGACGAACAGACAATGTTGCGCACCTCCTTCTCGACGCGCGCAGAACCAGCACCCACCCAGGGTAAGCGGAGTACCACGGGGCACCTGTCCGGTCCAAATGGTTTCGGATCCTGCGTGATTGGTTTGTTATTAATAAGTTTTGTTAGTAGTGACGAGGGGTATCCATTGTTTGTCAAAATTGATGTGAGCCGCCTCAGTTCTTCTTGAAGAAGGTGAGGAGAGCAGATTCGACGGGCACGATAGACTAGTGCTTTGACAAGGTGAACTTTGGATTTAGTTGGTGTGTAGCTTCCCCATGGAATATACAAGCCAGTAAAGGTGGGTTTTCTGTAAACCGTCATGTCTAAACTCTTGGTGTCGTTGTTGCGGGTAATATTGACATCTAAGAAGGATATCACACCGTCCCGTTCACCTTCTGCAGTGAATTTTAATGCAGGATGTAGTCCGTTTAGGGTTGTTAAAAAGTTCTCGCAGGTTTCTTGGTCCTCGTCGTGACAAAAAACATCATCTACAAAACGGTAGTATACCGAGGGCCATAGCGATGGGGGAATGGATGACTCGCAAAATCCAACGAATATGTTTGCTAATACCGGACCAAGTGGAGATCCCATCGCAACTCCATCCAACTGTTTATACATGACATTGTCAAAGGAAAACTCAACACCAAAAGTGACCATTAACATGAGTTTGACAAATTCGCTCTCATTCAAATCTGGTGGAGTCACGGACTTGTTATGGTACAACGCTGCTGCACAAATATCAATGGTTTCACGCAATGGAACATTGGTGAACAAACTGACGACATCGTACGAGCACATGTAACCACAGGACTCAAACTTCGATTTCCTGATCTTATCTACGAACTCGAATGTGTCCTTGACGCAATGGTTATTGTAAAGGGCGAGCACAGTCTGCAGCATTGCGCACAACCACTTGGATATCTTAAATTGCGGAGAACCGGACATGCTTAGTATCGGTCGTAATGGTATATTCTTTTTGTGAATTTTCGGCAGGCCATACATCCGCGGCCGAGTGGATCCCGTTGGTGCTAGCCGGTCATGTTCATATTGAGTAATCTGATGAGATCTAGATAGAAACAGTAGGTATTTACTTAATTTCGTATCTATGTTTGCAGTGTGATCATAACCATCGCACGGGCCGAGTCTACAGAACTTAGTGGTGTCATTGAGTATGACCATCATCTTCGCTCTATACTCCACTGCCGACATAATCACCGTTGCCCGGCCCTTGTCAGGGCGAGATATCACGATTTCAGGGTTCTTCCTAAGTTCCTTGAGAACTTTTATATGTTCCCGCGTCAGTGAAAAGGATCGTGTATCTGGCGGAGACTGGGCAAACCGGAACGCCTCGGCAGCCAAGGAAGCTCGGCAGGTTGCCGCCGCCAACTCCGATTTCGCGGGAACAGTGGACAGCTGTTGTTGAAGAAGTTCAAATTCAGCCAAAATATCAGTCTGGTTGAATTTGGGAGGGACGCGTGCGTTCAGTGTGAAGGAGGACGTTCTACCTACCCTTAGTAGAAGCAACCTTATCTTTTTTTTTCAGTGCCGAGAATGTGAAGATCGGTACGTAGGTAGAACCCTTCAACACCTGGGCGCACGCATCCGTCAACATGTGCCGTTAGGTCTTGTCCCTGTTGACGCTCACGGTACTCGTCCTCGTCGTGGCCGACGCGTGCGTTCAGTGTGAAGGAGGACGTTCTACCTACCCTTAGTAGAAGCAACCTTATCTATTTTTTTCAGTGCCGAGAATGTGAAGATCGGTACGTAGGTAGAACCCTTCAACACCTGGGCGCACGCATCCGTCAACATGTGCCGTTAGGTCTTGTCCCTGTTGACGCTCACGGTACTCGTCCTCGTCGTGGCCGTCCTCCAAAATGTGCTGTGCAGTCCGATACTGGAACGACTTTGTCTGCGTCCAGTGTAGATGTACGCATGCGCGCCTCCGCCTCGACGGGCGGGGAGCTTGGCCCATCTCAGACTAGCGTGAGGAAGCGAGGGAGACCGTCTCGAAAACCACCCAATGTGACACTGGAGCTCATAGACACCGGAAGAGTTACCAGAAGCAAGGTGAAGAGACGGAGTACTGGGGATTTGAATACGTCGATAATGGAAGTGACAACAACGATCAACAAGAGGAAACGAGGAAGACCAAGAAGTGAAACGAAAACGGCCATGAAATCAACAAAAACGGACATGAAATCAACGGACGTTGGAGGTGTGGACCGGAGCAACCAACCAAACAAGCCTAACGGAAGAGAACAACGGCAGGCGTCGAAGGTGACAGAGCTAAGTGATCGGACATCGTCCATCAAGCGTCATTTGTCGGGCAGTGCTAGTTGTCGTAAGTTGTATAGTGATGATATCTTTTCGATTTTGACTCGTGGAAGGTCTAAGTTACATCTTGCTGTGTTAGAAGCTCTGTATATTCGTAAACTAGATCCAGAACTATGTGTACAGAAGGAGAATGTGTTATCGTTGCAGTTGTTTGGTGTCACACCTCGTGAAAGTGTGACAAGTGTTCCCTGATGTGTTCAACGTGTTTGTCTACAACTTGCAGCTGTTTGTTTTTGAGTTTTTAACACTTTAATCATTTTAACACCTACATGTATGTTGAAGTGTTGACTTTTTTCTTTCTTTCATTCTCTATAAATTATAGTTATGTGTTTTTCAAATTTACAACATTCCCTGTACTGTCTTGAAGAGAAGGGCCGGGAAGAAAACGTTTGATAGAAAAGAAGTGTCTACTGAATTGTGTGGATTTGCGTTGTTGCGTGCGAATACTTATTACGAAACATTTAATTGAAGTAAAGTTAATATCCGAGGCTTGTTTGGGGGTATGAATAGACCTGGAAATCCTTCAATCTGGGGGCGCCGGGCTGGCAGTGTTCACCGGAATCACGCGGTGACCTTGATAAAACTAGGTTTATTTATACGACTCGCTTGTGCTGGCCACGTGCACATGCAATGCCGATCCCTGGAAAAGTTGACGTCAGCGAAAAATAGCCCCCCCCCCCCCCCTCTCCTGGGCGCTAGGCATGGGTCAAAGTGAGCAGGAGTTACAAATTGTGTAGAGGTGCACACCCTGATTTATGTACTTCGCTTTGCATGACTTGTGATATTGCGACACTTTTTCTGTATACAATCATGTAAAAAATACTTTTCACTAAAATCATAAAACAGCAATTCTAAATTCCGTGGCAAATCCAACGAGCAAATGGAGTTCTTCTGTGGCGCTTTCTTGTGAGTCATTTTGTACTGAATTAATTGGCAATACTGGAGGGAGGCCTTCTCACATCATTCCAACAAATGCTTCTCAGAATCCAATCGGTCCACAATCATGCATGCACCTCACCAACACAGTACACGAGAATGCACGCATCATGTATACCCGTCACAAGACAAGCAGGCACACGACTCTTCAAAATTTGAAAATCTGCATTTAATGCAGTGGATGTACAGCCAAAGATCAGAATGAAACAGATCAAGGCGCATATACGGACGCGCACACACACCGTGACACACAACACACCACCATGGGCCAAGACACGAATGCGAATACAGAGTTATCAGCAGCCCAACAGCCGCCATTTTCTTTGCCTAACAGGAAGGAGAATACTCAATGTACTCTATGGTACAGCACCACACATCCACAAGAAACGCAGCGGCGGCGGCAACAGCAACGACCAGAATAACAACGGGTACAAGATGCAGAGTATAATTATAATGGAAGCAATGAGCAGAGAAAGGTCAATTATGTAGCTCTAGGTCTGACCTACACAGAGCGGCACGCCACTGGAAGAGCTATGTACACACGCTGCAGCAGAAACAAGCAAACTACAAAAGAAAAGAAAAAAGAACCCTAAATATACATGTAGAGGGACGAATGTGCATCGTTTGAAACATGTGAACTTCTAAAAAAAAACAGAGGAAAGACAGAGAGAAAGAAGGTAGCAAGCAATATTCATGAACATCCCTCAGAAAGTCAAGGACATGACCAGGAAATCTTTTTCATTAAAAAATATCCAGAGTTAACACACCATGAGAACAAAAACAAAGACGACGTGGGGTGGACAATCGGAGCACAGAAACTGACCCCACACGACAACGAAGAGTACAGAACGAGGAAAAAGCGAGAAAGTAATCAATGACATACAGATAAAGAGCAAAGCATTCAGTCGCACACGAGCAGCAAGCACACACACACACGCGCGCAAGGGCGAACAATCTGGCCGATATTTACACAACTAGAAACTAAACACAAGCCATTGTCAGCAGACTGAAGCAGGCAGCGGTGCTGACTAGCTGAATGATAGAGAGACCAGCTCGGAAAAATCAATAAGGAAAACTACTAAAATGTCCTAAAATGCGAGGGCTAGCGTAAAGAGAGAGACGAGAGTAAGAAGGTGTGCGCACAGTGACAGTACGAAGGTGCAATGATAACGGGGACATGGGTAAGCGTGCGTATGCCGTGTGCATGCGCCATAATAACATGACTACTTGCAGTCTACATTCGTATATTCAGTGTGAGTCAGTTTATGCAGCGGAGACGAAGTCCTCTGTTTGCAGCAAGGCCACGCGTGCCAGCGCTTCCTCTCTGTGCACCTCATGTCCTCGACTGTTCAGTCATAATAGGCAAATAAAGATGAACCTCAACCAAAAGGCATCGGTGAGTTCATTGTTGCCCGCAGATCAAAATGAAGGTAAAAAAAGAAAGAAAGAAAGGAAGGAGCCATTCCTTCTCAAGCAGTCGAAACCATGTTCGGAACGAGAAATATAGATAGAGAGAAAGAGGAAGAAAGAGAGAGAGAGGTGGCAGGGTAATGAGAACAGCTGCTCAGAATATTCGAAAGTATAGGCTGTTGCTGTAGTGTAAAGTAAAATCAGCAGTGCTGGAGTGGCGGGTGAGCATCGCGCAGGCAATGTGTGGCAGCAGCAGGATAGGGATCGCGCAGGCAATGTGCGGCAGCAGGATGATAGTTGTGAGTAGTTTCATGTAGAGAACGTTGGTCAGGTACGATATGGCAGAGATGCCCGGCCTGGTATACCAGTGCCGCTGCCTGGTCCGATTCGCAAGCCACCAGCGAGCATGACCGGTAACGACCAGCACTACGGCTTGTGGAATCTGTACACGCACACGTATACACGCACGCACACATATACACGCACGCACACGTATACCCGCACGCACACGTATACCCGCACGCACACGTATACACGCACGCACACATATACACGCACGCACACGTATACCCGCACGCACACGTATACCCGCACGCACACGTATACACGCACGCACACATATACCCGCACGCACACGTATACCCGCACGCACACGTATACACGCACGCACACATATACACGCACGCACACGTATACCCGCACGCACACGTATACACGCACGCACACATATACACGCACGCACACGTATACACGCACGCACACATATACACGCACGCACACGTATACACGCACGCACACATATACACGCACGCACACGTATACACGCACGCACACGTATACACGCACGCACACATATACACGCACGCACACGTATACACGCACGCACACGTATACACGCACGCACACATATACACGCACGCACACGTATACATGCACGCACACACAGACAAAGGCCATCATGTTTGCCCTTAGCAAGAGAAACACGCTGATAATCTCCAAGTGCACCGGCTACATACCAGCTACTTTTCTCGTGCAACATTGACCGTGGACAACATTCTGTTTGCAACACATGTAGTGTGTACATGAAGTAAACATACTTGGTCCGCATCAGCGATATTGTCGCTTATCTTTCAGCTTTGTTTATATGTCGCCAATGCTCACTTGGCAACCCATTTCATCCCAATTTTGGTTAGTAAGTTAGTTGACTAGTACCTGAAAGGTCTAGCTAGATTTCGAGAGGATTTCGAGAGCGACGAGTGGGTGATTCTGATTGATACAGCGCCGCATCAAAATAGATTATCTTGTTACGCTGTGCAGGCAAGAGCAGCGCAAGCCACAAGAAAGTAATCGGCCACTCGGAATCAGCTCTATTTTGCTGAACGGCCGAGATCGCTCACCTCAGGGATCGCTCGTGAAGCTGAGATCGCAGGTCCCTCACCTCCAGCTCAACATTTGAAGTATCCAGCGCGTCGTGGAGATTTGCAAGTACTGTACGCGTCGTCGTCGTTCAAAATAAAATCTTGCAAAGAACGGCGTCTGATTTGAACCACACAGGCTGTCGTGCTGCCCACGCAAAGTCCTATAGAGAAGGCGACCGTCACGATCGACTTCTCTTTAGAAAATAGCCAGGCAGCGGAGAGGAAGAGAGATGAGCTTGCAAAAGCAAGAGAGTCGATCCCGAGCAAAAATATTTGTCACCAGCGTCGAGAGCAGCGACGAGAAGGACCGATAAAAGTAGGAACCTTTCCTTGGACAATAAATTCCTCATAGCTAGTTGTCCTTCTATACCTTACCTTCCATCGTACCAAGTTTTATCACTTCAAGTGCACGCGTTGATGTCCAAAGTCTAAGTAACAAATTGTCGAAAGATAAGCGACAATATTGCTGACGCGGACCAAGTATACACCTGTAGCCAATGTGCTTACCGGGTCATGTAGGCACTGTCCGGGTGCACTTCCATTTCAGAACTTTTGAACTCGTTCAGCTCACGGCGAATAAGGGCCTTGTCTGGACCTCGGAGGCGCGTCCAGGGCTTATCCGCACTGCAAAGCAAACAACACACACCGCATACAGGTCAGACCTCGGTATAACGTAATCTCTGGGGGATAGGAGAAATTATGTTATAGCGAGGGTCGATATAGCGAGGTTTATGTTATAGCGAGGTCTGACCTGTACTTGTAACACGTCTTCTCCTCTACTCCATACATGCATCATGTGCATGCCAAGTACCACTTGTCTGCTTCACACAAAATAGCTGCCATTGCATGTGCATGTACGGGAACAGAAGCCCGCAACAGGGCCACTGCATCTATCATACACAGGGTGCAAATAATGTGTACGGGTTCAGTCACGTGATGTGAAGTTCCGCCGCTGCAAACTAGGCAAAGCCCGAGTTTGCCAGTGATATTTTGCAATATTTTGCGGCAACATTTTGCTGGCTCATCATCGATATTTTGATTTTGCCCGGCCACTCGATATTTTGCCCCCTTTCTGCTCCAATGCGAAGCCAAATCTGTGTCACGTGTGGGAAAACTGACCGAAAGTGGATCACGTGCACCGTATAAGTGTAAAATCTCCTAATTTCCAGCGAACATATGCTATAGGACACACTAGAACACGGACGACAACCAAAGAGAAGGGGTAAACTTACTGTCGGTCATAGTCCACAGCGCCAGTCACTTCGCAGTAGTTTGCAAAACTAAAGAGAAAGAGAAAAGAAAAGCAACCACACAAGGTCAGGGCACTGGGAAACAACACTACTCACGCTGGAGATGACTGGAGTAGGGATATCAGCGAACGCACTGCGCAGCCCATCTGCGCAGGTCAGCCTGGCCCATCTACGCGCGGCCGACAAGAAAACTCATGGACACTTTCATTTTTTTTGCAAACTAAATCGTGCGAAGAAGATGCACGGAATGGCTGAAAACTAGGCTGAGGAATAGTAGCATCCAGAGACTCTCAAACAAATTCATGGTCCATCGCTTCTGGCAATGGCAGCGAAGACATCAGGGAGCTGATTGCAGCAACTCTCTACCAAGCGCGATGCTGGTTACTCACCAGGGCAGGGCACTTCCATCGCGCAAGAAATGGCTGCGAGCGAGAAATGGAAGTCCGATTTTGGAACGATCCAACCAGGGAAATTCCTTGAAAATTGGCCTGAACACCTCTCATACTGGTGTTTCACGATGTGCAAACTTTCAGAGAAATCGACCGGGGAGAACGTGGTGAGTTCGTGGGTCCTCGAGTATCGAATATGATTTGAATGGTCGCGGGGACAGAAGAACAGTGATTTTACGACTCTCAGTGGTGCAAACAGACCGCGGCCATGTTTTCTCTGTCGGCCGCGATCACGTTCAAAAAATCGATGACGCAATGCGTGCGCAGAGGCCTGCGCAGTGCGTTCGCTGACATCCCTAACTGGAGTGCAGCAGTCAGCACGAGGCCCGCTGTGAATGCTCACCTACCTTGTACAGGAGAACTGGGCCTGCACGCACTGATCCCATGCATACCGTGCAACACACAAAGAAAACAGTGTTGTCAGAGGAGCAATCGAGAATTCTTCCAACACAAGCAAGTGGTAACTCAGTAGCTGCTGCCGTCGCTGTCTCATCGTCCTCACGCTCTTCCCCACCACAGTGCCAGTCGCCGAGTCGATGACTGTTTCGCAGTTTCGCCGTTCAGACAGTGGGATTGCGCAGCACAGCACTTGAATTCCAATTGTGCCCACGGCGCGCCAGCGCTCACAATGCAGTTTGCACATGCCAATGCCACTGTGTGTGTGTGTGTGTGTGAGCCAGGGACAATAGGCCTATAGTGATCGTCTAGTCTGAAGCACACCCCCCCCCCCCCCCATTACTTAGTACGTCTCTACAGTACGAAAGTGTGGATGAACCAGTCAGCAGTCCAGACCAAGATGAATATACACGTACTGAAAATCTAAAGGCACACATTAACAATGCCGAACAGTGACACGTTCTAAACTAATACTTACTGTATGAGAATGTTGCGCTCTCGCAGTTCTTTGATTGTTGGTCGCCGACTCAGCTGTCACACACACACACACACACACACACACACACACACACACACACACACACACACACACACACACACACACACACACACACACACACACACAACACGGACATAAACAAGTTACTGTAAGACATGTAAATATAACGGGGAAGTAAATCTAACGTTTCAACGAGTTACATTTCTTTGCTATAATAAGTTCTGTTGAGGTCTAATTCCTGATTTGTGTTATGTGTGGATATGCCTGTATGCCTGAAGACGGCAAGATCGCTCACGTATCTTCTCGTTAACCTATGAATTTTGGACAATCGTTAAATTTGCGACTCGTTATAATAACAAGTCTTTAAGTATAGCAATGCGCAAACATTTCCACACTCGCAGGGGTGCTGCAGCCTTCCCTGGTCAGAGGTAGCAGATGCAGGCCGGGGTACCAGTTTGTGCATGGCAGATAGTCGATGATACACAGCGGAGATGGATTGGCAAGATGTGACAGAACTGATTGTACTTCGAAGTACCTAGATCGAGCATCATGTGATGTTCTGTAGATTCCATTTTCATTGCCCTAATACTAATGAATTATCAATGGATTTAAACTTGGATACTGAGCCCAAAACATCTATAATCATTGTTCTCCAAAAGTTCTGAAGGAATGGGCACATTGTTTTCAACAATGTTTCCTGACTGAACCATCGCAAAGAAAGTTTGCTACGGCAAGAGGAAGGCCAATTGTACGACCACGCACTGCATCGGTCCGTATCTGGAGACTCTTCTTACGGCGAACGCGGGTCTCTTTGTCGTATCGTCACCAGCACATGTACTTCTGAATCGATTGTCGGTGGTGTTGCTATTGTATGTATTTTCTGTTCGTAAAACTTTCAGATCAAGAGGTCTATGTTATAATGTAGTCATGTTCGACGAAAGCCTAGTCACCAACAGCTTCATCATCGAGACTAACACTAGGGCTGCCACGTGATCCACGGGCAGAAATCCTTTGCTGCGTGGATGTATGGTGCAGGGGTGGCGTGCATGGTACAAACAAAAAGGAAAGAGGTGCGTGCAAGGGCAGCAAGATTTTACGGCACTCACTTTCCGTTGTAGCGTCGACTTGACTTCATCGCGCGCCATGTGTATTTCATCCGTTGAGTGACCTGGTCAGCACAATACGACACCATCACTAAACATTAGAGCAAGTTTGAAGACGACTGCTGCTGCTGTGGCTATGCCATCATGGGGGAAGAGTAAGGACCAGTATACGAGTGGAATACCGTATTCTCCGGAGTATAGGCCACATTTTAAAGACTAGTAATTCGTCCAACAAAAGCCTGGGACACTACAAGGGTCGAATTAAGAGACAAACAATCTGCGTGCGGCTTGTACTCCAGAAAATACGGTACTGAAGACGGTTGAAACAGATAAACATAAGACATTAGTGATGACTATCACGATTATAAGTAGAACTTAGACACTGTTTTGCTCTTTGATCAATAATTGAAGATATATTCCTAACAACCTCATATCATCTAGAGTTGTATGAGCTGCTTTCAATCTACTGAAGTGTCTGGAGCTCACGCAGCTATCAGTGATAGCAATAGAGAAAAGCAGGACAGAACACAAGAAAGGGTGTCGAAGAGAACAACAACTACTGTCGTGGACATGGAAATCCAGTCGGAGGTCAAACGGCCCCAGAGCGCTGGCCATGCAGCAGCCGTGAGTTGGCATGCGATCAACATGTGCATTGTGCATGCAACCTTCTGTACTGAGGGTGCCGGTCCCGGTAATCTGTGACCGGATTTCCATGTCCACAGCAGTAGGCAACACATAGAGGATGAATGATGACTCACGGTGAAGAATGTTGCGTTGCTCGAGCTCTTCCTTGCTGGGACGTTGACTCAGTCGCCTACAGGGAGAGAGAGAAGGAGAGAGATTCAGGCAATAACAAGAGACAAGCGCCGTTACTTACACGATAAACAACAGCCACTATGATGACAGCAAGCAGGCCTGGGGCTTCCACCAGCTTGGCCAATACCATTGGGGATGAGAAAGGGTAGATTGTGATCAAATCATCTTCTCGCAGAAACATGGCAGTCTGGCAGATCAATTTAGTATTGTGGAGATTCTTTCGAAGTGGTGCACCACAGGACAGTGCAAAAATGATGTGCCAATGGCACGCCCAGCCGCCCTGAAGCCGTGATAATGGCGATAAGGATGGCGTGCATTCGACTGCTTACCGCACGAGTTTGTTACCAACTACTGCGCGCTCTTTGCGAACATCCTCAGATTCTGAGTCATCATCCTCAGATGCCGCTGATCTCTTCCACTGCGTGGGGTTGTCTGAAACAAAATGATTTCGAGAAACAGTAAAAGGAGGTCAGTGTGAATGTACACACATGCGTTTATGCAGAACAATAAAAAGGCATAAAAGCTGTAGTATTCCTCGCTAATCGAACATGTTCAAGAAGTTACGAGCGTATTGCACAATCGAGTGAGGGCTGTGCCACAAAAGGAGAGTTATAGCAGCACTAAAGACAGAAAACGTTCGTTGCAATCAAACCAAAAAATCACGTGGCATTCGGCAGACGAAAGGTAATCTCTTCCTTGTTGTTAGACATGCACTGTACTTCAAACCGTCCACTTCAGGCAATCTTCTGTGTACTGCTCAGTACAAATGAGTCACTATGATAATTATGCTGGTAGAGCAAAGCATGCTGCAGCTTGGTTACCCGGTTTCTGCACCTGGATGCATTCGTGGTTCACGTTCGCGGCCCTACCATATCACATGCTACAAATACAGTACTGTACAGTACACATCACGGTGATGAATGGAATGACACACCGCGATGTGTAGTGTGACCGATAGGCGCGGCCAACATCCATGACCATACTCACCTCCTTCGATGTGGCGATTCAGAGTGTCTTTTCTCTTTACTTTTGCAGCGAGACCTGTGACATACGACATAGAGAGCACAAGGAGGGAACAGAAGGAGGCTTCGTGAATGCTTGTGTGCTGAAAACCTGTAGTCACTCACTCACAGCACAATGTCAAAACCCCTCTGCCTATACAATCATGTACTGTACTTGATACACAAAATCAAAGCACAGTGATTGCACTACCCCCACCCGTACAGACCGTACAAAGGAAAGAGCATACGGAAATAGTTCAAAGTACCTGTGGCTGGCACATCTTCATCGTCGCTGTCGCTATCGTTAGCACGGTTGCTACTACCGCCATCAGTAGATACCGCAGCACCATTACCATTGGAAGTGGCAGCAGCGGAGGCGACGGGTTGCCGAGGACCGTCTGCACCGCCAACAGTACTTTGGCCGCTGTCATTCGAAGAGGACGCCTGGCTGACAGCCGGTGATGCGTGCGGACTGGTGCTGGACACCAGTATACTCGAGTTGCCAGTTTTCCGTCTCCGTGGCTTATCGTGCACTGGCGATGGCGTTGCATTCTCTTTCTTCGACGTACGGATCATCTTCACATGACAAAACACACAGAGCCACAGCAGACACAGGGAAATACTGTGAAAGCGATCGATAACAAAGTAAGAAAGAGTTTTTGTGAAGCTCTCGCTTACCAATATCATAATATATTCTCCACTATAAGCAGCATGCTTAGGGGCCATCCGTAAATACCGATATTAAATAGAAACGAAAACTAGTCATTTCACTTCAACCTCCCCCCCCCCCCCCCTCCCTCAGAAACGAACACATACAAACGGTGCAGTGTCGATATTTTTATCTTTTTTTCTGGACGTGCCACACACACAAATTGTGCACCGATATTTTTCGAGAAACAAACAGGCGCTCAACCCCCCCCCCCCCCCCCCTAAACGACTAGTTTTTGTTTCTAAATAAATATCTATTTATGGATGGCCCCTTATATTTTCCAGCACGCATCTACTTTGTACTGTAGTGGAGATGGGTGGTACTTGCTTGTTTGCACATCGCTAACAGAACTAGCGAGCTAGCACCATCACAATTAGGGTGACAGTGATATTTGGAAATTCAGTGTACAAATTAGGAGTGAGCAGCAACATGTTTACAAACAGGAATTACACAGCCATTGTACGCTTCCAACAGGAAACGAGTGGTTTTACTGCTGGCGATCATATCATGTGATTGACAAGCGGTGAAAATGTGCGCTCCACTAACAAAACAGAAGTTTCCAAGGACTTGGCGGCACACAGCATACCCCATACCACTACATGAACTGAAATACTAAGGCCAAAACAAATAATGACCTTGTTTCCGGTCGCCCGACCGGGCCACTTTTTCCCAAATTCTGAAACTTTTTTTGGTCCCAAATGTATACAAACCAGGGAGTAGTAAAATACAGGGAGGTGACACGAGCATGTACGGCCAGTTTGACGATTGCCTCAGCACCGTTTTCACCCGGCGGGTGAGATTGGGGTACTATGGGTACCGAAGTGTGTAGACACGCGCGCGGATCAGGATTCTCTCGATCAGGGAGTAGTAAAATACCTACCGCCAAAGAGACTCCTACTGCAGCCCGTAGAAATTCAGCGCTGAGAATTTCCAACAATTGTCTGCCTTCACAAAGTTTGGTAGTCGACCAAACTACCACTGTGTCAGGATAGAAGTCCAGCAAGAGTGGTATCACTTAGTCTTTGGGAGATATCCCTGCGTGCCGTAGATTTTTCCTGTGTCGATACAAGCTGTTTACGACGACGTAGCCCGCGCTTCAATCCGTGACATACTTAGGAACATTTCATTCCGAAAAGTGAACTCCCGAATCTCTAGCATACCATAATATGAAATGCTCATCATCACAAAGAAGGTAGAGAAGTACTGGTTGATCACAACTGAGGAGAAATTAGTGCCGATCGTGTGGTGTCCTAGAGATTTTTCGACTTCGAAATCGGTCCACTCGCTTTTCATCTCCAATCGTACACGTATTGTTCTCAAGGAAATCACCTTCGTTCTATTGCTCCATGCCGTCGATCGGGACGAATTTCGGAAGGGTGGTACCTTTCCATATGACGATGACACAGATGTATCACAAGAGCAAAACAAATGCTGTTCCATGAGATGGATAGACCTTTTCACGGAATTGGTTCTTCGACAAATACTCAAGATTGATTCAACAGATCATCTTTTTTTGCGAAAGAAAAAAAAAACAAGCGCGAGGCACCCATCAAAAATCACGATTAGTGGCGTGTCACCTCCCTGTATTTTACTACTCCCTGATACAAACGGTGGCAATGCCATGTGTGCAAGTGCACTCAACGAGTCATAACTCAGTCAAATCTCAACCGAATTCCACAATCGAAACACCTACAAGGTAGCAGAGATTCTCAGCTGTCGGCTCGAAAACCTCCGGGGTCGATACGAGCTAGGAGCTGGAAGGACTCGAACTGTTTGCTTGATTTCTCAGGATGTACGAAAACAGGAATACACCACATGCTGTACAAGAACAGTGAGTCAGTCAACTTTGACATTGATCTTTGCCATGATATTATGTACAATGTACATGTGTAGGTGCTCTTGTCCATCAATACCACAACGATTGAGGAACCAAAAAAAGTATCCAAAAAAAGTTTCATTCCGGCCGACCGAGTCTCCTTTTTGAGGGGTGCAAGCCTATTTTTTGTTTTGGCCTAACTAGTCCACACGAAACCCACCTCGACAAGCTCCGGATCGGAGATGACGGGCAATTCCTCTGCCGGCTGTGACTCCGCGTCACCGGGCATGCGGTGGCCAGGCCGGAAGAGGCTCACACCGACTGGCACAAGTGTAACGCGCGGCTCAGCAACATAGTCATCCATCGTCAACAAGTCAGCTTCACTGCTGGCACGCCGCCGCTTGAATGCTTCCGCCTAGGAAGAACATACAGACAGAAGACATCGGTCATTCGGTTGAGAGACTTGAATACAAATTATAGAATACTGTCCGCAGATTGAGTAGAATACAACATACAAATTGTGAATGCAATAGCAACAAGCCCAATTCCATAAAACACGGCTTGGGAGAGCTAAGCCTAAAGAAACTTCAGGTTGAGATGCAATGGTTCGAACAGAACTAAGGCCTACAGTGAACGATGGAAATGTGTAGTAGCTGAATTTTTATGAGTTTCTTTATTAGGGCACGTTCGTCTAGCACAGGATTACCCGGAGCACACACTAGGGCCTCCACCGCATTTGAGTGTACGGAGCATGCCCTGGCTACTCTGAGCCATGAAGTCGAGCGGGCAGAGCATTTTGTTTTTGCTGCTTCTGCTGTGTTCACCGTTTCTTTTTGAGATTCTGACGCAAGTTTTCACTTGAAAATGGCACACACGCAAGTCCTATGTGTGCAAGCGGCCAGTCTGTTCAAGACGTTTCTCATCTGCCTTCACATTAGCCATACTTGTGTTTATCTTTCGTGGTTGGTTTCAGGATGTGCGAGGTAGAAATTGACATTAAGCACGGCTTCCAGTGGACACACAAACTGAAGCCGGACCAAATTAGCGCTCGTAGTGCTTGTGATGATTCGTTTTCGAACGTCTGCTACAAGAAGAGAATTTGGACGAAAACTGCACAGGATAGATTATAGGCAAAAGGAGAACTGTGAGGCTGCTCCTGACAAACTTCCAACGTCGAACCAGTGTAAGAACAGATGGACGGGCCTATTGCGGGCATGCAAAGGATTTGGTGACTCGCAGAACAAGACGGAAGAAGAGCATTTGCACAAAATTGCACAGGATATTGGCAAGGACTGTGAGGCCGCTCCTGACAAACTTCCAACGCCTCGGAATGAAACAACACCTCGCAGCCACACATTCTTTTCGGCTCCTTGCTCAAATTGAACCGATTTTCACGATGCAAACTGCTTTGCAAAGCTGATATCCACGCGCTTCATTTGATGTCCATAACGCATGCGCTGGGCAAAAGGGAAATCCCCTAGCACGCTGCAAAGAACTGCAAAGTTGAGAACAAAAAAATCGCGATCGCTCCAGGCCGTGATTTCCGTGTTCATCTTGTCGCCACTAAGTCAATCTTTATCCTATCGCAAAGAACTTTATATCTCTGGAAAGCTGAGCTCAAGACCTTTCCAACGGTGTGTCGTTTTGGAGATCGGATGCTCTTTCACAGAGTAAAGAAAGTTTGTACACTGGTCTATTCATCGCGGTACACGATGCAAGCCGAAGCGTGTATATGTCATCAGAGAACAGGCATGGGGTTCAGGCGCGTGTATACACGTCATCCGCTCGCAAAGGGTAAAAAAAGTCCCCGGATACACTTCGCACACATACCACACATTCTAGTGCTTGTCGTTGAAAGCCCTATTTGAATATGGTGGCCGGCTGTCTTTGACGGTACGGTACGGGACATGTACGGGATAGGTCGCCAGGCCTGCCGAGGCACGTGATGACGGCCCTACTGCCCACACACCGAATTTTAAAAAAACATGTCACCCCACACATGTTTCAGTACCTCTTCCATAGCCTGAATGGAGGCCGCACTTTGAACACCGGTGTCATCTTGAGTTACTTCAGGCGGCGTGTCGTGAAGCGGCTGCTCTGGTGGTAATGCTGTTGCTGCAGATGGCGATGTTGCTGCAGCTGAGTCAGATTCATCCGCATTGCCTGCAACAAGAGGAGAAGAGCAACAGCGTATGCACAGTTTAGCCATCACGCAGGCGATGTGTTCAATACACTGCACCATGACAGCCCTATTTACTGGAATGACCTCAGCAATACAAGCTTCCGCGGCACAGCAGAAGGCAGATCTCATCGACATCGGAGCGCCAATTTCCAACTACATGTGGAAACTCACCCGTAGGCTCAGTCAATCCTGACTCAACTCCTACACAAACACAATGGAGTCAAAGAACATCGGCCGCTTCAGATACCAGGAACAAGTTTTACACTATTAAAATAGGAAGAACATAAGATACTGTTTGAAGATGATGGTAACTTCACTACATTCATCTCAAAAGGTTTGGGTGTAAAACAAAACAAAAAGGAGCGTAGCAAGAATACAAAGCGTGGTAGCTGACAGTCGTTTCAGCTTTTTTGCAAGCACAGTGCACACCAGAAACCCAGCATATGTAGGAACACACAAGATTTATACCCAAAGGGGAAAACTTTAGTGAAGGCAATATTCTGCGAAAAGGCGCTAGCAAAGAATGAATTGTAACTTTTGTTGTCCCTCAGGCTTGAAAATCTAGTTGCTCCTCCTCAAGGATATGCTCTGCTCTGAATCGCAAATATTATTCTGGTAAAAGCCACCAGTCAATATATACCTGACAAGCTACTGATGAAGCCTCCTGACACCCAAACAATCAATAGTGACAGTGGTTTCACCCTGCACCTCAAGGAACAGCCAGCATGCTTCCCGGACCAGCACAGTGACTGCTTCAGTGTTATCACGTCGGCGCACAATCATCCGCACCGATGTACACTGAAGGTGTTGTTGTTGTACATCTGCGGCCCAAACCAGTGCTGTCAATATAGCATGCGCGCAGAAGCAGCATGTCAAGGCGCTGAAACTCTTTACCTGAAGTCACAAAGTGATGTGACCATCGATCTTGAGCTTCGTCTGTTGTTCTCAAACCAGCGCCATATCTCTCTTGCCCACACTTCCATAGGTGTGATACGTGATATGGTTAGCTACCAGCCCTTAGTGCAATATCCCATTATGCGCCTTTCTATTGTAGTATAAATTAGGTGTTCTCGAAGATCCCCCCCCCCCCCTGATGTTTCTCTCTCTCCCCTTACGGTAAGTAAATGAAGGGTGTCATCGATTGGCGAATCTGGATTGAGTGCGAGCATTCGGTGTGGTCCGAGCAACGCTGGCCCAGTCGAACAAAACAAGGGTGTAGTACGCAAAATGCACGCATATCGTACAAAGGTTCTGTGAAAGCTGTACAAAAACGGCAAAGTCCATTTCCACTCCAGCCACTCCCGGTGTGGGGGCCGGTGTGGTCGGATTCCACTCCAAGTACACCTACTCCGGATTCGACCAAACGATCACGCAGTCTCTGAGCTCACTTCCTCAGGATTCGCCCAATCGATCATGCCCGAAGTCAAGCTCGTGGGAAATCGTCACCTTGATACCTTACACCATTGGTTAATTAAAACAACTGACATCCCTGCTAGTACTACTCTTGTGCCACGTTGAATCTTTTCTCGATACAACACATCCACCCACACATATGCTGGAAATGCAACTCAAGCATTATAGGATACAGCACAGATATTCTGCTCGACATGCAACAACATCACCGGCACCCGGCCGCCAACGATAGGCAACTTGGCCCGCTCTTCTGGTCAGCGTCTTACGTACGCCACAGCAGTACAGGATTGGCCAGTGTCTTACAATGTGAAACAAGGCCAGCATCTACACGAGTGACGGAAATGGGAATGCAGATACAGTCGTCCCTCTCTACTCCGGCACCTTTTGCAACGTCATTTTCTGCTGGATAAACAAGGGTGCTGGATGATCAAATCCTGCCCACCTATTAACATACATGTTTGTGTCGTACGTCAAAACGTAGCGATTTTCTGTGTCAATCCAAGTACTTTGTGGAATGCATGTCTATAACATACACTTGGGAATATCCTATGCACTAGAATAGGATATTCCCAAGTGTATGTTACAATGCTCCTTGACAGTATGCGATGTACAATTGCTGGATTAGAAAATCGGATTATGCACAGTGAATTGCTGCAGAAAATCGCTGTTGGAGGCGGAATTCAAGTGCCGGATTAAAGCGTAGAAAATGAACTGAAAAAATCTGTTTTGCCAGAAAGTGTGCTGGTTTGCAAGGGTGCTGGATAAACAAGTGCCGGATTAGAGAGGGACGACTGTATCTACAACAGTACATGCACAGTGTTCATGCCTACAAGGTCACAATAGTGCCCCCTTTCTTGGCTCTCCTCCTTCTCACTATCCCATCCACCTATTTCACCACCGCCGCAGGGAGTGAAGGGGTGTCAACTCGTACTGTATGCGACGTCAAAAAGAAAGCTTCAACAGCAGCAACAGCAACAGCAGCAACAACAGCAGCAGCAACAGCAGCAGTAGCAGCAGCAACAGCAGCAGTAGCAGCAGCAACAATAACAGTAACAGCAGCAGCAGCAACCACCACCAGCCGTGGGAAAGTTGAAGTTCCTATTTATCGCATCTCAAACTTCTGACCTTTTTGCTGCTAAACACACTGATCTTACACCAAGATACGCTACATGCTACCCAAGGGCAATGGTTGAGTGGGTCACCAAAGACCCATGAGAAAATTGACAATGCCCCCACTAAAACAAATAACTAAGTCTTCACTCGCATACGCACACAACATTATCAGATCCTGAACCTCCGATTCATAGGCAGCAAACCTTTCTAACGTTGACCCAGAACAGTTAGTCTAAGTATACATGGGTAGTACTGCACGTGTGGAGCGTTTTAGTAGCCATTCCATAAGATGCCTTCTGCATGGATAGTATCATCATCAATACACTACAGGGTTATCATTTACTAATGTCCTATCAGTGTACCAGCATCCGCCGAACAATGTCAGATAGACTAGCTTCTTCCATCTTCGTCTGGAGACAGCCCTAACCGCATATTATAGACCATGCCCCTACTGGAAGGCAATGTTTGAATAAAAGTCTTCCCGGGCGTCCTGCAGAAAAGCATAACCGGCCCTCACACCCTAAGAACCCATCCTAAAATAGCTCGCCTCGTCCAAATTTAAAACCCCAAAACAAAGGGTCAGGCATTCCCTTTGTGGAAATACGGCAGGCACTCTTGCCTTGGAGTTATGCATCATGCCACAGCAATTCGATTTGTCGTTTCGTCACTTGAAAACACGAGCATGTACCAAAGTCAGAAAATACTTCTCGCAGGACATGCGGGCCTGTGTTATTTAATACATACATGTACATGCTTGCACTCTTGCTTTCGTGGCGCAATCCACAAAAAAAACATGCAGCCAGTGACGAGAAATAACATGCTAGCGAGTTTCTGCTACACGGCAAAACGTACCAAAGTACGCATGGACTCAAGTTTCACACGGATGCTTTCTACCATTCTCCGCATGAAGCGCGCTTCACACAGACTGGTCTCAGTGTGAAGAGCTACGGCAGCGTCAAGCACTTTGAGCATGAAAGGAGCGCACAGAGTATGTGTGGCGTGAAGTACACATGTACGCTGTGCGCCACGCACAGCACAACCGGCGCAACGTACGAAAAATCCGTGTCAACTTCGCCGCAGTTGACACTGAGTTTGATACGTAGTTGCGTGTAGCAGAAGCTCTCTATTATTTACTTGCTAGCATGCTTTGGGCTTATAACATTGGAATGTTAATGATCAAATGAATACAATGTTACAAGCACCAACAAATGCCATGATTCCCCTGACACAATTCGTACTTTTTCCCCACAATAAACCACACGGTCGAAAGAGGGGTGTGACTTACAAACGAGCGTGGCCATGGCGACTCACTACTCAAATGTGACTTATAATCAGGGAAACACAGTAGTGAAAACCTTGATACCAAACAAATGACAATGACAGTAGAGAAACTGTAGAAGCGAACCCTATCTCCCCCCCCCCCCCCTTGCTTGACTTGATTCAAGTCTTCATCATCAAGAGTTGCACTGCAGCATACTGCTTGTGTGCACCTACAAAATACTAGTACTAGTACTACTACAACTGTACAAGTCCCCGTCATAGGTCATCAGCTACACGTGCTGGAAGACAACGACATAGCACACGTGCATAGCTAGGAACCCACTGATTCCGTCCATTGTCAAACACCATTGAACTGTAACAACTCCTTCCAATCACACAATGGCCATTCACACATTCACAGTATACCCCCAGCATATCCCCATTGCTCCGCTTCTTTCTCAAGATCAACACTAAGAAGGTAACTCAAGAGTCAAGGGCAAGAGAGGGAAGAAGCCAGTTGGAGTTGAGGCTAACGAGGTAGCGTAGTATTGCACGACTCCCGTAGTTATACGAAAAATGCCTATGGTTCAGAACCAGTTCAAGTACTCATACCCATAGCTGAAAACAAGACGGGGGGACGCAGCGTCCATTCTCGGTTTGAGAATGGCCCTGCACATGAACTCAAAACTGCTCCAGTGAATTACAACACTCTTAGAAAATCGCACAGGAGCAGTTGACAAAAATATTAATTACGACCAGTGGCTGGAAGAACTATCACTAAACAAACCCTTGAACTCTTCCATTTCTGATAGACACAGCTAGCGGTAGGGATCACTCAGAGGACATACAAAGTACCTACGAGGTTACAAACTGAGATTAGCATCGATTCCCAACCAAGCCCTTGGAACTAATTCAAAATTACAACACAACATAAGATGACATTTAGCAGTCAGGAACAAACTATTACCTTGTGCTGCTGCCTCGCCATCAGCATGTGGTGGTTCTTTCCCAACCCTCCGTCTTTTCTTCCATTTCCACGGGCGAAATATCTTCTGGAAAGTGGTAAGCCTTTTCTTGGTGCCTCTCGTAGGCGGTACGCCAGCTTCAGCAGTAGTACCTACACTAACTCCATTAGCACTACTGGATGCTTTTTGATCGGAAGAAACAGCGCTTACGTCGCTGACGGCCCTGGAACGGACTGGGGAGGATAGGGCCGCCATCCCATAGTTTAGGGAATTATTTCACTCTCCTGTTACAGCAGATCCAGCAGCAACAATCATAAGGGACAAAGTAGCGGAGACTACGTCAAACTCTATCAAGCGACAAAATTCGGTTAGTTCTGTTCGAACAGTTCAATTTCCAGTCGAAGCTGAAGGCTGAAGCAGCTGTGGTTGATCTGAATCCCGTTGATGCCGGGTACATGTACGCGGCTTTGGCGTGTGCGTCTGGGCTGATTGTACTGCCAGAAACACCACCACTACTGACTTGACTGTACACAACACGCCAAAATAACTCCAAGTAAAAGCTACATGTCGCTCCCTCCTCTAGCTGTGTGTATGCGGCGGCTCAAGCACAACGCATTTTCTGACATTTGAGTCTGATGTGATCTCAGCAAGTCCAGTACGACTTCGACTTGGCCGTTTTCATTTTTGGAGAAAAACTGGCAAGTAAATACCATGAATACCGTGCCGCCAAGTCGTAGGCCGGTAGCCGTTCTTCTTTTTCTGTCATCTGTACGAGTAGATCTACACCTGCATGCATGCACTCTGTACCTGTACCGTGGTTGGTTCTGACATGAAAACGTGACATAAAAGGCGACGTCGAACTCGTGCGACGTGTATGTACAAAAAACGAACGACCCTTCGTCGTTCGCATGATCGCAGTTGTCTGGTTGTGTGACTGTCATTAATTATTTTACAAAGGAGAAGGCGTAGGCCATACATGCAACACGAGAGTTCGTTCCGTAGATCTACTGCTAGTACAAGACTACATATAGTGTAGGCATTACTTTGTAGTCCAGTTGTCATCTACATGATCTGCGTCCGCAGCAAAATAATTGTCTGCCGCAAACTAACTACTGTAGCACTTGAGTGACTTGACACATAATCATTTGTCGCTACTGACTTGTAGATTTATTATTCATCATCAACATAATTATTTTGCACTGAGTCTTGCAGCTTGGCTAGACTGCATAGACACAATTACTTAGCACAAACAGCCTCTACTCTAGGCTCTGCTGATCTGCCCTTATAATAAAAGTATTAGACGTAACACATTTTCAATTACTTTTCTCGTTCACCGGTACTCCACCACAATGTTTGCTTGTCAAAGAGATTCCTATGCGAGGTCTTTCAAATCCACTGTGAAGTCCTGTGAGCCCGTGAAATTCGAGAGTGCAGATGCATTTGAAGTCATCCTTGAGGACACGGTACTGTTTCCTGAGGGTGGTGGACAGGTATGTTTGAACTCAGTGTCATTTACTATGATTTAGTAAAGAAAGAAGCCATATCTTGACATTACTGTTTTTTTAATTTTTTTATTGTGACTTTATTTGCAGCCGGACGACAGAGGAACAGTAAGTAATTTTGTCTCTGGACTGATGACAAGTTGAATTTGATTTAAAATTATACCACTTCACGGTGTACAGAATATTGTAGATCGTTTGTTTGAAGTTTCTCAGCCGGGATAACCGAGGAGTAGAAGCACATAATCATTGGTAACACAACTGCAATGCAGTGCACAGCACTAAAGTACGTTTCAAAAATATAGGCGCGTGATTTCAAAATACCGTTAGGCCAGCATCTATACCACATAAAATCTGTGATCACTTCGTGCATAAAAAATTCGAAATTGGGCGTTTGCTATCCGATCGCTTAAAAAGATCTATATGAGAGTAATTGGGGGACGGACCTGAGCAACATTCCGAAAAAAATCTCAAGAAGCTCTAGCCAAATTTGAAATATTTCAAAAATACTATGCGTCTATATTTTTGAAATGGACTAGAACTGCACCAAGAGTACATAACCCCCCAAGAGTGTGCAACTCGACTATGGGTGCTGTCCTAACAGAATTTCAAGTTGACGTCATTTTTATGATGCAATAATAGGGCTTGAAAGTGATGACGTCAAAAACGGCCAGGGAGTAGTAAGTTGACATCAGATTTCTATTTTGGATCCACTAAGGTGTGACTTTGCTATTGCCTCAGTATGTGGGTGTATAGCAACCCACTCATGTCGTATGCAGGGGTGACTTTTACTTCGCCACCAGTTGTAATCCCGCCCCCAGTAGCCAGATCAGTCAGTTTCACTGGTTACATCACCTTCCTGTGAGTAAGACGGCTTGAAATGTGCTTGGATCCATACAAAAACTGGATCCAAGTGGATCCAATTTTTGAATTTTTGAAATTGTTGCTATGCTGTGACGTAGCACTTTCAAGCCCTATGCGCACTGCACGCGGATTATCAGACAAATCCGGAACCTGTGGTGGACCAAAGCCCATCTGATCCTGTACAAATTATTGCAAAGAAAAACGTGTGATGCGTTGACGCCTACGTGTACACATGTTGTAAATCACTGGTGCAAGGAGCATTGCATATTAATAATGACGTCAACTTGAAATTCTGTCGTGACAGCAGGGTATGTGGGAGTTGCACACTCTTGGGGGGGTTATGGACTCTTGACTGCACTCATTGATGAAATCAAAGCAAAACCTTACCACCCAGAGATGAGAACTGATTACGGCAAACCGATGATAACAGATATCATTATGATTCTTTATGAAGAAATCATGACATGCACTTGAATATAGAGGATGTACATCTATGCCAAGGCGTTTGCATGCCGTTGGATTCATTGCATACTAGAGTAGAACCCGGGTTAAGGGTCCACCTAACTCTGCGCGGACATAGCTGGACTCAGTTGTACAGGGATGGGCAAAAAGGTGTGCGAAACGACTTCTTGTGAGTAGATGGACCCCGGAAAAATAGTTTGGAGCGAAAAAAGTTACGGCTTCCTCGGAAACCGACGGGGGACCCCCCCCCCCCCCCCCCTGGGCCGGAAATTAAATCCCGGTATAAGGATCACCCGCATAATGTACATGCCAAGTAACCCCCCCCCCCCCCCCCCCGGGCTCCGAAGGATCACCCGCACAATGTACGTGTCAAGTGACCCCCCCCCCCCCCCCTCCGGGCTCCGATCGCTAATCCGGTTTGACCCTTAACCCGGGTTCTACTCTACACTCATATCTCCCTTATCCGGGCGTTCCGGGGCCGGATACGGCCCATACCTTCGAATTGTCAGTATCTCCGAATTACGTACATTTCTGTCCCCACAGGATACCGCAATTCCGCAAATGCGCAATTTTCCGCGTTATCGGCTTTCATCCGCGTTTTCGAGAAATTTTGCATAAACCCGCGTTATCCATGGGAATGTACAAGAAAACAGTACATGATGTTGAAAATGTACAACAAAGTCGCACCCACCCATGAGTTTGTATGACAAAGTTGTATACATGTACTTGCATGAAACTGTACACTGAAGTTGTACCAAGGACAGATAAAGCCTAGTTCACATTCGACGCAACGCTGACGGTACGGGACGGCTGGGGTGAGCTGTAAAATCTTGTACGATTCGTACGACACGACATGCTGCAGTCGTTGCGTCGTTCAACAGTGAACGGCGCAAGTCATAAGGCACGGTCCATGAGGGGGTGACTTTCGGACTTAGGGTGCGTTCTTAAATCCTCTCTGAAAAGTTGGAGACTCTCCGAAAAGTTCAAGAGCTGTTCTTATTATCTTCTCCGACTTTTAGGAGGCTCTCCAAAGCTCTCCAAGCTTCAGAGGTGGTTGAAACGTGGAGATTCCCGCGGTTTGGGATCAGCGCATGCGAACTACGGCTAAAAGCCACGTGTTGATCATGAGTGTACTCATTTCCCTTTTCGCGTACGCACATGTGCATGCTACATTCATCACTCAATATCGCGGCCCCTTTGGCGCTTCATTTTGCTTGACATGTGCAAAATATCTCCGAATTCTTCGAGACCCGTTCTTGAATCATACCATTTTCTTCGACTTTTCTTTTCTTCTTCTCCGAGGAGCTAGAGAATGTAAGAACGCACCCTTTTAAAATTTCTCGTTTTTCGGGACTTCTTTTCAATTTTTCCTCCTGGAAAGAAGCGGAATCAAGTTCACAATACCAGTTTTTCATGAAGACCAAAATATAGCCCTGAAAGTTGTGACATTCAAATAATAGCCCCAGGAAATGATACAATAGTTCGTCTGTCACGCTCCTGATCTATCCCTAATTACAATAAGTGACATGAGATATTATCTTGCTAAAATTCAACTCGATTCGTGCTAGCCATTCTTTGTGTTATCATGCCTCAGCTGTAATTGCACATCACACTTTCCTTTTGAGTTTTATTGTCTCATTCCATGTGTCTGGCTAATTTATTCTATTTCACCCCCCCCCCCCCCCCCCCCCTGTTATGCTACTCATTCAATATCGCACAAGTGGAGAACCCCTGGATAGGCTACCCGCCTCTGGGTCATCCCTCAAATAAAGATGATAATAATGGGAAGCGCAGTGTTCATAATGCTGAAAAATTCCAAGTACGAATCGGGAGTAGTCGGCGCACGACGCCGTCTCCTGTTCACACTCGAGTTGCAGCCGTTTTGTACGCTTGCATCCCCGTCTTCGCCCGTCTACGGTATGAAAAGTTGGATCGATCCAACTCTTCCCGTCGCTTCCTAATCTGTACGGTAGTACGGTTGCGTTCCCGTTCCTGGTGTTCACATTGGACGCCGTCAGACCGTCCCGTCGCTTCCCGTCTGACAAAGAAAAAAAGAGTAAGACAAGACAGATAAAAGAGAGAGAGAGAGAGAGAGAGAGAGAGAGAGAGAGAGAGAGAGAGAGAGAGAGAGAGAGAGAGAGAGAGAGAGAGAGAGAGAGAGAGAAGAGAGAGAGAGAGAAAGAGAGAGAGAGAGAGATGGGGTACGGTTTGGGGAGGACAAGACATTGAATGGTGGTCGCCAGAGTCACAGATAGTAGTAGTGCTGGTGAGGCTACAGGCACTCCACTGACCAATAGGTCTCAGTATCGCCATGCCGGTAACGCACCAAAAGGCAAAAATGGAAGAAATCAAAGCAAAATACATAAATAGTAATTACAATAAAGGTAGTAGGGAGAGTATAGGGAGAGTGGTGACCAAGAGAGGACAGTATAAAGCGTTAGTATGGTGTGCTTCAACGCACATCCCCAAACCGAGAGGTGGGATGTGGAAAGAACAGTGAGACGCTCAACATGATGAGCTTCAAAGCATGTCCCAAGACCATGGCTGCTCTGGTATGTGTTTGTTGACGACTTTTTTTTAAGCTGTGAGTGGGGAGTGATTGGCCGGATGGGGAAAGACGTCCTCAGGGAAGCTGTTCCACAATTCAAGTAAACAGTACGGGAAGGAACGTTGAAGGTAATCGGGGGTGGTGTTTTTTTTTAGAGCTGTTCCTGGTGCTGGTGCTGTGCATAATGCTGCTGGCGGGTTCGAACAGTATCGGCCCGTGGTTTGGGGGGAGGGCGCATGCGTGTCAGACGAGGTGGGTCCTTGCAGTTTACTACCGTGTAAAGATAGGACAGCCCTGCGACTGTCCGTCTGGCCCGCAGACTCTGGAGGACGGTGGTGGGTCCAATCATCTGCATGGCCTTGCGCTGTGCTGTGTCCAACTTCCCAAGGTGGGTCTGGGCAGCACCAAGCCAGGCTAGTGGGGCATACTCGAGTATCGGCCTTACAAAGCCCTTGTATACTGTTAGGGCGTCCGGCAGCGTCCAGGATGGGGGCTGCCTTCCGCATGAAATGGAGACGTTGATGTGCGCGCACGGAAAGCTGGTGAAGGTGGGTGCTGAAGTTGAGCTTCTCGTCGAACACCACCCCAATGAGCTTCAACTGGCTGCTGACAGAAACAGGGGTGCCAAGGAATTGGACAGGGAGGAGATCTGGAGGGGCCAGCTTCCTGGTCACTGACATCATCTGTGATTTAGAGGGCTCAAAGGTTACCCTCCAAGTGCTTCCCCAGGCTTCCAGCTGGTTGACGGCTGTCTGAAGTGCAGCTGCGGCGGCCTCTGTGGTCCAGGCATGACAGGCGTGTATTGCGTAGTATCAGCGGAAGTTGAGGATTTCAACAGCTCGCTTTTCCTTGGACTGCCGGCTTTTCATCATCTTGTCTGTTGACGACATTAGCTCACTCCAAACCTCTAGGAGCATGGCTTCCGTTGTCTCGTCAAATGTCTTGCAAGGCATGTCGGCAAGATCGCAGGAGATAGAAATCACAACTACCAGGTTTTGACAAGAAGTGGAATGAGAAAGAAGCCTCGTGTCGACTGCGAGTATAATTATGTAGGTGAAATCCTCTCAGCCGCCACGTGTCGGCTCCATTGGATTTCCCTGCCAAATACATGTAGTTTCCTGGACGATGATTGGTTCACATGATTGCCGAAACTCAAGAACGGCAAAAATCATAGCCGCAAACGTAATTATGACCGTGGCCGCGGGGTTCTGTGGCACGTCTACGTTTCCCGTTTTCCCGTTTACATTTCGGGAAACCCCCCAAAAGAGTCGGTCGTTGCTATGATACGTTGCCGTAAACGTGAAAATAAACGTGAGAGTGTGAAATCCCTATTACATAGCTGTTCGCTATCATCGCTTCCGCGATGGGCATGTCTGAGGTCTGAGGTGTGTGTGTGTGTGTGTGCACGCGTGCGTTCATATAATTGGACTCGGATGTTAATGACGGAAAAAAAGGACAAAAATGCTGACTCGCTGACTGTATATGATTTAGTTACGTTGGTGGACAGTTAGACATAACTCCTCACATTTTTGTCCTTTTCCTTTTTTTCATATACTGTATTTGGCTCCATTCTGCAGGTGGGAGGTGTGCCAGTGAAACGTGTCGTGCGACGTGGCAGCAATGCTGTACACATTGTACAGGAAAAGCTGGATGTGGGTGCCGAGGTCGAGACCGTCGTCGATTGGAAGCGCCGCTTTGATAACATGCAGCAGCACTCTGGTATGTACTATGCACGGCTGGTTTTTTTTCGCGAAATTTGGACATTTAACAAGATGGCAGCCAAAAGTCTCGATTGGGCTGGATCGGCAAGGAAATTTGAATTTTCAAATTCTCAGCAGCCGATTTCGCTGTGGTTTTCGCTCCATTTAGAAAGCTACCAGGTCAGGTTTACCCGGAAAACAGGTATTCCGTGTTCCTCTTGAAACTAGCTTTCCGCTGGTACCTCACATTGCCAACTTCCTAGCAGGAACAGTTTGTTCCGCGTTGCACAAGTCAAGCCTTCTTTCTCGCTCGTTCCTTGATTCATCGTTGACATGCCTAGGGGACAGATGGCATGGCGCTGGAGTCGCTGTTGAGTCCAGGAGGCCGAGGCCTGGTGGAAACTGCCCAGTAGACATGTGGGGTATTGCTGAAAAAGGCAGCAAGCACACAGATAGCCCCGAAATTGTGATGTAGATCCAATTGTGCGTTTGTTCGAGTGCATATCGGCAAATTTGAAAGTTTCACCTGTGATCCCGACGAGGAGAAGCTGAAAATCAGTGCGTGCGTCAATATCCAGACTACCAGGGATAGCTTGGAGAGGTTCGAAAAGGTCAGAATGCTGGTTGACCATGGCAGGAGTTCCTTTCACCTTCCTTCTATCTCAAATTGTCTGGATATTGAGTATCTCGCTCGAGCACTTTCAAATAATAAATCCTGGTTTGACTTGCGAAATCGTAGAACCACACGGAGAGTGACATGAGTTTCATCCCAAAACGCGAACTCCCATCGTATTCATGAGGTTTGTACCGCGTTACGTAAATCGCACTGAACGACTCCATATTGTTAGATGTCCGTGCGCGAACAGCCGTGTATGGTGCTGCATCGTAGGCGTACACAGTTGTACCAGGTGTAAGAAAATTAATCGTGTATGTTTATTAATTATTATAAAATAACGTCGATCTGCCCTTTCACCAATTCGTGCCCCTTGTCGAATTCTATCTATGAACTCACTTCAGCACCATACGGTATTCAACCAGTCAATGCATTGTGTTAGTATATAGTTTGTGCATGCATGCCACACGCACAGTGCAGCGCGTGCCAGTGCAAGCTGTGCACGGCATGGCGTGAGTGGAACTCTGGATGTTTCACCTTTCGCCAGCTGGCCATGTCTGAATGGTAGAGAGCCATGGGGACCACACTAACAGTATTGTGTCACACATCGCCCTGTTTCAGTGTCACAGTCATGATCTTTGAGATCTGCTAGACCATTACCCCATGTACAAACCGCTTGCTATGTGAGTGAAAAGATCTTTTTCCTCCCTCTTATCACAACTCTGTGTGCGAAAGCGAGCAGTTTGACGTATATCATATAATTATGTACGTATTATTGTATTGTGGGTACATATTTGGATAATAAGAATATCGGGGTGACTAGAAGTTTTTTTCCGGGTAAATGGGTTTTGCATGATCAGGATTCCACTTGTATCGGATCTCTTTTTGTAGTGGAGAAACGGAAAGTGAATATCGTCCGAGTTTGAGCGACTCAACTGCATAGTCGGTTGGTTTTTGATCTTAAAGGGGAAGTATACCCTAAAATCAAAATTTCACCAGTTGTAGTCTTTGGGGTGCTGAGTCGAATGGTCTTGGTCCGAGGAAGCTGAGACGCTCCCTTCCTACTTGAATCCCAATCGAACTCGCGCACTTCCACCGAAACTGGGTGACTGCGCCCTACTAGATGGGGATTTGTATGCAAAATATCACTAAAAGCGCCATTTCGTTCTTATAAAATCACGGATGACCGCGATTGGCCCATATGTTGTAGTCTTTTGGACGCTGAGTCGACTGGTTTTGGTCCGAAAAGGCTGCGATGCAGCGTTCCTCCTTTATTCCCAATCGAACATGGTTGAACAAGCGATCACGTGCTCCTGCGTACACCAGTCAGCTGGTCACCGTGCCTGCAGGGTACAACTTACTAGCCTGTTTGACCTTTTTTGGGTGCAGTCCTGTCACTCGAGTTGAACTCGAGTTGAACCTTGGTGTGAAAGTTGTCGCCTGCTGGCGCGGTGACCAGGTGATTTGGGCACCCAGGAGCACGTGACCGCTTGTTCAACCATGTTCGATTGGGAATAAAGGAGGAACGCTGCATCACAGCCTTTTCGGACCAAAACCAGTCGACTCAGCGTCCAAAAGACTACAACATATGGGCCAATCGCGGTCATCCGTGCTTTTATAAGAACGAAATGGCGCTTTTAGTGACATTTTGCATACAAATCCCCATCTAGTAGGGCGCAGTCACCCAGTTTCGGTGGAAGTGCGCGAGTTCGATTGGGATTCAAGTAGGAAGGGAGCGTCGCAGCTTCCTCGGACCAAGACCATTCGACTCAGCACCCAGAAGACTACAACTGGTGAAAATTTGATTTTAGGGTATACTTCCCCTTTAAGCACCAACGGATGTATATCAGTGACAACTGATGGGTATTTTACTACTATTTTCTCTACTCACTGAAAGCCTCCGGTACCAGTGGCATGTCCAGGAATGTGTTTGTTTGTATGCCTTTTGGCTTATAACTATACAGGTTAATAGGTGAATTTCCAACAAACATTTCAATGGAGCATATGGCATTTCATTTACTACATGTATGTTCTACTATTGTAAAGGTTCTGGGTGTAAATGTGCTTGGGTTAGTAGCCACAACTCAAATCATGCTGCTCTTCTTCATGTAACCCCAATGAGTACCAGTGCGATTTGAGTTCTGGCCACTAACCCAAGCCCATTCACCGCACACATGAAACTGTGGGACGTATCCAGACTCATATTTTTTTTTAAATACTTTGTTGTTCCGTGCTCAGGCCAGCATCTTATAACTGCACTGGCCATCAACAAATGGAACTACAAGACAACATCCTGGTAAGCCTCTCCCGGGAATTGCTTTGGAAAATTGGCCCAATGAGCCCATAATTATTGTAACTATTGCGTCACATAGCACAGAATTAAATTATTGGTGCAGACTTACCTGACAGCTGAGAGGTTCATGTCCTACTCTGATGATTAGTGGTATGTTATGTAGGCTATGGTGGGGTCTTTACCTACTGCAGTCAATATTTGAGCCACGCCAAGCTAAAAAGTGGCTTAGCGTTTTGCCAACAAATCCAGAAAATCACCAAAACGTCACAGTCGGCAAAATTCTACTCGAGCGCAGTCGCGAAAATATTCACTTTCGAGCACCCTTTCAAGTAAAAATAGTGGCCAAGTGGAGAAGAAGAAAGAGGCCTTTTTTTATTTTTGAGCAACACTTCTTGACTTCAGTGTTCCCTCTTTCATCGTTGTGGGGATTTCTTGCCGCTGCCAGAGATCGTAATGGAGCGTTCTGGAGAATGTGGAGGTGAGCAGGATGACATTCTGTCTCTGTGTGCGCCCAACCCTACTTGACGAGGAAGATTCGCTCATTCATAGTGGCCGTGTTACTCATCGTGGCCACGACTAGAGCGGCTAGTATAGCTATGGGGAGACGTCTACAAGCCGTCCGACTATCATTCTGACAAGCTGCCTAGTGAGTTGGCTCTTGCTGCGATGTTTCACTTTATTTCGGCTACCTTCAAATGTTCATGACGTGGCGTACTGTATACCAACATCTCCTCATTTCAAGGCCAATAGTGCCACACGACGAAGCAACGCATTGACTCTACCTGCTAGCATATCGTCCCGTGGTGCCTTCTACCACTACCTACACCAGGGAAGGAGAATGACATGGACTAGGGCGGACAAAGAATCAGTGCCGCTTTTTAGTGATGTGCAGTCTGCTGGACCTACGTGCAAGGGACGTATGGAGCTCGATCTCTGGCACAACACTACAAGCTACATGAAAGGATTAATTCATGCTGGCATAGGTGATTGGAGAGAGTATGGCGGACTGTCTTGGTAAGATGCGACGGGTTCCCAGCCCAGCGAAAATGTAGTCACAGACTCACAACATCATTGAAGGATATGAAAATTCGTGTTGCGTGAAGAAATGACATGAGATACATAGATCAATTATTCATTCTTTCTTGGATCTTCTAATTAGAACACAAGTGCTCGTTCTTCTTGTATTGCCTCCACACCTGCTAAGCTTTATCTCCACTTGATGTCCCATGGTTTTTGGAGTTTGGGCAGGTCTTCGAATCCTTAGTTTCATTGATACCAGGTATGCTGTGACATGTGCGCAATGTATACGTATTTATGGCGCATAATACATTTCAGATGGGCACCAAAATTTCCCTGATGGAAGTTGGATAGGTAGACATCACTTTGGCATGAAAAAAGAAATTTCCAAAAATTATGCCTTAGCCACCTTTTTGCTTGGCTCGGCTCATTTTGTACCCAGGGATACGTCATGGCCACTGCATGCTGTCGATGTCAGACGGGGGGGGGGGGGGGGGGGGGGGGGAGTCTAGGTTGTGGTATGCAAGAGTGTGCTTCAGTCTGGCCTGTTTAGCCTGGTATGAGTAATGCAAGTGTGTGACCCTACAGTATTGATGTAGGACCCCCAATGACCCTCTTGATACTGTTGAGGACTTGAGCAATGTCCATCTATGATCTACAACTCCAGTAGTACCAGTCCAAGACTGTAGTAAAAGATGAATACCACGTGTACTTCGCGTAACTGACAATATCCTGATGGCCTGTTTTGATTCTGAAGTGGATTCAATCAATCGTTTACCTTTTATGGTTTTGGAGAGATTCAGCTATTATTGTGCTCTTTCTTTCTTCTGACTGTCAAAAAGGAACTTGGGCGAGGCGAAGTCTTTCCTAGAACTGGATTGCAAGTCACTTCCAACGGAGCAAATTGATGAGCTGGAATGCATGGTGAACAACGCAATTTTAGAATGTCGTCCCATGACGCCTCGCCTTGTGGAGTCAGGGTCAGATGAACTGAATGAGGTTAGTTGGTCATGTTCAATAAATCATAATTATAGTTTTGTGCAAGTAATCTGCGAGGAGGTCATAATTTAATTAAAGCTATCGAAAGTATGAAGGCCGCAGACATCACCATGCTACAGAATACTCGTTCAAGCTGTAAATAACTTATTCATTTATTTTGCCGGAATCGATTCTCTGTGTTGGTACTAGTAGTATTTAGGAACTCCCTCTGACAGTTTGTCATTGTGTATCAGGTCATAAGATATCTCATCAGCATCCAATCCCATGTCGTCTCTTACAGAGCTGTCAGCTTAGGCTAAGCTGTGCCAAGACCAGGATTCACATAAGGAAGCTTGTAAAAGGGCTCTCATGATAAGCGTAATGATGGCCTAGTGTGCTGCCAAGCTCAGTCCTTGAAGCCTGAAGGGTGACTTCTTGCCTTCTTCCTCTTCCGGGCAGGCATCATACTGTTTTCAGACCTTGCACACTTATCACATTCCTTTTGCAGACCTGTGGACTGTGTGAACTAACTTACTTTGCATAGTCTGAGATACATGTAGTCAAGTGCTAGCATGCATGCTGGTGATACATGTAGTCAAGTGCTAGCATGCATGCTGGTGGTGAAGCACTACTATACCGGGGTACCGGGTGTGCATGCAGTGAAAAAGGAAGTGCATGAGGATGCTCATTTCCAGCACAGTGGGAAGTACTCCCACTGATATGATGCACTATCATCTCGAGTGCCCCAGTCGACAAGTCCAGGGGGGAAACCGGCACCAGCTGCCAGCTGGATTTAGTCCAGTAGCCGCCAGTACACTAGTACCTGTACGTACGTACGTGTCTGGGTGTGTTTAGTTGTACTTGTGGCGGTACAGTTATGTACAGTCATGTACATGACATTGTGCTGAAGGGGGGGGGGGGGGCAAGCATGCCTGCTGTCATTCCATGGCCATGTGCATGGGGGGTGTTCTTCGTACCTTCATGTGTGGGTGCTTGATGTCTGTATGTGACATCCCATAAACCCGCTGAAGGTATGTAAGGTATTCATCAGTGTGCAGTGATTATTATGTTGTCCTCTGTGTGGGGCCATGGATGGGTCTGTGTGGTGCCATGGATTGGTCTGTATGGTAGCCCAGATTGGCCTGTGTGGTACCCCCCCCCCCCCCTTCTCAGTCTTGCTGGTGGTCATATGAGTAGCTGTGTAGCTGTACTGACTGTGCATAAATAAAAGTAGCTGTTGAAGTAGGAGGACAGCATAACCAGGTTAACCATAGTGTAATACGTGCGCTGAACTATCTGAAGTGAAACATACTTTACTGCCAAGCCGCAACATGAATATTAGGCGTGTGTTTTGTTTTGAATATTAGGTGTGTATTTTTTCTCGAAAAGGATACTCTCCCTCATGCTTATTTCCCACCCAAAAAATGCTAGTGTGCAGGTGTGTTTTCCTTCATAGAGTGCCTTGTGAAAATTCTCATATTGAAAAATTGGTTGTTTTGGTGCTCAGATTCGCTCCAGAGGCCTGCCAGCTGATCATGTTGGTCCAGTACGTGTTGTGGAAATTCAAGGTAGGCTGCTTGCACACTTGCACAAACAAAGCAAAATGCATTCAATGTTGATGCTGCAAGTCCCGCATGGTCTCCATGCACTAGAGTCACATACCAGAGATCATGGAGGCCAGGAAAATTACAAAATTTTGGAATCATGGAAACCCACGGTGTTTAACAGTGGGGAGGCTGCTCAAGCAGTTTGTGACGTTACTTCTAACGGGATGTGGTACTCGTAGTTACTCGTTGGAACCGCTTGCTTCAGATCGTTTGTTGCCTGTATAAGACTCGTAATGTGGAATGACAGCCCCCTGCATATTAGTCCTACATGTTGTCTGATATTCTCGCTGTTGCTGCTGCTGCTGCTGTTGCTGCTGCTGCTGCTGTTGCTGCTGCTGCTGCTGCTGCTGCTGCTGCTGCTGCTGTTGCTGCTGCTGCTGCTGCTGCTGCTGCTGCTGCTGCTGCTGCTGCTGTTGCTGCTGCTGCTGTTCCTGTTGCTGTTGCTGCTGCTGTTGCTGTTGCTGTTGCTGCCGGTACTGGTGCAGGTATTGATTCTAACATGTGTTGTGGTACTCATGTCTCCAATATCAGTCACTTGCAGGTAAGGGTCACGCTCACCCGTATTGTTTTAAATTCAATGACGTTTTCAGAACGAGTGATGCAGCTTAGTGCAGCCTGGTGTACTTTGAAATTCAGCTTCCATTTTTTGATACTTCAGTAGACACAATGCAATGAAATTCAAGACTCATTCTGCGCATTATCATCAGCCTTTTCGCGTTGGCATCGCCAAGTAAGCTTGGCTAGTCTTCGCTTAGGCCAAATGGAATAAACAATTAGGAACGAGCGGGGTCAATGAGGTGCTAATACGCATGCAAATTCTGCTCAAACTCCTTCTGCTACTGTAAAGCGTGAAATTTTCGCTGCGTTTTAGTTCGCGTTTTCAGAATCCGGACAGGTTTGCGAGGTTTTAATTTTGCGATTGCAGAATGGCATTCTTGCTAAACCTTTCATGGATCTCTTTTCGCGCTGTCTAAATTTCGCGAATTTCGCAGAAATTAGACCATGGCAATAATTTCACGGTTTACGGTAGTTTGTTTGTTCCAGTAAATCAGTTCACTTGCCCAACCCTATGCCTGCCGCCTGTAACAGACACTAGAGGGGTTCTGCTACACGGAACTACGTACCAAACTCCGTGTCAACTGCAGTGAAGTTTGACACGGATTTTTCGTACGTTGCACCGGTTCTGCTGCACGTAGCATGCTCGAAGCATGCACGAACACCCCGCCACATGTACTCTGTACGCTCACTTTTCACACGGAGTCCAGTCCGTGTGAAGCGTGCTTCGCACGGAAAACGGTATGAAAAAATCCGTATCAAACTAAATCCCGTACCGCGGCGAAGTTTCCATACGTACTTTGGCACGTTTTACCGTGTGGCAGAACCTCACTGCTGTCACAATTTGTCGCACCATCATATTAGGATAACTCACATTTTTTGTGACTTCTCATAAGAATAAGCTGTCATTGGAGTTGATCAGGACCCGGATCAGTTGTTAGACATATGAGTGCATACCGTAATGATGCACATAAAAGCCGATATGCCTATATCCGGGTACCGGTATATGCACGCCCTCGCATGTAAGCGCATGGACTTATAAGTTATAAGTGAACCCAGTCTCTCCCCCACTGTAATACCACAGGAATACCTTGTTTACAGGGCTGCATGTCCCCGATCTCCACACCCCACGCTGATAAACACAATTACAAGCGTATACGCCTATGTGTGAGAACAATCGACCTGCCAAAATACAAATATGACGAAAACTCACGTATACGCTCACGGGCTTTTGTGGGCATCGCTATGGTAGGGTTTCGGCACTACTGCTAACTGTGTTCCTCTGCTCTTGCACCTTCACCAGGCCATTAAGCTGCTACACACTGAGAGCAAGCGCGGCCACACGCTGCTGTATTACGTTGCTGGCCAGCGTGCCCTTGCACTACTACAGCGCTGTGTGGACACAGAGCGGCAGCTCACTCGCTTGCTCAGGTGAGAGGTGTTGAGTAGTGTTGCCTGTGTTCCGTGCCTTCCTTGCAAAGTGTCCTGGCTAAAAAAAGTCTGTAGGGGAGCTCTGGCATTCTGTTGTACGGTCCTGGGGGGGGGGGGGGGGGAGCTTTGGTGTTCTGTTGTATCCATCGGCTTAGACGACTGCAGTACGTCCTTGAGCTGCTCATCTGAAGTGTGTACTTCCTCTTCCTCTCTCGGTAGTGGAAGTTCTAAGCGCTAGGGCCATCATGAAAGATGGCTGGAAACAGATAACCATCAGCAGCCAAGCTGTGGCATGAGTAGTTCTTCCTTCACGACACTATTCAGCACACACAATGTTCCCACTGCTAGGGAACACCTGCAAGAGCAGAGGATAATGCCATTGGTGGCACTGTTCCTGTCAGCAGAGCAGAACAGAGTAGAGTAGAGTAGCTATAGATGCCAATGATGATGATGTTGCGGACAGTACAATGCCAGGGACACTTCCTAGTTCCTACGACGTGCAAATATGTACCACCGTAATACCAAGAGTACATGTACATGAACTCCCAAGTGTGTGTGCAGCTCTGGATACCCTTTCTATGGGTTCGCCGGTGGCACAAACTCACATCATGTGCCAGTGGTGTAGTGTCCGACTCCCCGTTGTACGCCCCCAGCCTATTTTAGCGACCAATGGAGTTTAAAAAATAGCACTCCCTGACAGAACCCCCCCCCCCCCCCCCCTCAGCTTGTGCGAGTCATCAGCATGATCATGGCAGATATTCGGACTGCGCACGCTAGCTTCCGTTGTACGTAGTACAAATCGTACTTTTTTTCTTACTTTGAACACGTGATGTGAGTTTTCGCCACACTCTTGGGAGCTTATGTAGTCTTGGTATTACCCTGATCATAAGTCACACCTTCTTCTCCCTAATACTGTAGTAAACCCAAAGGTCAAATTCCTACAGAGATCAGTGGGACCAGTGGTATTCTCTTTCCATCCTGTATGTTGATTTCAGCTGCGGTCCCGAGGAGCATCCACAGTTTGTTGATCGCCTCCTGAAGACACAGAAGACGACGACCAAGGTGGGCTATGTTTTATGTGTATCTGGTCAAATCTTTGCCACACTTGTTGAGCAAGGGACACGGTGCAACACACTCAAGCTGGCGTTGTTACCGCATCTGCGTAGGTAGGATCGAACGGGGCATATCATAAGTTAGCTGTAGCCAGCATATGAAATGTTTTGTTGCAGAGGGGTGGCTGGGGAAGTGTGTGCATTGTTGTACAAATCTGCATCACTCCACACATGGAGTAGAGCAGCTTGGCAATGCAATTCTAGTGCCATTTCTACTCGACTACTATACTTTAGCACTGGACCAGCACAGTGGTCTACTCTCTAATGCCTGTACGCACACAGTATTATTATCGGCACTGTTTTTATGACACTGTCAACAAGGGAACAAACTATTACTCTTTTAACTCATGCCTACAGAGAAGTCTACAGAGAAGTCTGTCTGACTGGTTCTCGTGCAAGCCATGAAGTTTATTATTCATGTTCAAAATCTGTGTTCTCTCGATGACACCATCTCTGATTATGTATAGCTGCTGCTGCTGTTACTGCTGCTGTTGGTTTCTGTCGTCGTTACCTCCATCATGTTCATCATATTATGTTGATGCTCATGGTTGTGCTCTTGAACTCTAGGTACTACGTAATCAACTTGTAGAAATTGCTGAACTGCTGGTGGCCAAGCATCTAGCAGAGAAACCTCCCAAGCCTGTCTTGTCTATTCACCGGTATGTGCATCTGTTTCGGGGCAGCATTCTTATTTTGGGTAAACGAGTAGAGGCGAAATAAGTTGCTTTCGTTTGGAGATTCTCCGAATCCGCACCCACTCGTTTGGCTGGGTTTCTGCGTATGCATTCAAGTTTATACAAGCTTTCGAGCAGTGGTGGGTAGAGCCAACTCCGTGTCCTCATGTGTCGCCACATTACCGATACACCAACACGAACACAAGTATAAGTGTAGGTGTTTTCCTGCCCAAAGCCAGACCTGCCTGTTTTAGAGCGCAAAACTTAGGCCACGCCAAGTTAATTCTATGTTTCGCGTCGGACATTTTCTGGAAAAGGCACGTGGGCAGGCGGAACAAAACAAAAACAGAGGAAAAAACAAAACTCCATTCTATGTGTACTGAGCCATGTTGCACACAGAATAGCACTACCAAACTGTCACTTATCCAAAATGACAAGTCGCCACAGGACAGTTGGCAGACTGGGCTGGAGCGATACAATAACGAATTTCATGGATGGCTCCTTCTGCACTTTGACATGAGTCGAGTGGAATTCCGCTCCATCGCGATCGTGGAAAATCTCGAAGTCCTTGACACCTGGAATCTCCGCTCGCTTGGTGAGCAGGCCCTACTGCACGGCTTGGAAAAATAGAAATGTTCATCTCTCGAATGCACCTTCTACGTACCATCGTCTGGAATGCAAGATTATCGAGAAGCTGATAACCTCTGATCTGCCATACTGGCTAGAGAATGTTCGCCAGAACAGCCATCGATTGACTTGTCTCGGTTCTTTTTTTTTCTTGTCAAGGATTCGAAAAGGTACGCGTGCGGTAACGCGAAACATAGAAATAACTTGGTGTGGCCTTACAACCTCAAACTCGATTTTTTAATCCAAGAGGTATACGAAGGAAAGCAAGGGCTCGTTTGTTGTAACTCAAGAGTTCCACGATTAAACAACCGATAACCTTTTGAAGCAGCGCGGGGTATATAGCTAAGTAGAGGAGATAGGAGCGGTCAATTCAGTGCCAATTTGAAAGTGGCTAGTGCTGTAGTTCATGAATCAACACCTCAATTTCTTTATCCGGTGTGATCTGTGTGTTTCTGGTGAATACGTGTTTGCACGTGTGTGCATGTATTTCTGTTACTAGGGAAGAAGGTGACATGTCATTTATGAATGCGTTGGCGTCAGGACTCGAAGGCCAGGTATGGATGATTTGCGATCAAGATCATGTGGGCATAATGTGACACAACAGAGTTGACATAGCTGGTGCAGCATTGTTGATGTCATAGCTTTGCTACCCTTGTCATCTGAGTAGGACTCTGTATGGGCTGTATGCTTGTGGGCACTTACCGTGGATTTCTTCTGATGACGATGTTGATGATGGTGATGAGCAAGAGGAGCAGGAGGAGCGGGATGGGGGGGGGGGGGGATCTCATTGCAGGTACTTAGCTCTAGCGATAGAACTGGTAGAACTCTTGTGATCAAGTAAAGCTTCCAGTAGTCTGGATGTCTCAGCATGTACAGTCCATTCAGAAACAGATGAGTGCTGGCTGATCTGGCAAGCTCCCGTATTTGGTGAGTTTTCGTGATTTTGTTGTACACGGTGCAGTGCCGCAAGATTTGAAACTTGAAAAAGGGTCCTAAAAAGGTACCTCAACTGGGGGTTCGAACCGGACAGTGTACTGTTATGCAAGAGGATTTTCATGGTTTTTCCCCAATTCAGCGCTTTGGGGGCAAAACCTGGCCGAAATCCTATTCTTGTTATGGCTTGCTTTTTGGAGAAATAGACTTCAGAAACAAAATTGGAAAGAGCATTCCATGGCGGATTGCAGAAAAACGTGTGAGAAACTCTAAAAATTGACGCACTTATGGCCAAAAGCTAGGATATCATCTTTTTTATGAATGGACTGTAGATGTCTCATTATGAGCATGATTTGCAACCCCGTATGCCTACTCTGCTGTCTAAACAATGACAACAACAACAACAACAACAACAACAACAACAACAACAACAACAACAACAACAGCATCATCATCAACAACAACAACAACAACAGCAACAACAACAACATGGCCATCTCAATGATGTCATGCCCATTGGTCTTGGCAAGTACATGTATGTACCGTATTTTTCCGGTTGTAAGTCGACCTTTTATGACTGAAAATAGAAGGAGAAAGGGTGAGGGTCGACTTACAACCGGGATTCGACTTATAACCGGGAACTATCAGTATCTTACAAAAATGACCTGCACTGCATGCACGAGTGCACCATGTTTATACATTTTTGCCAGTTTATTGGCCTTTTTCAAGGATTGGGACGTTATCCTCCAATAAGGAATGTTTACATGATTTGTTGATGTGTTAGTAGCAGGAGGTGGTTAGTAGTGCTTCTTTGGGTGAAAACTTTGAAACGCAGAATTGTGACCTCCAGATAGGGGGGTCGACTTACAACCGGTTAAATACGGTAATACCAGTGTGTGTGTATGTGTCTGTTGTACCCATACAGGATGTGGTACTGTTTGTGACATGCGGCCCGGACAAGGGTCCAGGACCATTCTTAGTGGCTGGCCCTGCTGACAAGGTGTCATCACTTGGACCCAAGTAAGACACAACTCCATTGTGTTAATGAATTGTGTTTTAATTTTTAATGAAAAAAATGATGTTTTCAGTGATGTAATGAACCATGAATTTCACAAACGAATAATCTGGCGTGTACCACTCCATCGAAAGAACGGTCATCCTTGCGCAGCACGGAAAGGTCCTTGAAGCGAGGCTTAAGTGTTGATGCCAGAATCTCACAGGATGCAGGCTGAATGGTGCTGACTCCAAGCGACGACCAAACCTTGCCCGCGCACATGGGACTCGTAGTCAAGTGCACGGCTGCCGTACTGGCAGGAGTGAATTTGAGGAATAAGTCACAAAACTTGCACAAGACATTTTTTTATTTTTATATTCCAAGCAATACATGGCTGGGGTAGCCAATGACCACTTTGCATGGCGATTGCAGGGTTTTATAGCCAACCACGGCTAATCATTGCGGCATTAAACAACAACAAAATGCGTCGAAAAGTGTGGATGTAGCGGTCTGCTGGAAAGCACTGTATTCAACACCTTTGCTGTGATACCCGAAGACAAGCATCTTCGTCGTGGCTGGAGATAACAACCTACGACGCACGGATAAGACAAGGTTACACTAGTATTATGAAGAAACTCCGCTCGGCATCTGCCGAATTGGTCACGGCTTGGCAATGTCACAGTGCTATCATTTACAGGATGGGTAGGTCTCCACTCCTCAACATCGACACCCACATCTGGACAGGGTTGAGAAGGCTGTCAGAGGTATTGGCTTCTCTGACTGTTTCTTGCGACCGCTCCTCAACATACGGCTTGAACTCAGCAGCAGGCACACTAGACGGACCAGGAACAGCTTCATTCTGCTTGAGATCTTCCGGCATCTTCTCAGCTTATGCTGGGCGGAAAATGGTCGCCTCCTTCAAGAAGGCAGGCCACCAGTAATCAGATATTTCCGAAGTTTGACAGCTGCCTTGTTGAACGTCTCCTTGTATCGGTCACACAGCATCTATTCATCGTCTGGTAGCGCATCTTCTCCGGTGACAATTCAGTACAATCAGCAACGGTCATCATCCGATGGCTCTCAAGATGCAGCAGCAGACTTTGTACGATGTCGACGCCTGGAGTGCGCAGGGTCTACGGCTCTGAAAAGCCTCTTTCAATCGAACTAGCCACTGGAAATGCTAGCTGTCCGCAGATTGAGCACATACTGTAAGACATGTATATATAACGAGGAAGCAAATCTAACGTTTTAACGGATGACATTTCTTCGTTATAATAAGATCCGTTGAGGCCGTACTGCTTCATATATGCTGTGTGTGGATATGGCAGAATACTGCAAGATCGTTAACATATCTTCTCGTTAACCTATGAATTTTGGACAATCGTTAAATTTGCGACTCGTTATAATAACATGTCTTACAGTAGCCACCCACCGGTACGCTGTAGTCAGCCTCTGGATGGCTAGCGGTCTCAACCTGGTTGGGCTCAGAGCAACAGGCCAAATCGCAATCGCATCCTGTGGACAATAAAATTCTTATCATCAGCCCAGAGCATCCAAGTCAGAGCGCTCTATCCGTGGAGAGTGCAGCAAGCTTTACTCCAATTCAGACAACTGTGGCACACTCAACCAGAAAGACTACTTACCCAAGGCGAAATGGGGGAGCGAAACACTCTATCTGAACATGCGAAGAAAAGAGAAGAGGCAAATTGGAAAATCTAGTGTGCATTGTAGAGATGACGAGGAATAAAATTGATGAAGGTATTGATAAGCTGCACCGACTGTCACAGCCTCTAGCCTTTAGTGAAAACAATGAATCCAGTTTTTCTTTGAATATTATGATGCATTGGTAGCGTCAGAGGCTGTCCATTGCTGACAACTGGTCTGTACGGAGATGACAATGGACATTGCTGGACAAGGGGCTGGGGGCGTTCCAGAGAATGGCTACTGTCAGGGTGTTTAATACAGTAACGTTAAAGTCAGACCTCGCTTATCCGGACGTAAATTGTTTTGCAGCATATGTCATACATACATACAGTATGTGTGTTCGATTATCCGGTTTCCTTGCCTATCCGGATATTTTTTGTGGAAAACGGATGTGAGCGGTTAATGTTCTGTTGACTTCACTACAAAGCCCATGATTTGCTTCTTGTTTGTGACGGAGCCTCGCGTTCTAAACTGTGTTCTTCGGAATGTGTCCCTGCTGTTCTCCTTTTTCTCTGTGTCAGGATAGCGAAGGTTCTGGACGGCAAGGGTGGGGGACGTGGTGCACGCTATCAAGGCAAAGCAAACTCTTTTGCCAAGAGAGCCGATGCAGAGGCCTTGCTTCAAGAATAGGTGCTTTGTAGGGATTGAGACGAACAAATACAACTATTCTTATAAAACTGCTTTGCAAAACTTGCTCTAAATTCATTATTATTCTCGTCATTTTTCAGGAGATGGCGCACAGGTTTGCTGAATACTGCAATAGTGATATCAGCTGGCCTGATTCCCCTAGTTCTTCAGCTTTAGTAGATTTTTTTCCTTCTTCCACCAGCCAATGCATGGTTGCACTGCTGTGCTATGCACACAAACTGTGTAGTAAGCTGGGCGTGCTGGCCCCCGCTTTCTGCTTTCTAGCTGTTGACTTCTTTGTGCACTCATTTAATTTTTTTGACTACGCATTGTACGGTATTTATTGCACTCCGTATTGTGGGTGCTTCTAACGGCATCCATCGCATTCTTTTAAAACTAGTGTAGTTCTTAGAACCAATGTAGAAGTTCTATTGATATGGGAGGGGTGATCTGCTGTAGGGTTTGCAAGTACTATGCCACAGCCACGTGCTGCTTTTGTATAAATCCAGGGAGTCGTCAAATACCTATAATAACTTTATGGTATTTGACCACTCCCTGTATGAATCCATACACATTTGGGTAGACACCTTTACCATAGGGTAACACATTCCTTAATTGTACTGACTGCACTGCGCCCTCCCTGGCCGGGGGACGACGCGGACCCACTGCTGCAAGAGAAAAAGCGCCACACCAGCATGCAACATGGGGGTATTTTGACTCAGAAATCGTTTTTTATCTTAGTGGACAATCTTTATGACTGTGCTCTTTTCAAAATGACATCACTAGTGGGACCATTGTTATTAGGCTGGGGCCTGTTTTGGACTTCCCGCTCTAAATAAAGAATACAAACAACATGATGGTCATCAATCGGGCGATAACCTGATTATGCCCCTCTTGGAGAAGTTGGCCACTGGCCATTGCCTATATTTACACCTATTTTACTAGGGGATCCGGGAGACCAATGCATAATCTTCTTGCGGCACCAAGAAAAGAAAGACATTCCTTACGAACACGCGGCACTTTTTTTGCTGGAATTCAGTGCCCTGAAACTGTTTTGTGAAAGTACATGCAGGGAAACCTGTGTAAGACGACCACTCACTGCAGCTCACTGCACTGACTGCACTCACTGCACTCACTGCACTGACTGCACTGACTGCACTGACTGCACTGACTGGCTGCACTGACTGCACTGACTGCACTGACTGCACTGACTGCACTGACTGCACTGACTGCACTGACTGCACTGACTGCACTGACTGCACTGACTGCACTGACTGCACTGACTGCACTGACTGCACTGACTGCACTGACTGCACTGACTGCACTGACTGCACTGACTGCACTGACTGCACTGACTGCACTGACTGCACTGACTGCACTGACTGCACTGACTGCACTGACTGCACTGACTGCACTGACTGCACTGACTGCACTGACTGCACTGACTGCACTGACTGCACTGACTGCACTGACTGCACTGACTGCACTGACTGCACTGACTGCACTGACTGCACTGACTGCACTGACTGCACTGACTGCACTGACTGCACTGACTGCACTGACTGCACTGACTGCACTGACTGCACTGACTGCACTGACTGCACTGACTGCACTGACTGCACTGACTGCACTGACTGCACTGACTGCACTGACTGCACTGACTGCACTGACTGCACTGACTGCACTCACTGCACTCACTGCACTCACTGCACTGACTGCACTCACTGCAGCTCACTGCACTCACTGCACTCACTGCACTGACTGCACTGACTGCACTGACTGCACTGACTGCACTGACTGCACTCACTGCACTGACTGCACTGACTGCACTGACTGCACTGACTGGCTGCACTGACTGCACTGACTGCACTGACTGCACTGACTGCACTGACTGGCTGCACTGACTGCACTGACTGCACTGACTGCACTGACTGCACTGACTGGCTGCACTGACTGCACTGACTGCACTGACTGCACTGACTGCAGCTCAAGGGACGTTCAAACTTAACGACGTGGTCTCTGTTACCAGGGGGTCTCCTTATCCAGGGCCATTAGGTGGAAATAGCATCCCTTGGTCCTGGTTTCAGTGGTCTTCTAGGACAGGTGGGCACCTTATCGGAGTGGTCGCCTTGACAGGCTATGCATACCGGTATGCCTATTAAGTGGGAGTGAAGAACAGTGTCAAATGAAGGGTACCATAAGGGTAGAAGTGGAATTTAGCTACTCAGAATAGGCAAGAAGCACAGGGCATGATCCCGGAAGAAGCTGGAAGCGGCCGGCTGCCTAATACCAGCCAGACTAGTGCAGGTGGTCGTACACCTTCTTCTTGAAGGTCTGCATTGACTTCTTTTAAAAAAAAGGTAGTATCAAGCTTGCGGTAAAACCAGCGGCAGATGCAGCGCCCACATTGGGGGGGGGGGGATAAGTCCCACAGCCACTGGCACAAGTGCCGATAATCCCATTAGCCGTATCCATGTAGAGCGTGCCCATTGTGCATGGCTAGAAGCTACCAGTTGATCGCAGGGGGACTGACCTCGCTGAGCTACGACCAGCGATGTTCTACCACTTAACTCTATGGTGTAAGGACCTTCCAAGCAGTGACCGTTCAGCATAATAGTTATACATGTACAAATAATACATACTTAGAAGTTGCGACTTCGGCGGTAATGGTCAGGAAGTTGGTTGCTCCAACGAGGAGCACACGCTTCTTGCCGAACTTGACACTTGACTGACTCACGACTGCCATCCGGAGCACACGAGGAGCACGTCGCACCTTCCGCTCGGCAAACCTGAAAGAAAGCACCACTCCCTGCTCAATACACAGTGTTTCGGGGAATTCACCCCTCATCAGTTGAGCTTGAGTAGGCTGAGGAAGATTGTGCCTGAAAAGCACCACTTATATACTGCTCTCCAGGCCAAACCATCACCAGGGATACAAACTTACAGAGACGCTTTGTTTCCAGCGCAACAAACACCTCGTGAAGCCCCAGGTAGCAGCGTGAGTCAGAGTCGCTCATGGAGTTGTGCTGAACAGACGTTGAGAGCCAGTATAGCTATTCACAACGCTGTCACCTCCAACAACTAGTCGCACGTCCGCGTGAGGGACAACAATACGAACTTAGAAGTTGCGACTTCGGCGGTAATGGTCAGGAAGTTGTCAGGTTTGCCGAGCGAAAGGTGCGACGTGCTCCTCGTGTGCTCCGGATGGCAGTCGTGAGTCAGTCAAGTGTCAAGTTCGGCAAGAAGCGTGTGCTCCTCGTTGGAGCAACCAACTTCCAAATAGTACATGTACTTTAAAAAAAGTAGATTAATTTAAAGGTAACATATTATGCAGAAAAGTTATTATGACCAGCCTTCCATTGCGGTGGGTGCAAACAAATTATGCCTGGACTGCAGAGGAGAATGCTTCACACGTGCAGAAACATGGCGATTCTGAGAGAATGCGGTTCAATGGCATGTTGACACTGAAATCTGGCTGCACGTAATTGTTGGCGGAAAGAGGGGACATGCAATCGCAGTGAGCGTGTGGCAGTGTAGCATGGCTTTGTAGCAAATCAATCAGACCGGGTTTGAAATACACTCATGGGACAGTCACAGGAGAACCCGCGATGTGCTATAGCATGAGTTAATGAGTACAACTGGATGGACACATCATGTGCATGTGCACAGTCCCCCACTGCCATTGGAGCACGCAGAGCAAAAACAATCACATGACATTGCTACATGACATTGTACTACATTGTATTGTGCTGCTCAAGCATGCCAATGCTCTCATGCCAATGCATGCTGAGGCTTATCACTACTAGACTGCACTAGCACTACTATACTCATGTGTATACTCATGTGTATACTCATGTGTGTACTCATGTGTGTACTCATGTGTGTACTCATGTGTGTACTCATGTGTATACTCATGTGTATACTCATGTGTTTACTGTCTTGTAGTACTGCTAAATTAGGAAAGAGGAGGAGATGGGAAAATTGCAGAAACAGGGCTTACGTTCTGACCACGCATGTATGACACGTTATGACTTTGTGCTCGTACTGAGGTGTAGATCCACGTACTGGCGGCGGTGCTGGGACTCTGAAATTCAAGTCGCATCAAGCTGTGAGGTCAACTCCTGCACGATACGGTGCATCGACGGTCGCTCTTGAGGATCGCTCTTCGTGCATTGCTCTGCAAGATGACGATATGGATAGCGGATGTTCGGCGGGAAGATCAGTTTACTGTCGCTGGCAATTTCATCAAGGATGTCATCCGAGTTGTGAAGATGTGCATAGGGTATTTGGCGAGTGCACAGTTCCCACATCACCACACCATAGCTGCGGGGAGAATACGATAAATTCATGAAGTTACATTCCTGCCACCGTGCAAAGCCTGCCCTATTCTAACAGCATATGCCACATAATCTGATTGCTCTGATTCCTCGTTTCTACATGACACACGTAGTAAAGTACAGTCGACTCCTGATATAACGAACCACATTGTGCAGGATGATTGGTTCTTTGTGAAATGAAATGCAGCAAGTCATGACTGGTATCGGTCTCCATGTCCCTGTTTGAACCCAGACAATTGTTTCCCCTTTTCAGTGAACGTTTTCGTTTATAACAAACCTTTTAAATGATTATCATTAAGGGCCGCATGTTCACCTAGTGCACTCATACAGTCATGGGCCAGATACCAGTCATGACTTGCTGCATTTCATTTCACAAAGAACCAATCATCCTGCACAATGTGGTTCGTTATATCAGGAGTCGACTGTACATGTAATACTTCCACATCAATTTCAATGGGGTCCATTTAACTCCAACTGAGGATTGCCTGCAGCAGCTAGGCACAGGCGGATAATGCCGGCAGAAAAATTGGCAGAATTCGGTACTTTTTCTGGTAAGTTTCATGCATGTTTGGTATGTGGATAAAGAAATGGAGCAGAATTCAAGGAACTGCCCGCCATAAGGTTTGTATGGTTCTGCCAATTCCACTGCTTTTCGAGCAGAATCTGCCACCTTTTCGAGCAGAATCCGCCGGTGCCTAGCAGCAGCCAGGAGAATGCTTCGAATCGACTGTATTCAGTATACTGTACAAACTTTTGCTTCCACTTGTGATTTTTCCTAGGCGAGATTAGATAAAGAAACGGTTTGTTCCTGGCTACCGGCCGTAAGTAAAGAAGACTACTCCGGCAGTGACCACCTTTTTTGTTTTATTAAGGGATTCCACCATCACCAATTAAAATACATGTATGCCAGTTCCCAATGAACGGTCAAATCTGCCTTGAAGGCTACTACTACTTCATGATACCGGTTGTGCAGCAGTACAATGCATGATAGGTTGAAGTAATAGCCGGCGAGCATGACCATGCATTGTCCAGCATGACCATGCATTGTCCATTGCAACTGTTATACACTATAACTTACTTACTACTCAAGTAGTAGTCATAGCCTCCCGGCACCCTGTAACCCACCCTGTAACCCACCCTGTAACCCACCCTGTAACCCACCCTGTAACCCACCCTGTAACCCACCCTGTAACCCACCCTGTAACCCACCCTGTAACCCACCCTGTAACCCACCCTGTAACCCACCCTGTAACCCACCCTGTAACCCACCCTGTAACCCACCCTGTAACCCTCCCTGTAACCCACCCTGTAACCCACCCTGTAACCCACCCTGTAACCCACCCTGTAACCCTCCCTGTAACCCACCCTGTAACCCACCCTGTAACCCACCCTGTAACCCACCCTGTAACCCACCCTGTAACCCACCCTGTAACCCACCCTGTAACCCACCCTGTAACCCACCCTGTAACCCACCCTGTAACCCACCCTGTAACCCACCCTGTAACCCACCCTGTAACCCACCCTGTAACCCACCCTGTAACCCACCCTGTAACCCACCCTGTAACCCACCCTGTAACCCTCCCTGTAACCCACCCTGTAACCCACCCTGTAACCCACCCTGTAACCCACCCTGTAACCCACCCTGTAACCCACCCTGTAACCCACCCTGTAACCCACCCTGTAACCCACCCTGTAACCCACCCTGTAACCCACCCTGTAACCCACCCTGTAACCCACCCTGTAACCCACCCTGTAACCCACCCTGTAACCCACCCTGTAACCCACCCTGTAACCCACCCTGTAACCCACCCTGTAACCCACCCTGTAACCCACCCTGTAACCCACCCTGTAACCCACCCTGTAACCCACCCTGTAACCCACCCTGTAACCCACCCTGTAACCCACCCTGTAACCCACCCTGTAACCCTCCCTGTAACCCACCCTGTAACCCACCCTGTAACCCACCCTGTAACCCACCCTGTAACCCACCCTGTAACCCACCCTGTAACCCACCCTGTAACCCACCCTGTAACCCACCCTGTAACCCACCCTGTAACCCACCCTGTAACCCACCCTGTAACCCACCCTGTAACCCACCCTGTAACCCACCCTGTAACCCACCCTGTAACCCACCCTGTAACCCACCCTGTAACCCACCCTGTAACCCACCCTGTAACCCACCCTGTAACCCACCCTGTAACCCACCCTGTAACCCACCCTGTAACCCACCACACGCGGCATACTTTCATTTCTGGTGTTCATTATAGTCAACTGGTCTGTGGCTCTGTGGCTAACAGTAACACCAAGAGTACATAACCCGAAGTACTCATGGCAACACTCAGAAACATGCGGCGATGGATAAAACCATTTTGTGTTTCAAAGAGCTGGCCATATCTGCTCAACGATCATAGGCCGAGTACTGTATTCAATTTATTAATTTAATTTAAGTTACTGTAGAAGTACATGCACCTATCGCTGAAGCTCACCTATAGACATCGTGTTTCTCCGTGTAGATATTCTTCTTGATAGATTCGGGGGATCTCCAGCGATCAGTGCCCACGCCACACGTCATTCCGATGCGCGATGTCATACCTTCCATATCTCCAGCAGCATCATTGCCGTGGTTAGTAGCATGACCGCCGTCATCATCATCATCATTAGCAGCAGTAGTAGTACTAGGTATATTTTCCAGCAGAGGTGTTGTCAGCTGGTCAGATTGAGCCGGGCTCGTGAAGGATGTTGTACGGGCGCCATCCACTTCTCTCTTAGCATCGGGTTGCTGTGCCGCCATTGCCTCGTTTGACGTGCTGGCCCGTAAGATTGCTAGAAATCTCGTAGTCTCCATGTCGGCTATTTTCACCACCCACTTGTCACTGACCAGCATGTTGGCTGACTTGATGTCGCGGTGAATCCTGGGCGGACGTGTACTGTGAAGATACTTCACGCCTCTTGCAGCGTCCAGAGAAAAGCGGAGTCGATCTGCGTGCTCAATGTTGTTTGAGTGGTCATGGAGAACATCGTGGAGCGAGCCTCTCCTCAAGTGTTCCATCACTAGAAATGGTCGACCTGATGTTCGGTCCTTTCCGGCTCCCATGAACATGACAATGTTGGGATGGCGCAGCGTTCGAAGAACTTCAGCTTCCTGAATGAAAGCATCGTACGGTGATGATGTGGTGACAAATGGTGGAAGTTGTTTGACAATGACTGTCATATCTCCTAACTCGGCCAGCAAAACCTTGCAGAATCGTCCAGTGGCGAGTTGCTTTTTGATCCTCAGATCACACCAGGCAATGCGTGCTCCATGGTCGATTTGACTGAGTTTTCTTTTGGAGCGATAGAGATCACGATTTGTGTTCACCAGTTCAATCTCCTTGTCATGTAGGGCTTTGCGTTTTTTCAGGAACTGAATGAGAGCAATGGTGAGAGTTGTCAGAGTGACCGCAAAGACAAGAGCTGCCATCAGGGCCAGGTAGACAGAGGGCGTTTTACAGTCGTCACTGCTAAGATAGCCAAAGCGACAAACGCAGTAGTGCTTGAAGTTGGCATCGTTGACGATACACTTGCCGTGCTGGTTGCAAGTGTGCGGCTTGCATGGATTCTCAGGGACGCAGTGCGTGGCTGCCACACTGGCGGTGGTCAGTGATTGGTTGCACTTGATACACTGCTGCTGAATAGTAGCTGAATAATACTCAATGGGACATGGCCGGCATGTGTTGTTAAAACCTCGTTCGTGTCCAACAGGGCACAGGCCAGTTGTGTCGAGAATGCTGAAGTGTTTCTCTATCCTATTATCGTCCGTGCCTCCAAACATCATTGATCCTACTGCAGTGTGAGCCCCAATATCAGTTTTGAAGAATCTTGTCCAGGTAGCAACTGTGACAGTTGACCTTGTCTTGAAGTAAATGAGTAATGCCCAGTCGACATTAGCCAATTTCCGACCATCCGAGTTTATTTCTTCACCACCCATGAGAATAAGATCGGTGTCACTGAAGGATAGGCTGTGATGGTAACGATTTGGGATACTGGGACTGAATGCAATATCATGGATGAAAACCTCGCTTGGTGATTGTATGGTGATGAGAGTAAGTTGGGAAGGGCCTGGCATCCGTCCGCCATATAGAATTACTGCTCCACGATCTGTAGGTGTCGCAGTGTGGCCGTATTGGATTGGAAGTTGTCCCTTATTGATATGGTCTGTGAGATTATGCCATCGACCTTGGCAGCGGTCTTCGTCATCAAGGACGAACATCCACAAATCACCTAGTACCGCTCTGTCCCAGTGTACTGATAAGCCCTTTCCACCATGTACCACCACTGCACTGGCATTGTATCGGAATGACACATGCTGTCCCCTTGTGGGCGGAATGGTGCCGCGCGTGATGCTGGCCTTAGTCCAAAAATGTCGCCGAACGTTGAAGCACCAAGGAAATGGGTCGATGATCCTTTCGCTGGGGTCATAACCCCCGTACATGATGGCCGTATTTGCAGTAACCAAGGTTATACTGTGATACATCCTGTGAGGATGAGCTGGCCCGGGTTTGGGATAGAGCAGAGTGTAGTAGAAAGGTGAAAGATTGTTGTTGCCGGTACTAGCACGCAGCATCCATACAGGCATGACAAAAGTGTACTCAGGCGACCGTTCATGAAGAAATTTGATCTGGAGTACCAAAGAACTGTCTGCTCCAAAGAACACGTACTGCACCTCACCCGGCTTGGAACCAATCGGAACTTTGATGGCCGGGGACGTGGTCTTAGTGCCTGCAAATGTGAAGCCAGGGAATTTTGTTGTGATCTCCACCTTGTGGAGTTCAATTCGATGCTTAGCACTGTTGCCCTGGGCGGGGGTGATGCTATATGCGTTGGCTTCGATCATGTTTTTCCCGTCCGGCGATGCGAAAAAGAACGACGCCATTCCTGACGAAAGGAAAAAGTCCTTTGCACAAGTTGTGTGCAGCAGTGAAGCAGAGTATGTAGAAGCAATTGGCTCCGTACAGTGAGCAAGCCTTTCTCTAATGTCACACAAGATCAATGGGCAGGGACTGTTGCTGCAGGCAACATCTTGAATGAGCAGCTTCCTCTGCGATGCTATGTAGGACACCTTAGTCATAGTCGAAAAAGGGCATGTCCATGAAGGATTTTGAAACATTGACTTGCGTCGATTATCATATATGTAGATGCTGTTGGTGTTCTCAAGCTCAATCCAGGTCTGAGACACCAGATCAAATCTCCAGATGTCCATTTCAACAGTTCTCACTGTCGATCCGGCCGTACTACTTGCATTTGTTCCCAGTGACTTCCAGCCGCCAACATACAGTAGAGTTGTGTCACTTTCGGCAAATAGGCTGGCAAACGCTTGAGGGCTGGGCCTCTTTGGTCCAATCAGGTCGACAAACTCCCACTGTGCGGCAACACCAGGATTGTCTTGCATGAGTAAGCGATGCACAGTATTGGAGGCCAGATTTTGATAGTTCCTGCTTATGCTGTATCGGTAATGACAATGCTGCCATGCACAGCCGCCAATTGACAGGAGGTAGTAGGCCGAACTTGAAGTGTTTCCTCCGTCAACACTCCGTGCAGGAATGGTGGCAAGAGCCATTCCTAACTCACCAACAGGAGGACTAGCCTGGGCGTGATGTGTTTTCAGAACTCTCGCTTTTCTGTTCCCGTACACTAACAAAAGGCTGTTACATTCACCGGGGCCAAAGCCGTATAGAATGATCTGCTCTTTCGATGGGGACACAGCTATGCTTAGGCCTTCTTTCAGACAACAGCACTTCGGACCCAGCAGCTGGTTCAAATCGATTTCACGTTCGAACACTTGCCAGGTTCGAAAAGCCGAGTAGCTGACATCGTACACTGCCACTTCCAAGTACGTTGTTGCATTACGTTCCTTTTTGTAGATGTACATCAGATGTGGAGTGTACTCGCTTCGGTCGTTTTCTCGGAACATGACGGCCTCGTTGATCAACGCCAGCGAAATTCCTCTCATTCTTGCACTCGGTGATTTCAACCCGCTGTAGAAACTCCCAGGAATCGCCTCAATTGGTTGTGCTATTTTAGTTTGCAATGGTTTGCCTAGACTCGTAGTCGTAGTCGCCATGGCACCTAACGCCTTCAGGACCAGTACAGCGCCGAGCATCGATACAATCGGCCACTTCCCGACAAGCACGATTGAAGGAACACCGCTCATGTTGGGCAGGTTTCCGCCGGACACTTTGCTGGCTGTCATCACGGTCATAAGCAACGCATTCCCCTCCTAACCTTACAAATACAGTCAGTCACTGTGCTCCGACTGTCAACTAAGTAAAGATGAATGCTTGCCGCGGCTAAGGCTAAGCAGTAAGAAAGAACTATAATCGAAGATCCAATCGGGCTGGAGTAACTGGAGGGACAGGAGCAGTGGAGTAACTGGAGGGACAGGAGCAGTGGAGTAACTGGAAGGACAGGAGCAGTGGAGTAACTGGAGGGACAGGAGCAGTGGAGTAACTGGAGGGACAGGAGCAGTGGAGTAACTGGAGGGACAGGAGCAGTGGAGGAACTGAACTGTACTAGGTCTTGGCGGGTTCGGGATTGTTGTTTGTTTTACCACTGCTGGCCGAAAGGCGAGTGGCTTATACGACCTCCCTGCCTGTGAATGTCAGTGGTATTACACCTGTGCTTGCTACAGACGGTGTGCCAATTGCTACTACCGGTATTTCCATAGCCAGCATAGCCACACAAGCGTGTACCTTCAGAGGAAGTGATTGTTCTGAAAGTCTGCTAGCCAGACGTAGCAAAGTAACAGTAAATGTTACAGTTAGCGTACCAGTTGCCGTCGCCTTCGTGATGATGATGATTGATACTGTGCTGGAGGGGGGGGGGGGGGCGCGCAAACGAGTCCTGGTGTGGCATGGTATATGTACTCTTGTCTTGATTACTCGTAACAGCATAGCTGACTTCTTGGACGGGTGATAACTGAGAATAGAGGCTGGAAGGCAATTCCAGGTCTCGATCATAGAGTGGGGGAAGGACAGAAAGACATGGTTGGTTGGTTGGTATATTTTATTTTACTTCGCCAGAATGAACAGGCATTGCTGCCTTCTTGCCTGGACAAGTAGATTGTCCAAGCTCTCACAAAAAGACGAAGAAAGGAAAGAAATATTACATGAGAGTGTGAAGCATGCAATCTTATTAAAAATAAAAAATAAAATAAAAATTTCCATGAGAGTGTGACGCATGCATGATGAGAGAGGAAAGATAGATATAGATAGAGAGAGAAAGAGAGAGAGAGAGAGAGAGAGAGAGAGAGAGAGAGAGAGAGAGAGAGAGAGAGAGAGAGACTGCTTTATTGCCTGGACAAGTGAACTGTCCAAGCTCTTACAAAATGACCAACAACAACAACAACAGCAACGGCAACAACAACAGCGACAGCGACAACAACAACAGACCAACAACAACAGCAACGGCAACACCACAGCAGCAGCAACAACAACAAGAGAGAGAGAGAGAGAGAGAGAGAGAGAGAGAGAGAGAGAGAGAGAGAGAGAGAGAGAGAGAGAGAGAGAGAGAGAGAGAGAGAGAGAGAGAGAGAGAGAGAGAGAGAGAGAGAGAGAGAGAGAGAGAGAGAGAGAGAGAGAGAGAGAGAGAGAGAGAGAGAGAGAGAGAGAGAGAGAGAGAGAGAGAGACGCTTTACTACCTGGACAGGGAATTGTACAAGCTGTCACAAAATGACCAACAACAACAACAACAACAACAACAACAACAACAACAACAACAACAACAACAACAACAACAACAACAACAACAACAACAACAACAACAACAACAACAACAACAACAACAACAACAACAATAACAATAACAACAACAGAGAGAGATAGATAGATAGAGGGAGAGAGAGAGAGAGAGAGAGAGAGAGAGAGAGAGAGAGAGAGAGAGAGAGAGAGAGAGAGTGTGTGTGTGTCAGAGACAGAGAGAGAGAGAGAGGGGGGGGGAGGAGGAGAGATATGCGGATTGTTAAAATGGATTTCGACATGAAGTTAGGTACAGAGAATGTTAATATGGGTAAAGGCTGGGCAAGTCGAGAGCCGTGGCTAGAGCTTTAAATGTCTGCCAATCACCTTCCGTACGGACTGCAACTGGGAGAGCATTCCACAGAATGCTGCTAACAAACTGAATTGAACGACGTCCAGCAGGACCAGGGAGGAACGGAACTCTCAGCAGGCTTGACACTTGACCCCGTGTCGTCCTCAGCTGAGGTGTGGCAGGGTCGTTGATGGGCACGAACAGATTCTTTAACAGGGGACTTGTCTTGTCATTTAAACATTTGAAAACGAAGATGGCAAGCTTCTGGAAGAGAAGCTGTGGCAAGCTTGGCACACCCAGTAGCTCGAGAAGGGGGGCAGTCGGGACCAGAGTCCTTTGCTGCAGGGTCGCTCTGACACCGGATTTTGACAGGCGGTGGAGTTTATCCAGGAGCTGCTTGGAAAGACTGGAGAAGAAACAGTTGGATCCGTAGGACAGATGAGCCTGTATCATGCTGACATACCAGACTTGGCGTGCTCTTAGGCTCAGGGACCTGCCGTGTCGCCATAGCTGTCCAATTACTGGCCCGATCTTGCGTGTTACATGGCTGATATGTGGCTGCCAGGAGAGGTCATTGTCGATTACAACACCCAGGTATTTCGCAGATGTTGTTGATTCCAGGGATTGTCCTCGACAACGTACGTGTTCTTGAACATCAGCACCGCCTCTTGGCTTTACAAACAGAACTTGGGTTTTCTGGGCATTCAGAAGTAGGCCGATGTCATCTAGCCACTTGGCGAGGTTGGTCACTGCAGACGACAGAGACTCGCAGACTTGCTTGGGACACGCGTTGGAGCAATCGAGAGCGATGTCATCAGCGAATTCCTGATCTGCCACATCCGGAGGCATCGTTGACTTGACGTCAGCAGTGTAAATTACAAACAGGAGTGGGCCTAAGACACTGCCCTGCGGAACACCGCGAGAGCAAGGAACAGTCCCTGACAACTGATCCTGCAATTTGATCTGCTGTGTCCGGCCAGACAGGTAACTGCAGAACCAGTTGAGTGCAGTTCCCGAGATGCCTAGCTTAAACAGTTCGGTAACGAGTCGCTCATGCCTGACGCGGTCAAAGGCCTTTGACATGTCGACAAACACGATGCCGGTATACTTGCGCTCTGCCCGTGCCATCGTTCCGAGACTGAGCCAGTGAGGTGGTGCAATCTTTGACAGCTGGTACGGGTGATGTCTCGCGATTGGGCGGACGCTGGCTTGGGGGGGGGGGGGAGATGGGCTGGGACTGGAGATTGTGGGCGTAGGAGGGACGTGACCGTGGCAGGCCCAATCAGGTAGTGAAGGTAGCAGAGGGCAGAAGCAGTGCGATGGATGCCCAGGCTAGGCAGGTAACAGCCATCGCCGATGATGGTATGGAGTGCCCTACGCTGAATGGTTGTGAGCTTGGCAAGTAGAGAGGGTGCTGCGCTCATCCATACCAGGAGGCATACTCCAGGATCGACTGGACAAACCCACGGTAGACTGCGGCGCGGCATTTAGGGTTGAGGGTCCGGGCAGACTTGCGGAAGAAACCGAGTTATTAACATGCATTCTTATTTTGAAGTAGTGGTTGCGACTTCGGCGATGATTTGTCGGCGGAATAGCGCGAGCTCCGGTGTGGGGAGCAAACCATTCTTATTTTGACTAGGGAATTCGAGTCCGATGTATGATGATGATGATGACAGACAGCACATCACGATGCGGAGGACACCCTGTACGAAGGCATTGCAACTTACAGCGTATCGGTCTATCGGGACTCTACCAACCAGGGAGCAGTATTATACCAGCCGATATCTGGTTGCTATCAGTGGTTGCTATCTATATCAGGAACACTGTTTTCCTCCGCCTTGTGACGTGCTGTCATCATACTAGTAATTATTACTACACGTACAATGTACGTGCTACTCGTGCTGTGCATGGGTGGATAGTCGGGTAGATATCTACATAATTATTATCTAGCCATGTTACCCATGCACCATGGCGTGCGCCTTTTACTAAGTTTTAGACAATCAGTATTGTGCTAGCTTGGGTAAGAAAATCGTCAAAATACTACACATTCATACTACACATTCATACTTTTGCACGCTCTAAATGACGACAAATTGACTATATCCCTATATCCCCTCCTTTTTGAAAATGTATTTCACCAATAAAATAAGGCTTGGAATTTTTTTAAACATGAATATCGACGGACTTGCCCCTTCTGTTCATGCATTGCCCTGCTCTAGTAATGGTTCATGAATCCGCCCAGTCCACATTCCTTCTCCGTTTCTCTCCGTTTTTCTTTCCTTTCAGTTGCATCTTCCTCTCTGCTCTGTTTTATTTTCTCTTTTCGTTCGTCCCTCTTAATATTGGTACTTTGTACTGTTGAGGCAACGAACTGAAATAATAAACACATTCATGTGCATGAACACGTACTAGTACCGGTACATACATTACATGTACATGATTTTACTTCTGAAGTAGTACTCATTATGCTGAGCTTCCCGCCTTCACGTCGGTGGGTTTTATCTGTCTGATTTCAACAGCCCTGGGCTCGTTGAGAAGCTCTTTCCAGAGAGAATTACAAAATAAACTCCAACTCACCAAGGGGTATGTTTCGTGGCTACTACTGAAGTATGAAAGAAATGGAGGTGTTGCTTTTCAATGGTAACAATACCCCTAACCGCCTGCCAGGATACCTGGACATCTTACCCGTAGAAAAATACCCGAACCCAGGATACCCGGCAGTCTTACTGCTCGTAGACAAATACCCGAACCCGGGATACCCCGAAGAACATGGTGCCCAACGCAGCCCTATACTGGCTATAGATACTACTAATACCGATTCTTGAAATACAAGTCATGACTGTAATACTAGATTCAGACCAGAATGATTGCAGGCGGCCGCGGCAGGATCTGGGGATGATCTTTATGCACAATCAATCCTGCATCTCTAGACGGCAAGCCGTTTTGCCTTGCTGCCCGGCGCCGAAGAATGAACGGGATACATTACTTCACCAGCCTGACACCAGTGACCAGGTACTGGAATCCATGCCTAGTAAGTATAGTACCTGTCTGTACCTGGTGGCTCAACCACCCCACGACGCAGCTGCTCACCAGATCAAGGTGTGTGTTCTCTTCACTCAGTAGACTAGAGTCGAGCGAGCTGCAACTCCCGTTGCCGAAAGGCGGGCTCACGCCCCTACATGGCTACTTCCCCTTAATTTAGGGCCTTGTCTAACCCCCAACACGACGAAATGATAGTAGACGACTGGCCGAAATTAAGAAAAAAACCAGAAGGAGATTTCTGCATGAACAATAATAACGGCCTAGGCAACTACATGCACTCTGAACACCTAGTTCTTTGCCACCCGACAGAACTGTATACATTGTACCATCGTGCTCTCCATTTCACAACCATCGGTTTTGCGCATGGCGCCTGGTCGATGCATGGCTAGTGGTACAATCTGAGTTTGCCGGCTGGTAGATTAGCCTGGTTAGGTACTGCTTGGCGCAGGGAAGATGGCACGGCTAACTTACGAGTTTAGCTTGATTGCGACGTACGTTTCGTACTCGCTGGACTGATAAGGTGATATTCTTCTCGGATGTCTTCGGACCATAACACGGTGAGCAAGTAAGCAAGTACCGGTAGTTTTCAGACCGTACAGCTGCAGTGGTGTCTTTTTAAACTTTATTCTCCCGAGTCAAGCTTCGTCCAAATACATCCAAGAAGATAGCTCTGACTGCCTGGTAGATCTACGTCCAGAGGGGACGAAACGTATGAAGTCGTAGCTGTAATGTCCTCTATGTGCCAAGAGCTACCCGATGTACCAGCCCGCTAAGTCAGACACCAGAGCACTAGCCATGCATGGACTAGGCGCCATGTTCAATTTGAGAGAGAGACAGAGAGACAGAGAGACAGAGAGAGAGAGAGAGAGAGAGAGAGAGAGAGAGAGAGAGAGAGAGAGAGAGAGAGAGAGAGAGAGAGAGAGAGAGAGAGAGAGAGAGAGAGAGAGAGAGAGAGAGGAGAGAGAGAGAGAGAGGAGAGAGAGAGAGAGAGAGAGAGAGAGAGAGAGAGAGAGAGAGAGAGAGAGAGAGAGGGAGGGAGAGAGAGAGAGAGAGAGAGAGAGAGAGAAGAGAGAGAGAGAGAGAGAGAGAGAGAGAGAGAGAGAGAGAGAGAGGAGGAGAGAGAGAGAGAGAGAGAGAGAGAGAGAGAGAGAGGAGAGAGAGAGAGAGAGAGAGAGAGAGACAGAGAGAGAAGAAGAGATGAGGAAGGTTGGAGCGAGAGAGCACAGTCATGTGCTGGAGCCTGAAGATGACAGGAGTGAACTATGGGCGAGGTTATATTTCACATGTCGGTGCGTCCACAAGTCAACGTAAGGAGTTGGCCGACACAACAGACCAAGGTGTTCACAAAAGGCTGCAACAACTGCAGCCAGAGGAAGAGTGGAAGAGTGGAAGAGTGGAAGAGTGATTAGCACTGGCACCTTGTATAGTGTAGATTTTGGAGGAGACCGTCACGAAGGTCACGATGCCGCTTCGTAAGTAACTACATGTAATACTAGTACAATTTGTGTGAGGTTGCGCCTGCAGTAGGCTACACTATAGGACAAGTGATCCCCGGACGGCCTCAGCTATGCCCCCCCCTCCCCCCCCCCCCCCATCCCGACACACATACAAGCACAGCCTCCACATGCAGTAACTAATGCGCAGTAACATATCGTGCGTGTCTCTTGGCACAGTGCCACCACACTACGCAGGTGATCAACATGCAGCACTGACCAGCTTGAAAAGGCCTGCGAAGGAAAGGTGCGCACCGGGTTCGGTGTTGAGTGGTGATAGTCCCAGGAGTACAGGCTAAAGAGTAAAGACGCCACCCTTCACCGGCTGCCATGCTTTTTCCTTGGCTGTTTGGCCAACCAGGTTGCAGATGTGGACTGAGGAATCCGCTGGAACAAACTGCCGTGACAACTAAAAGAATAGGACAATCTTATCGGATTTCTCTTCCACGTATTTCTCAGCTAACGTAGCGTTGTGGTTTACCGGTACCGCGGTTACGCTGCTTTTGGAATTGTCTGCGTCCTCGCATTGTCATCGTCTTCGGGCGGATTTGATCCTGGGAAATCCCACGCATGCGCGTCGAGTCTCGAAGCGAAGCAGGAACGAGAGAGAAGAGGGGAATGCAACTCATGGCCACCAAGACCCCGGCTGTTCGGCGTGCACGATGACGTGTTCAGTGTTACCCGCTCCCACCGACTTGGCACGTCGTGTCAAACTGTCGTTTTCTAGTCTAAACAAAATGTCATGGTGTGAAACGGTGAGGGGGTCGAGCACACGTTTCACGGCACACACTATGACACAGTCTCCTCGAAGACTAACCAAAAATTGTCGAGCACGTGACACAGAGTGAAGTCTTCAAGTAAAGTTTATAGTTATGTGTCAGTATTGGAAAATTAGTTGCACGTAACCGTTAGCTGCTCCAAATAGTTCCAGAGAGATGACCGGATGGCGTCCTGCAGTTACTCCAGGATCAGGTCCTCTGAGACATTACTCACGTGTTTGATGGTCCTCACTGCTCTGCTGCTGCAACATGCTTCACCCGCATGTGAACATGTCCGCCCGGTGATGAATGGGCAAATCATCCTTGGGCCTGCTATGCAGGTCCGTTGGGGGAATGCAGCAGATTCCACAGCAAGAGAACAAAGTAATTTTCAGCAATGCCCAATTTCCTGCGCGATTATCGTGCTTCAACGATAGTTCTCAAGCATATTCGATTCGTCACTATCCAGGATCGTGGCGTCGCTCCAGATGACAACATACACTCACTGCATGTATATGACTGTCTGGCCAACTAGTTACTTCGCCTGCTCAGGAGTCAACCAACCTCCACAGGGCGTCAAAAGTCAGTTGCGTTTGCTCGCCTTTACTGGCTGTAGGACAAGCAGGCATGCGTGCAATGGTAGATCTGTTATCTGCTAAGCGCTTTACCGCTTAGTATCTGTTAACTAATTACTTAGCAGGAGTTTGTGAGGCTGGTGGAGAAGGCATTGTATTCGGCAAGCAAATGTTGAGAGAAGAACAGAGTTGACGAAGGAAAATAAAAATCTAAGCTCCATCAGTTCAGAGACTAGTTTCTCGAGTTTACATGACACCATGGCGCGTGTACAAGTCACTCTAAAGTCTGAAGATCTAAGAACGGTGACAGCGGAGGTGAACATCCAAGCAGCCGCTTCTAGACGACAAACTCCTCCTTCAGGCTGGCCATGCATACACGTCGTTACGTGCAAGACTGCAGTCGCGAAGCTGCTGTGATTCGATCAAGTCAAGAGTCAAAAACAGAGTTTTGTGGTTTTGAAGAGTGAGTTCTGGACCTCCCCATGCAGCCTTCGCCAGTGACCTAGTTCGCCGCCGAGCAGCTCGCAGAACTGATAATTAATTGCTAGTGTTAGTTTACACAATGACCTCCCACTCTCCCAGTGCAGGCGACACAGCACTCTCTCTCTCTATCATCTAGTAGTGTCGCGGTATCATGTAACTGAACTACATGATGATTGATGGTACATCTTGGCACTAACAGCTACATGCACTTACTCAGTTACTGACTCTGCAGGCCGGTGTCAGTGGTGAGTTGTGAAACAGAGCTTTATCCTGCCAGCCTGTACTGTATGCGGCATACTGTAGGACCAAATCTTCTAAAATCATCGACCCCAGGAGGAGTGTGTTGCTGATGTCGCATTCGTGATTCCTTTGACATACCAGGAAGAACCAGAGCACCCCCCAGCCTCCCCAGGGCACAACAGACGCATTGCTATAACTTTTCGCCTTGGCAAACACGTAACAAATGTCAATTGAGCAAAATGCAGATTGGTCCAATGGAATTGTGCACCTCTGATTCTTGCGGTTGTGCGAAAGGTGCCATGCAAATAATATGCCTCTTTCTCTGGCTTCTGTTAAAGTTCGCCGCCAAATGCGCTGCCCACACTCTCAGAGTTTCCTTCAAAGAAAGTCTGCACGTCGAAGTAATAAGAATACACAGATCTTCAGATTTGATTAAAAGTAAATTAGTGTTGTGGTGTTGTTAAACTTATAATATTGGCCTGGCAGAAACCCGGCATGAAGGTCAATATCAGGGAGTCGTCAATTACCGGCATATTTGACGACTCCCTGGCCGATATCTTTCATTTTGATTTTCCATCTGGACTCCTCTTTGATTTTTCTTCTTCTACCTCTATCTATCCTCTTTTGCCTTCTTCAAGTCACGGCCATTGTTATC